GAATGATACAAATAATTGACAGTGAAGATGCACACATCCCAAAGCTCTACTCACAAAATGAATGATACAAATAATTGACAGTGAAGATGCACACATCCTAAAGCTACCCACAAAATGAATGATACAAATAATTGACAGTGAAGATGTACACACATTCCAAAGCTCTACCCACAAAATGAATGATACAAATAATTGACAGTGAAGATGCACACATCCCAAAGCTCTACTCACAAAATAAATGATACAAATAATTGACAGTGAAGATGTACATACATCCCAAAGCTCTACCCACATAATGAATGATCCAAATAATTGACAGTGAAGATGTACACACATCCCAAAGCTCTACCCACAAAATGAATGATACAAATAATTGACAGTGAAGATGTACATACATCCCAAAGCTCTACTCACAAAATGAACGATACAAATAATTGACAGTGAAGATGTACACACATCCCAAAGCTACCCACAAAATGAATGATACAAATAATTGACAGTGAAGATGTAGACACATCCCGAAGCTACCCACAAAATGAATGATACAAATAATTGAGAGTGAAAATGCACATACATCCCAAAGCACTACCCACAAAATGAATGATCCAAATAATTGACAGTGAAGATGTACACACATCCCAAAGCTACCCACAAAATGAATGATACAAATAATTGACAGTGAAGATGTACATACATCCCAAAGCTCTACCCACATAATGAATGATCCAAATAATTGACAGTGAAGATGTACACACATCTCAAGGCTTTACCCACAAAATGAATGATACAAATAATTGACAGTAAAGATGTACACACATCCCAAAGCTCTACCCACAAAATGAATGATACAAATAATTGACAGTGAAGATGTACACACATCCTAAAGCTCTATTCACAAAATGAATGATACAAATAATTGACAGTGAAGATGTACACACATCCCAAAGCTCTACCCAGAAAATGAGTGATACAAATAATTGACAGTGAAGATGTACACACATCCCAAAGCTCTACCCACAAAATGATACAAATAATTGACAGTGAAGATGTACACACACCCCAAAGCTCTACCCACAAAATGAGTGATACTAATAATTGACAGTGAAGATGTACACACATCCCAAAGCTCTACCCACAAAATGAATGATACAAATAATTGACAGTGAAGATGTACACACATCCCAAAGCACTACCCCCAAAATGAATGATACAAATAATTGACAGTGAAGATGTACACACATTCCAAATATCTACCCACAAAATGAATGATATAAATAATTGACAGTGAAGATGTACACACATCCTAAAGCTCTACTCACAAAATGAATGATACAAATAATTGACAGTGAAGATGTACACACATCCCAAAGCTCTACTCACAAAATGAATGATACAAATAATTAACAGTGAAGATGTACACACATCCCAAAGCTCTACCCACAAAATGAATGATACAAATAATTGACAGTGAAGATGTACACACATCCCAAAGCTCTACTCACAAAATGAATGATACAAATACTTGACAGTGAAGATGTACACACATCCCAAAGCTCTACCCACAAAATGAATGATACAAATAATAGACAGTGAAGATGTACACACATCCCAAAGCTCTACCCACAAAATGAATGATACAAATAATTGACAGTGAAGATGTACACACATCCCAAAGCTCTACTCACAAAATGAATGATACAAATAATTGACAGTGAAGATGTACACACATCCCAAAGCTACTCACAAAATGAATGATACAAATAATTGACAGTGTAGATGTACACACATCCCAAAGCTACCCACAAAATGAATGATACAAATAATTGACAGTGAAGATGTACACACATCCCAAAGCACTACCCACAAAATGAATGATACAAATAATTGACAGTGAAGATGTACACACATCCCAAAACTCTACCCACAAAATGAATGATACAAATAATTGACCGTGAAGATGCACACATCCCAAAGCTCTACTCACAAAATGAATGATACAAATAATTGACAGTGAAGATGTACACACATCCCAAAGCTATACTCACAAAATGAATGATACAAATAATTGACAGTGAAGATGTACACACATCCCAAAGCTACCCACAAAATGAATGATACAAATAATTGACAGTGAAGATGTACACACATCCCAAAGCTCTACCCACAAAATGAATGACACAAATAATTGACAGTGAAGATGTACACACATCCCAAATCTCTACCCACAAAATGAATGATTCAAATAATTGACAGTGAAGATGTACACAGTACATCCCAAAGCTGTACCCACAAAATGAATGATACAAATAATTGACAGTGAAGATGTACACACATCCCAAAGCTCTACCCACAAAATGAATGATACAAATAATTGAAAGTGAAGATGCACACATCCCAAAGTTCTACTCACAAAATGAATGATACAAATAATTGACAGTGAAGATGTACACACATCCCAAAGCTATAATCACAAAATGAATGATACAAATAATTGACAGTGAAGATGTACACACATCCCAAAGCTCTACCCACAAAATGAATGATACAAATAATTGACAGTGAAGATGTACACAGTACATCCCAAAGCTGTACCCACAAAATGAATGATACAAATAATTGACAGTGAAGATGCACACATCCCAAAGCTTTACCCACAAAATGAATGATACAAATAATTGACAGTGAAGATGCACACATCCGAAAGCTTTACCCACAAAATGAATGATACAAATAATTGACAGTTAAGATGTACACACATCCCAAAGCTACCCACAAAATGAATGATACAAATAATTGACAGTGAAGATGTACACACACCCCAAAGCTCTACCCACAAAATGAATGATACAAATAATTGACAGTGAAGATGTACACACATCCCAAAGCTCTACCCACATAATGAATGATACAAATAATTGACAGTGAAGATGTACACACATCCCAAAGCTACCCACAAAATGAATGATACAAATAATTGACAGTGAAGATGCACACATCCCAAAGCTTTACCCACAAAATGAATGATACAAATAACTGACAGTGAAGATGTACACACATCCCAAAGCTCTACTCACAAAATGAATGATACAAATAACTGACAGTGAAGATGTACACACATCCCAAAGCTTTACCCACAAAATGAATGATACAAATAATTGACAGTTAAGATGTACACACATCCCAAAGCTACCCACAAAATGAATGATACAAATAATTGACAGTGAAGATGTACACACACCCCAAAGCTCTACCCACAAAATGAATGATACAAATAATTGACAGTGAAGATGTACACACATCCCAAAGCTCTACCCACATAATGAATGATACAAATAATTGACAGTGAAGATGTACACACATCCCAAAGCTACCCACAAAATGAATGATACAAATAATTGACAGTGAAGATGCACACATCCCAAAGCTTTACCCACAAAATGAATGATACAAATAACTGACAGTGAAGATGTACACACATCCCAAAGCTCTACTCACAAAATGAATGATACAAATAACTGACAGTGAAGATGTACACACATCCCAAAGCTTTACCCACAAAATGAAGGATACAAATAATTGACAGTGAAGATGTACACAGTACATCCCAAAGCACTACCCACAAAATGAATGATACAAATAACTGACAGTGAAGATGTACACACATCCCAAAGCTTTACCCACAAAATGAATGATACAAATAATTGACAGTGAAGATGCACACATCCCAAAGCTTTACCCACAAAATGAATGATACAAATAATTGACAGTAAAGATGCACACATCCCAAAGCTTTACCCACAAAATGAATGATACAAATAATTGACAGTGAAGATGTACACATATCCCAAAGCTCTACCCACAAAATGAATGATACAAATAATTGACAGTGAAGATGCACACATCCCAAAGCTTTACCCACAAAATGAATGATACAAATAATTGACAGTGAAGATGTACACAGTACATCCCAAAGCACTACCCACAAAATGAATGATACAAATAATTGACAGTGAAGATGTACACACATCCCAAAGCTACCCACAAAATGAACGATACAAATAGTTGACAGTGAAGATGTACACACATCCTAAAGCTCTACCCACAAAATGAATGATACAAATAATTGACAGTGAAGATGTACACACATCCCAAAGCTCTACTCACAAAATGAATGATACAAATAATTGACAGTGAAGATGCACACATCCCAAAGCTCTACCCTCCAATGAATGATACAAATAATTGACAATGAAGATGTTTTGTTTCTTTTCTGATCTAAATAAAATAATCAAGAGGTAAAATTGGAAAAAGAATATTATATTGCAGTAAAATTCTAAAACCATAATTTACAAATACAAATACCACTTGATCAAATACTCATGACCATTATACTTTTATTTTTGTTTATCATGTATACTTTTTATGTGATTCATTGTATTGTTTTTATGCATATCATCTGGTATTGGCCATACAAAGGATTGTGACCCAATCATTCATTTGCAATAATATTCTGTCAAAAACATCAAAAAAATATTTTTTCTATTATACCATGAAAGTTCTTACCATTTAAAATACTGTAAGTACTAGACTATTTACTCCAATTTCGTTGTATATGCACATTATATTAAAACGTTATGTGTACTTTTATTCATAACCAGCTAAATACACATCAGGCCGGTGATTTCCGATTAATCTCACATAAAAAACATGTTTCAAATGCAATGAAGTTCTAGGAAAGCCTTGCAATGAATATGATTTCACAACGTAATTTAGAACAGAGAAAGTGTTTCTATGCGTTTACTCCTATAAAAATGATGAGATCATCAGACTTTATTTCATGTTTTCATTCAAAACCAAAATAGACTTGAAAGGTGGAAATGCCAAATTTTGGTAAAGAGCAGATCATATTTTACCAAATGACATTTTAGGTGAATGTCTTATTTTCAGGTATTTCCTTCGATTCAGTTATTTTTCAATTTACATCTAACTCACGATCTTATTCACAATTAGTATTCAACATGTTTTATTGTGCATATACGAAATGCATGTAATGTGGTGAAAATAACAACTAATGAACTAGAAATAATTGTTGTTTATTCAGCCATTGAATGTACACTAAATGCCCTGTACAAAATATTCTCTAGATCTTCGATCATAAACATGTCTTAACTCAAGAATGGTTGCAATGTCTATGCTTCATCCCATGACTGGACCAGTAGCAGTGCTCATATTACTCTACTAGGTAGTAGTAGCCCAAGAAAGAAGAGCTAGATTTTTGAAATCTATTTCTTTTCAAATAAATGTAGATGTGTTTCTAAATTGATACATTTCAACAATAAATAGATATGCTCAATGCTTATCCTTTGAAATAGTTCAGTTTCAATGGAATTCCATTGAATGTCCATAAATACGCCTAGCTTCAATTCAAAAGCAAGTCTGTTGCTATACTGTATACAGTGTCTTTATAATGTAAAGAAAATAGTTCAATTTTGTTAGAAGAATAATCCGCGCATTCTACGTCCCATGCCTTGTCTGTCATATAAAACATTGAACTTGTTTACAAACTGAAACAAAACACAACAAATATATACAGGGTGTTTCATATGTATAGAGGGGGTACATACATATGAAACACCCTGTAGTATTAAAATGCTCTGCTTACATGTATATGTGTTAACTGCAATAGAGTTTCATCTCAATCTCATTACCACATTTCCAGTTATTATACCACATAACAAAAAATGATTATACAAAAGAACATTGTGCAATACAACAGCGTGCAATATAATTGAATTCTGCTGCCATCTTTTAAATAAGTGAATAACTATTTTACATGGTAAATGGTAAAATGCGTTTGAAAGCATTGCCAGATTAGAGATCCGTGTCTTGGAGATCAATATGAAACCAACCTGGTTGATGCTGTTTGAACTGTTGGTGATTGCTCCAAGGTAAGCCATCAAACTAACATCATTGCATTGCTGAAATAAACAAAAAGAGGTGATGAATGTCCACATACGTAGAATGTAAATTACTACATTATTTTGCAACCATTTACATTTCAACATTGACGTAGCAATTAAAGTACAACAGAAATATATTAAATTATGCTATTCCTGAGTATAGTTCATTGAATTCATCATTTGTTTTCATGTAAATTGTAAGCTTTTTTTCAAATGTATGACATCACAGAACCTATGCAACCTGAACATTGTTTTTGATTTCAACATTTTCATTCAATTTCAAAAACCAATGGCATTACTTGGAATCTGAAAAATTACATACAAAAGCCAATGAACCCTAACCCTACTATCACACCAAACTAGTTCTCACTACGTTCTCGAAAACGGGCTTCAACTGTGTACGAACGGACTGGACCTACTAAGAACCGTTTGGGATCTATTTACAAACTTCATCGAACGTACTCGAACGGGTAGGTCCTCTAGAACTTAGACAATGCTCAAAATGTTCTCGTGGTCGTCACGTTCTACAATTAGAACGAGTGACAACGTACTAACGACGAGTTGGACGTACTACGAACAGAACCGTCGTACTTCAATCCTACTATGGACGTTTTAACAACGAGTTGAACTGTCTGAGGACGTGTTGAGAACGAGGTAGAACTAATTACCCAAATGCGAGTAGGTAGTTACCAGTTTCACCACCAGGTGGCTGATTCGGGTCAATTAACATGGCAGGTATATAAGAAAGTTCCCTTAAACTTGAATATTATCAATTTAAGTGGCTTAATTTTAATATAACCCTTATGTGTCTGATACTTATACTAATGAAAATATGTCCAGTAAAGCAAAATATTATCTGTCCACTAAAAGAAAAGATATTTCATTTTTTGTGATTTTATAGCATGGGGTATATGGGGAATCTCCCCGAGCTAGAAGTCACATTTTCAAAGAAAATTAATTTTTCAAAGTTGATAAACACTTTTTAAAACCACGTTTCTAGATGTAATTTTACATGTAGATTTTAAATATGATATTACTTTGACTGAGTTTTGAATTTTTAATGACGTAAATCAAGATTATTTCTACTCGCATCTGGGTTATTGCAAACGGGTTTTTACTGATTTAGAACGTATTTAACACTGCTTATGAACGAGTTAGCAAAAATATAGCTATCACACCAAACAAGTTGCCACTGCCTTCTTTAAAACTGATTTTAAACTGTGTGCGAACGGAATGAACGTAGCTGCAACTTTCTAAGGTCTATTTACGAACTTTATGAACGTTCTCAGACGGGAATGTGATTTTAGAATTTTGAATCGATTCAAAATTCGATGGCGACCATACCGTTCTGTAATCAGGTCATGTTGACCTTCTAGACTAAGGGACACATTCTACGACGTTGCACACCGACGTGGTGCGACCTGAACGAACTGCGAACGAGATGGACGTATTGAAGACTGTTTAAGAACGAAGAAGCTAATTATTTCAGACATATTTCCCGACCACAGCCAGATTGAGCACGTTTTACGACGTTTTTGTAGGACTGGCAAGAGCGGGTAAGAACTAGTTTGGTGTGATAGGGGGGTTAGGAATGAACATCTTTTGGAATAATGTGAACAGAACATATAGCTTACATTATAAAATTCTTCTTTAAAACTGTTTGTTTCTATGACAGGTAGTCTGTGGCATAAGCTGTGTGCTTCTCTGATTATATCATGTTTCTTTTCTACCTCACCTGTAAATAATAAGAAATGACATCCAACATGTGTTTCCTTTTATAACATACTTTATTAAACACACTAATTCTCCAGTGGCAGATCCAGAAGTGAGTGGCAGGGGTACAAACAGCCATAAAATACTACATTTTTGATCTCTCTACTATTTTCTGAGCCTCTTTCAGGCCCATTTTGGAGCCATATTCTAAATTGTTAGAACCAATTACCCAGAATGTCTATTATATAGTGAGAAAGATATTCTAATTACAGAAAATGCAAAATGTGCCTTAAAATTAGTAGAAGTGCTAGAATATATGATTTATTCATGACAAACACCAGTTTTTGCATAAAGGAAGGCAATAAGTAAGGAGCCCCAGGCAATAAGTAAGGAGGCCCAGGCAATAAGTAAGGAGGCCCAGGCAATAAGTAAGGAGGCCCAGGCAATAAGTAAGGAGGCCCAGGCAATAAGTAAGGAGGCCCAGGCAATAAGTAAGGAGGCCCAAGCCCAAATGCCTCATTACCAGATCTGTCAGCTTTATTTGTTCTTTGTCAGATCAGATATTTGGCTTTGAACAGGCTGAGTGAATGTGCTAGAATATACATTGTCCTCAGAGAAAACTATGTTTGATATTCTAATATCAAATGATTCTCGAAATCGTTGTCCCCTCTTCAAAAAAGGAGACGCAAAAATCTTTCCTTATAAGGCCAAAATATTTCCCATGATGTAGTTCGCGGAGGAACAAATTTATACTTCCTTGTTTTCCCTCATAGGTTTAACATGGGGATTTTCACACCTATTTTTCAATGATATATTCGTTCATATTCCCGTACGAGAGTACAGAAAAAATTATGAGAAACGATTGATCTCTTATCAATCTTAATATAACAGCTATTTTTTTTTCATTGTATTGATTCATGGCGTGGTGAAAACGATGATTGAAAAGTGAAAAAATATTCCGGAAGAGAAGGTCACGTGATCAGTTGACTAGTCGGCATATTGGTAAAAACAATTACATTCGACTTTCAATACTTTCATGCCAATCTTACCGCACTACAAACTGCAACATCGATGCAACAACTGAATAAAAGTATTCATCTTCAAATTACATTATAGAGTTACATTGAAAACCCACAAACAACTGAGCAGTAGACCAAAGAAGACGTGTCGCTATTATCTAGGTCAATCTGTTCAGTGGTCCGAAAGCAAATCTATAGTACTCGTTTCCGAATTTTGTTGTTCATTGTACAATTTTTTATTGATTAAACTCGGTATACTGACTATTAAAGAATGACAAAGAAGAACACTTCCGATGGTGACATTGTTTTATTTAGCGTGCGGGTGTAAACACAAAATTGCGTAATTAGTTTGATTTAGAACTATGGGTCAGGCAAATAGCTACGCGAAATGCATAGTGGGAAAATATTGACCAATCAAATTTTGTCCTTTTTGAGTGCTTTTTCAGTGCATATATGCGAACGTTCTGATTCAAAGGGCGAACCGCGAAAGGGAGAATTGTAAGTTGGTACTCATACATTCTATATATTCATTACAGTTTGCTGTAACAACAGTCAAGGCAAATGTTCTCAATGGAAAAGGATGAATTCTAAAGGAGGAAGTGAAGAACCTAAGGAGTCAGTTCTGAAAGTTTGTGTCTAAAGGTAAAATTGGAGAATTCACACAATAGCTCTGTTGCTAGCATCCCTTTAATGCAGCATTTCTCACCTGCCTGGACTGCTTTCATGTAGTCTAGTATAAGCTTCACTCTACTGTGTAACATTTTAATAGCACTGTGTTGGGCTGTTAGGTGGACTGCAACTATAACACAAAATGTTACGTTTTAACACTTGCTGGGCTATATTGATTGCATTTTAACCCTTGGTTGGCTATATTGATTGCATTTTAACCCTTGGTTGGCTATATTGATTGCATTTTAACTCTTGCTTTGATACATTGATTGCATTTTAACACTTTCTAGGCTGCATTGATTGCATTTTAACCCTTGCTGGCATACATTGATTGCATTTTAACACTTGGTGGGATGCATTGATCGCATTTTAACCCTTGCTGTGCTATATTGATTACATTTTAACCCTTGGTTGGCTATATTGATTGCATTTTAACTCTTGCTTTGATACATTGATTGCATTTTAACACTTTCTAGGCTGCATTGATTGCATTTTAACCCTTGACAGAAATAAACAGTAGATAGCACATGGAAGATGATGATTCTAAAATTGCTCTATCTGATTTTCCTTTGAAGTTCTTCCCCATATAATAATTTTAAAGTGTCTTTCATTCAATACAACCATTGTGTTGGTCCATACCTGTAGATGTATCTGATACATCAGAGGATGACATCCTAGCCACATGGTCAACACCAATCCTTTCTGCTTCCTCCGTTGCCAGTGTGTATGTCAACTCCACAAATAACATTGTGGCCTCTCCATTTACTAAATCTATTACAGACTCATAGATGCTAACTGGGAGCTAGAACAAAAATAAAATATTAGTAGATAATTACCACATGTTTATGTGTAGTACTGCAAAGGCTAACTTATTACTGTAGATTGGGTTAATTTGCGCCCTCTTTAATTTGGCGAAATTGAAAAATTCGCCAATATTAATCTTCGCCAAAATTTAGAATGAATTCCCGGGAATTATCAAGGGTATTTCTTCCAGTGTATTTAGTTCACTTCCGGTCTAGTTTTTTTAAAAAATATGAAAAATGTCTCATGAATTGGCTCAGAACTGGTCAGTCACTCATTAATACTCAGGGAAAAACTAGGAAGGAAAGGGCGGTATAGTAGCAGCATCGATCGTGGTGCAAAATGTAATGGATGATCTCACAAAAATGTACAAAAATGCGGTTAATATCACCAGTGGTCCTCAAAAGAAAAAATGAACATAGCCAAACATGGCCATGCAAACAGCGAGTAAGTTCAACTTCTTTTTTTGCATATCCGCCAAATTAAATAGCCGCCAATATGCCAAAAATGGCAAAATCGCCAAATTAAGTAGCGCCAAATTAACCCAATCTACAGTATTAGAGGACAGGGAGGCAATGCCATTCTATGTAAATAATAATTGTGGGACAAAGGAAGGCCTGCATTGAGTGTCTACATGGACGACATTACCTCCCTGTACTCTATTCTCAGGAATAGGAGTCTCTACAATTTCAATGGAGTTACTCTACAAATATTGAAGTGATTGATGCAGTCATCTTACTTTTGGAATATCCCTCGTATATATGAGATTAAACATTTTATTTAGTTTTAGTCATCTTACTTTTGGAATATCCCTCGTATATATGAGATTAAACATTTTATTTAGTTTTAGTCATCTTACTTTTGGAATATCCCTCGTATATATGAGATTAAACATTTTATTTAGTTTTAGTCATCTTACTTTTGGATTACCCCTCGTATATATGAGATTAAACATTTTATTTAGTTTGTGTTGCATGTGTCAACTTTGCCATATAACAAAGCCTAATATCCTACATATAGTTCTTCTAGAATCCGCCCAAGTATCCAATAGGTATGAATAGTTCATATTCTATCTGATTCTGTAGCAACTTTACAAGTGTACCATATAAAACTGAAGTTGGTAGGTATTAGTTATTTTACTTTAACTGCATTTATAATTTGGAATTAGGAATAAGAGAGAAATAAAGCCTATACTCACATCTGCTTGTCTTGCCAGAGGGTTCAACTTCAATAAAATTGGGCTCTCATTTATATCAGACACCTACAAGTTAACAATGGTATATTGGCTAAGTAAAAAAAGTAGCAAGGAATAAGTGATCAGGGGTAAATTGTTAGAAGTTTTAATAAAGTTCAGAATTCTTTATTGTTGTATCCATTATAGCAATGATGCCATGGTAAGAGAGTATTTAAAATAGATTTATTAAGAATTCTTAACTCTACAAAAGTAAATGCACCTGTGAGATCAAACAAATAAATAGCATACCTGTCTATGCACTTTGATATCAGATTCTGTTGGAGCATTACCAGTTGTGTACCATCCCAAGAAGTCCAATTCACTAAACACTTGCTTGACTTAAATAAGAATCAAATAAGAATATCCAAAAGATGAGAGAAAAAAGTACATGGTGCTGAATGTACCACCCTGATGACCATATTACACCGACTTGCACTAGTGTTTTCTAACAGCTGTTTGACATAGCAGTATTATGTGCATTAATCATTTATTTATATTTAAGGAATAAATAATGATAGGCCATTCAATATGGTGAAATTCAGCACGAGTTGGACAGAATGTTGTACAAAGCACGAACCGAAGGTGAGTGCATTTGTACTAACATTCTGTTCAACGAGTGCTGAATGTCACCATATTGAATGGCCTATCATTATTTATTCCGATTCAAACATAAAAATTAGTAAAAGCCGTGTCTGTGGAACGGGCATGAAGGAAGAATACGCATGCTGTCAAGATCTGAAGTCGGCCTGAAAAATTTTAGAATTTGTTTGGGCTGTTCTATTTTACTCCCCGTTTTAGATTTTATACGGTGTATGCAAACATGGGGTGTTGATAAAATAAAAATAAATAGGGAGTAAAAAAGAACAGCTATCCCCGGACAGAGCCCCAGATGTGCAGCTGAGATGTGACGTCACTCAAAACAATGCAAATTGCAGATTGAATAGAGCATGGTCGTGCATCTATGGAGAATTAGAGAACGTTCTATATTGGCTATGCTGCATTCTGATTGGTTGAGAAATTCGAATAGAGCACGGTCATGTTTGAATACGTTATAAAGTCTACATTGCAATAAATATAGGGTAGTACACATCAGGCCTCTTTACATTCCAATGGAAGTGTATAAGTCATGCTATAATTCTGTAATTTTCACCACTTAGGCTATAGAAAAGTCAGAGAGGACCCAGCCCTCTGGGTTTGGGTAAGAGAATAGTCAGTTAATATGTATTTTGTATTCTGAGTAATGTTTAAATTTAATAAAGTAAAAGAACGTACACTGTTCCTCTTTAGTCTTGTAGTATTCTCTGTCTATAATGACTGTATCCTCAACCTTGTCCCACAGCAATTCAAATGAGTTCATTACCTCAAGGTTGCGACCTTGTTGTTTGCCAATCAAAGCTCCAAACACTGAAAACAGAGATCAAGTTGGATTAGGTGAGGATTGTAACTGTAACAATCAACCCAACTTGGTATTGCTTGTCAGAGTCCAAATCTTTTGAAGGATAATAGGCACAATATAGGAGAGAAGATAAATCGAGTGTCAAACTAAATTTTCCTGGTTCTGGAAGTCTCAATACAAAAAATCACCAAACACATTGCAAAATTCTTGGTTTGTTGATTTTACATTTTGTAGTTCAGTGATTCTTCATTATTTTGGTCTCAATATAATATAGAGAATCAGCAACAGGTCTAACTAATACAGCAGACGACTCATTCATATTAAAAGGTACTAAATAACACTCCAAATCATTAGCTAAATCTTATTTTTCGAATTCTAGGAACACAGTAAAGCCATCCTGAAAAAAGTAGTAAATGATTTTACTTTCAGTGAATGAAATGACCAGTTAAACTGATAAAAAAATTAGGGATACTTTCAGATGTACATTTCCACGCGGTATTAACTTTGACCGGTTATCAAAATTATTGACCTACCAGATGCTCGAAAATCAAGGATTGCGAGTCTCATACTGCAACATTTTTCTTCAAACTTATACCATTGAAAGCAAAACAAAATTACCTTTCTGTCAGTGCATTACTTTATTGTAAAGAGTCCCTTGTTCTAGCAGCGTTTTGGTCCCCAGCTGTTAGAAGGCCTTCTTACAGCTGGGGACCAAAATGCCGCTGGAAGTAGGGACTATGTTTAAGAGAATAATGTACCAACAGAAAGGTATTTTTTTTATGCTTTGAATGGAACAAGTCTGAAGAAAAACGGTGCAGTATGAGACTCTTGATTTTCAAACATCCGGTAGGTCAAAAATTCAAATTAATGGTCGAAGTTAGTACCGCGTGATTTCATAAGCTTACTCTAGGCTAGCTCAACAACGTTAAACCTAGTCTGGGGCATTCATTTCTTATCTGACTTGTCTTATGGCCCTGACTAGGTTAAACCTCCGTGGGCATTCTGCATACTACCATTTGGAAGGCACGTGAAGGTCCCATTCATCAGGTAACACTCATATGTAGAAGTTAAGTTCCTGCCTTTTTAACACGTAACAAGCAGTAAGTTTTTTTGCAATTTACCACTGACAATGAGTTGTATTTCAGTTATATTCCCCGGGGATGGATAAAAGAACAATCGGACCGAAGATTGGACCATAATTTGATGAATATTTTTACCTCAATCTCTCTGACTGACATTATGTCAATCCTGGTCACCCAGAGCAAAAGTAGTCGGATTTGTTCCATTGTCCGATGCATAAGGAGAGCACTGCAGTGTAGCATATTATTGAGGAATATTGGTTTCAATCAAGAATCCAAAAGTTGCAGCCTTTGAAAAAATACGACAGACTTTAAAATCAATCCCGCCTTGCACAACCAGAAAAAAGTAAATATGCCAGATTTAGTTTAAACTTGATGAACTAGTCTAACGGTAAATCCTATACGGCATATGGTATATTATTGATGTTTGACCAATCAGATTTCAGCATTTGGTGAGCCCTTGTCAGAGAAACATTTTGTGATTGGTCAAACATCAATAATATACCATATGCCGTATAGGATTTACCCTTCACCCTAGTCTAACTCGAGGCCTACCTTGAACCGCGGTGCTGCCCTCTTGTGCACGGGTCCGGGTCCAATGCTCAGATATATTCATGATCACCAAGGGGTGTAGTGATACTGAAACACTCCCGGTGGTTCCTGCACCTGCCATAACACCTTTATCACCTCCATCAACCTCCATTTGAGTTGCCATTGTGAAAACCGGAGGTTTTTCAGAATATTTTCTTTTTTTTCAGAATGTTTCTACTGAGCTAATACCGAAGCACTATTATTTTCGTATCTAAAACTGTTAGAACATCTAGCTTTTTAATCTCATATAGTAGAGTATCAATGTCATTATTTACATAAACAATAGCTATTTGTAAAGATAAAGGTATATTTTCAATGACATTTGATTTTATACATATGTTTTTGATTACGAAACTTGTTTCAGCTTTCAAAGCTAGCATACCTTTCAGGAAGTTGGTTCGATCTGCGTTCGGCTCTCTCTAGAATCAGCACTATAAGATAACCAAAACTAAGGTAATTATAATTTAATTTGGTTTTCCCTATCATATATCATTCTAACAATCATCTTGTCACTGTCACTATTTCAATATAGTGCTGATACCAAACGAATCGAACGAATGTTTTCATGGATCGCCATGTTTGTGATCCAAGGTGGATTGACTCCCAGAATTCAACATCAGTTAAACTTATTTACTCGTGACAGGTTTCAAAATGGCGGAACAGCATTTTGAAAGCTGGCACTTGTCATTAGGGGTACCACGAGCGCTCGAGCAATTCACCTCCGATACTAGCTGTATCGATACATAAAATGAATATCGGTCGTATCGGTTTTTTACCGGAAGTCCCTTCTTACTTACCCAGAAGGGAGGGAAAAACTCAGAGCTTAGAGATGACAGACAGTCATAGTTACGTATCTTGCTTGCCGCCTTCGTTTGCCCCGATAGTTCCCGACACACGTCGTTCCACACATCGTTAAGATGTTTTAATCAATGTTAGCATATTTTACACCTTTCTTTGTCGTGATGTGAAATAAACGTAATCTGACTGAAGTACTTTCGGCTTTACAAGTTTGAAAAATTTGAATAAAGTTAAGTTTTACTTCAATTTACGCTGTATCATTGTATTGTATCACGAGGTCAGTATCGTAGATACGTATCGATATTAATATTACCTCAACATTTGAAGAGTCGGCATTAACATGTGAATATCACTTCAAATTTTTAAGTTCCTATTTGTCACTTTGGACACAAATTCCAATATATTTGTCTGTTCGGGCATGGCCCATGGTTCGGGGATGGAGAAAATAGAGCACTCAATTCAAAGGTAGAGTCTATTTCATGGCCTGACTGGGTCGGTTCAACTTGAAAAATAAGATTTACCTGAAGATTAGGAGTCTTACTTACCCTCTAGAGTTTGAACACACATTTCAATGAAACCCTATCACCTCTGTTGCGTCAACTATAGAGCATTTAGCATAATATCCAAGAGGTAAATTATGGACCGTGAAAATGAATGATTTCCTAGTAAGTTCCGGAAGTTTCAGTATGACAAATTACCGAACATTTGTGAAAAATTAATGTTTGCTCATTGATTTTATAATTTACATGTGCATCTGTTCTTCTATACTTTTGTCAAAATTATAAAGCATCACAAACAGGTTCTACTGTATTAATAGACTAATACAGCAGACGACCCATTCATACTTTCCACGCAGCCTTTCATTCAGTCCAATAGTTCAACTGTAGATCATGCAGTTTCTTCCATCTTAGAACAGGCCATCCTCCTCTGCCCTGTCCTAAACTCGTAAGACCGCAAAACATTATTTTCTAATATTTTAATTATTTTTACATCAGACATGGTTGGATGACATGTCACAAAATTAAAGTTCAAGGTCAATACATTATTTCGTGATAGGGCCAACACGTCCCGATAGTAAACATGAGGAAAATGGAAAAGTTCAAAAAGCATTAACACAAATTTCAATCAAGTACTGTGCTTACGCTTCATCATGAACAAAACAAAGCTGATATGGTTTCATTAAAATGTTTGTCCTAACCTCTAGAGGATATGTAAGACTCCTAATCTTCAGGTAAATCTTATTTTTCAAGTTCTACCGACGCAGTCGGGCCACGAAATAGACTCTAAGAATTTATGACATATTTGACAGAATGTCTTTTCATAGTGTTCATAATTATCCCAACGAACGAAGTTATGTAGGGATAATATAGTGAAGCCCTCCATCCATCCGTCAGTCAGTCCATCCATCCGGAAGATAACTCGAATACTTGTCGACAGATTTTCTTCATATTTGGTGGAAAGATGTATACTGGTGGATTGTCTTAGGCAAGAACATTTTTTTTCAAGATGGCCACCAGTTTAAAAATGGCGGGAATTTTTCGCAAAAATCTTATGTTTTTCATTTTAAATCAAAATAATAAATATTATTATTTGAAATTTTTGTAGTATTTTGGTAGTATATTAAAAACATCAATCTATTTCACATATATCCCAGGTTTTTCACCCTGACCCCCAGGGGGCCATACATGGGGGACTGGGAAAACAGGAATTTGCATTAATTTTGAGATGTTTTTAGAGTTCGTATAGCTTTATTATACTCAAATGAAAGGCAATTTCGAGTAGATTGCAAATATTGTTACGTTTTTCTATTATACTCAAATTGAAGGAATTTCAGAGTAGATCACAATTATGGCATTGTTTTTCTGATTTGCGCCTCTGAAAATTCAAAATGGCTGACTATAGCAGAAATTCGCCATTACTTAGAGTTATCTTAAAAGTATGGTTACATGATACTACAATGATTTAAAATATTTATTGAAGGTAAATATTACAATGAGACTGTACAGATTGATGATTTATATAGTTCGTTGGGATTTGCTACTCTGTGGAGTTGTCATTTTCTAGTTATTTATGTTCACCACCGTAACATGAAAACTGTGAAGTGAGATTAATTTTTGAAAACTTCAAGGAGTAGGGGTGCTTCGGTGTCACATTTTTACTTTGTAAGACTTCAAAATTTCCACAAATCATCTTACCTTACCAAGGAACATCAAAGGAGCATGGAAATATGTACGTCTTGCATTTGTTAGAGTATAATAAAGCTCTTGTGAATTCTAAATATTTCATGTTCACCATTCTGTTTGCTGGGACTTTTTTAGTCCAGAGTAATCCTTACTCATGTATCCTGTTTATCGTTCATAAAGCCTCAATCATGTATCTATCATGATAATTATACTGTAATAGATAGAATAATATACTAGTTATAATCCATGCCACTTGGCGAAGTCACAAAATTTGTATGAGGATTGATTAATCAGGAAGTCTAGAAGGCAAACAAAACGGTGGTCGTGAAATATTTATAAGAAACTATGGTTTGAGCTTTATTATACTCTAATAATGCAAGAAGTGCACATTTTCATGCTCCTTCGTTGTTCATAAGTAAGGTAAGATGATTTGTGGAAATTTGGGATTCTTGCAAATGTGTAATTGTTGCAATTTTACTCCTTGAAACTTTAAAAAATTAGCCTTACTTCACGGTCTTTATGCTAGCTTTAGGGACTCATGCACCTCCAATTTATAGTTATGAAAAATGCATTTAAATGTGAAGTTTTCTTTGACATGTCTCTTAAGTCAGTAAATGCATTCACATATAAGGAAAACAGATACAAAATCTTGTTACTTTATCAAAAAAATATGGCTGCCACTTTTTGTACTTTTGATTAACTTTAATGTTACCTTAAAAAAATCTGCTTTTTATAAAACGCCGATACAGTAGAACGCTGGAAAAAGCGAATGCATTCCGTTCAGATTTTTCACGCGAATTCCGTATATGTCACGCTTTTGGTTCGAAAATTGTTGTGCCACGCATTCGATTCGAAACTTTTCATACCTACAGTTTCACTACTTTGCAGGTCAGTGTCAATATCATTGTCAGTCAGTGTCATTAGCATTGCCAGTTTTATTACTACATATTCAGTTTCATTACTACATATCATTTAATCATTGCAGGTCAGTGTCTAGACTAGTCTATATCCTATTTAGTCTGAATACATTCAGACTATAAGCAACCTATGTTAAAATTTGGTAATACAAAATATTTGTTTACAAAGGAAGTGCTATTCAAAATGGCCAATTGAGTAAATTAATTTGCACATTTGTTACTTCAACTAGCTCTATTTCCACTTGACAATATGCTGTATTATAAGTTATTGAATGATTTGAAGTGCAATACAGGATATATTTTGCTCGAGAAATTCCGTATTGGAACGAGACAAAGTCGAGTGCCAATACAGAATATCGAGACAGAATATATCCTGTATTGCACTTCAAATCATTCAATAACGTTTTTATCGTGTGATCCTCTGTATTGCTACTGAGATTGTCCCCTCCGTACCAATATTTTCTGTATTGCGACGGAGATGATCAACGGGGACAATCTCAGTAGCAATACAGATTGGTACAGCACAAGAACTGACCAATCAGAGGGCTTCATTTTACAGATCATACGATAATACTTTTTATTGCATTTGATTGTACCTTACTACTTAATTGAATTTTTGTATTGTTTATTTTATTGAAGAAATGGTTCCTCTAATTGATAATTTTGTGCAAAAATTTCACTGCAATTTCCACAGTACAGTAGTACATCATAACAGACTTACTTCTAGTCAATCTGTTGGATACGTCATTATCATTGCAGGTCACTGCCATTATCATTGTGTGTCAGTGTCACTATCATTGCAGGTCAATGTCATTGACATTGCAGGTCATTGTCATTATCATTGCAGGTGTTAATATCATTGCAGGTCACTGCCGTTATCATTGCATATCAGTATCACTATTCTTGCAGGTAAGTGTCAATATCATTGCAAGTCACTGTCATTATCATTGTGTGTCAGTGTCACTATCATTGTGTGTCAGTGTCACTATCATTGTAGATCAATGTCATTGTCATTGCAGGTCATTGTCATTATCATTGCAGGTAAGTGTTAATATCATTGCAGGTCAAGTGAGTGCCGTTATCATTGCATATCAGTATCAATATTCTTGCAGGTAAGTGTCAATATCATTGCAAGTCATTGTCATTATCATTGTGTGTCAGTGTCACTATCATTGCAGGTCAATGTAATTGTCATTGCAGGTCATTGTCACTATCATTGTGTGTCAGTGTCATTATCATTGCAGGTAAGTGTCATTATAATTGCAGGTCAATGTCATTATCATTGCAGGTCAGTGTCACTATCATTGTGTGTCAGTGTCATTATCATTGCAGGTAAGTGTTAATATCATTGCAGGTCATTGTCACTATCATTGTGTGTCAGTGTCATTATCATTGCAGGTAAGTGTTAATATCATTGCAGGTCATTGTCACTGTCATTGTGTGTCAGTGTCACTATCAGCAGCAGTTCATTATCATTACAGGTTGGTGTTTCAAAGTTTTTTGATGTGCTGGTCGACAGTCTGAATAATTTTTAATATCTTGAATGCAAAATGTTTGCAGACTCTTAGATTGGTTTTGGTTTGGCTGATAAAATATGTGGCCTCTTTTATTTTGATGACTCTCTGACACATTAGATTTACGTGGCTGAAACTCCGTTGATTAAAAAACAATCAGTGGATGGGGGTTGCATCTAGTTAAGTTAAATCCCCCTTCCCTCACTGTGGTATTTTTTTTTTTTTTTAACATTTTGTTACTCATTTTTATAAAAACAGCGACATAAATTTTGTGATGATTATTTATTTCAGGCTGTGTAGAGCCCCACTGTTTGATACATAGCAAAAAGGTTGATTTTTTGCACGCCAGTGATGTTGCGCCTTTTAAAATAATCTCATACCTTAGAAGCGTATCACTTAAAAAATCATAGAAGAACCAACAAATTTTACCATACTGTGGACCTCTACATTTAGCTATTTATTTTACTTTCTCGTGAAAAAATAAATTCTGCAGATTAGTTGAATTTTCTAGCAGAAATCCTATAATCCCCCTCCACACATTGTGTTCATTTTACAGTGTGTCAGTGTCACTATCATTGACACATTATAACAATACTCACAAAAAGAGGAATATTTGTTGGACACAATTGAATCTAGGTTTACAATTGCAAAGGTCAGAATGTTATCTGTAGGCCCTGGGAACCTTACTGCTGTTCATAACTTTTCACAGTAAAACTTGTTAATGTGAGAGTCCCCTTTTGTGTGATCCTACCCTTTAATTGTGGACATCTCTCAATATGAGTCAGTCATCTCCCTTGATTTTTTTTCAGGTGGGTGCAAAATTCTCATTTTCACAATTGAGACTAAAATTGGTTAAAATACGCCAATTTTTCTCATTTTCAAGTGGGTGCAAATGGATTTTCATGTGGGTGCAAGCCTATTTTCAAAATGTCAAGTTTGTGCTGTGCCCACTTGCTTAAATGCTGGGGAGATCACTGTGAGTACATGTACTTGAGTACCAGTATGCAGTGTGAGTGTGAAAATTCAATGATTTCCAAGAAATAAGATTCCAAATACATGTGTACTTCACACATCTATTTACGGCATACATGTATCATAACATATATAGGTTTTACTGTATCACTTTGTTTTAATACAAACAATTTAAGTCATTAAATACCCAAATTATCAATAAATTTTGATAAAAACCTTCTGTTCTAAAATATTAAAGCTTGTGTAAGCAGCTTGACAAGCTCATTTTAAAAGGATGATGAATTCACTAAATTAGCAATCTTACAGAAGCAACATCCCAAGTCTGTTGTTGTTGTGTAGGTTATTACTATTAAAGGAAGAATATTGTGAATACCCTATTAACACAATTGAATATGCTGAGGGGTCATTCAACGATCATGGACCAGTGTCAAAATATATTTAAGTTTGGATATTTCATCAAGACTAACATCTATTTTTATTATCTACAAAGAAACCCGCTAGATAAAGATTATTTTAGCTGATATTCCTCTTGAAACATGGAGGATCTTAAAAATATAAAAGTGGAAGTCCCCTTTTGAAGCTTTGAACTGAATTTACACTTCTTAATGCTGAAATTGATAATTTATCCATACATTTTAAGAAAATAGGTATGTCAAAGAAGATGTTAAACCAAATGTTGCCTTGATAGCTCAGAAAAAATGAAAAAACGTTCCTATTTTCTCTACAGTCCTTATTGCCCCTTTAACTCAATAAACTTATGATGGGTGGTGATGTGTCTAAAGGTAAGGTAACAATTTATTTACCAGATGGCATGGTTAAAAAGAGGTCAAAAGCCCTCTATTGAGTGCAAATTTCAAAATTGAAAGTTCTTTCGTTAATATTGAGGTGAGTGATTTTTTCAGGCTCTGGTATTTTGACAAAAGTAGGTAGGGGTCATGGGCATTCTTCAGGGCAGGTTTGAGGCATCAACAATTTATTTTGGAGTTTCTCTACCTCAGGTTATCGCTATTCCACCTTAGATTATAAATCTATAAAAATGGCCACCTCATTTGGGATTTCACAATAATTTTCTGATCCCTTCAAAGTATAGCTATATTATACTCAAATTGAAGGAATTTTAGAGAAGAACACAATTAGGTTGTTATTTTTCTGATTCTTGCCACAGAAAATTCAAAATCGCTGGCTAGAGCAGAATTTTGCTATTACTTAGAGATATTTTATATGCTATATTAGATCTCAAATGCTTTTATGATTTATGCCTTTGACATTCCTAAATGGAATATCTATATCCAATTTATCTAGAGCCAATTTAATCAAGGGTACAGTAGACAGTAAATGTTACATTTTGACATATATATATTGTGAATATTTTGTTTGTTGGGATTTGCTACTTGATGGAGTTGCCGATTTTTAGTATAAATGATACATTTTTGCTAGACTCGATCACTTTAAGTACTGATATATAGACAGACAGGAGTAATTACCTGCAAGCTGCTCACAGTTTTTATTGAATAATTGCTAAACAAACTCTAATATTGTAAAGTAATTTATTCCTGAATATAATTCAACATGTTTTTGCATTTGAAATGAGAAAATGAGACAGATCATGAACATAGTTATGTTTTCACATTGAATGACAACTGAAAGAAGCAATGGTAAGCTTATAGCTAATGGATTTATGTTAAAGGTTTAATAAATGCCTAATTTATAAAGGTGGGTCATAGGCTTTCAAGAGCCTACTTGTGGAATGACTTTTGGACATATTTAGGATACCTGTATTTGCATGCACATCTGAGATGCCATATGTAATGTGCAAGTCTGCATTGTAAAGTTTCAAGTAATGAAATTGAATTGAATCAGAAAACCTTGAGACAAAGAGCAATATAACATTAATGACATGTCTATTTTAGCCAGAAATCACAAACTGACCATATTCTCTCCAAACAACATGCCTGATATTGAAATGGGTTACATACCTAAGGAAGTATCCCATGTATTAGAAAAATGTGAGTACAATTATATTGTCTAACAATTAGACAATATATGACCACAAACAAAAGGGGAAGAGAATCTGTTGGTTTTCCCTTTTTAATCTGAGTTATGATTTTTGTATTTCCAGATCTGTGATGCCAAAAGAATATGAATGTTGGTTACCAAAGTTCCAAAGCTAACATTTACCAAAAAATGGCACGATTGGGTATTTTTCGCAAACTGTTGTATGTCGCAGTTTTCCTGCTTTTACTTCGATTATTTTGGGTGAATAGACATTGGTTACTCACCACACAAGTGAATCCAAATGGAAATGCAAGATCCCTGTTACATGGCCTTGCTAAACATAATCAGGCCCAAAACATGGATAACAATGATAAACCTAAAGCAGAGCCAATGATGTCTGCTGGAATCCAACAAAGTGGAATGAGAACTGGGCTTGTAGCTGAGGGAAAACACTTCTACATGGATGGACAACCCATTAGAATTTTAAGTGGATCGTTTCATTATTTTAGAACACCTCCGGCCTATTGGAAAGACAGACTGTATAAGATGAAAGCAGCTGGACTAAACACAATTACCACCTATATCCCATGGAATTTACATGAGAAAACCCAAGGAAATATAATACTTGATGGCAAGTGGAATAACATAGGTAAATTCATACAAGAAGTTGAAGAAGTTGGATTGTATCTTATCATTCGTCCTGGACCATTCATATGTGCTGAATGGGAATTTGGTGGCTTGCCATATTGGCTGCTCAGGGATCCAAATATGAGAGTACGAACAAGTTATCAACCATATTTAAATGCTGTTGAGCGATATTTCAACAAATTGTTACCTCTACTTGGGAATTATCTCTACACAAAAGAAAAGGGCCCCATAGTTGCACTACAAATTGAGAATGAATATGGCAGCTATTCAGATGATAAAGAATATTTGTTATTTCTGCAGAAATTATATCAGAAATTTGATCTATATGTCCTACATTTCACATCAGACGGTTCATTTGGTCTCATCCCAGGATCTGTTCCAAGTGCTTTGAAAACTATAAACTTTGTGAAAAATCCTGAAAAGAATCTTCGAAATTTAACTATTATTCAGCCAAATAAACCATTATTTGTAGCTGAATTTTGGTCAGGCTGGTTTGACCACTGGACTGAGAAACACCACGCCTATGGTGCTGGGGATTTAAAGGAATCAGTGAAGACAATTCTCAGTATGGGAAGCTCAATCAACTTTTATATGTTTGTTGGTGGTTCTAATTGGGGATTTTGGAGTGGAGCAAATGCTAAAATGAATTCCCCTCAGTATATGCCAACAGTCACGAGTTATGATTATGATGCTCCCATTTCCGAGGCAGGTGACCTTACAGCTAAATATTCAGCTCTGCGGTACTTATTCCACGAGTTGAAACTAGTCGGAGATCTCCCTGAAATTCCACTGGAAACCCCTAAAGCCTCTTATGGGGTCATTAAAATGACTCATTGTTTAGGTTTGGAGGATCTGGTGGGAATTTTGGATCCAAGTGATATAAAGAATCTATCTTATGTTAGCCCAATGGAAAAACTGGATATAAATAACAATAATGGTCAAGGTTATGGTTGGATCATGTATGAAACTAAAATTAAAAAAGGTCAAAAGCTAACATTCAATGGTGAAATCCGTGACCGTGCTCAGATTTTCCTGAATGGAAAAGAGGTTGCCGTGCTGAATTGGACTGAATCAAATGCTCATGTTTTGTTGGACTCTTCTACTATGGGAGAAACAAACACTTTAGCAGTTTTGGTTGAAAATATGGGACGTGCAAATTTCCGTCCACCTGTTATGAAGACACTTGTTTTTGAGAAACAATTTAAGGGAATTCTGGGAGATGTATCATTTGATGGAAAAAAGATAGCTCACTGGCAGCACATTCCTCTCGAATTTTGTGATGTTTTTCGTAAAAATTTACTTAAAACAAAAATTTGGAAAAATATTGTGGAAATTCAAGGCCCAGCCATATACAGAGGTAACCTCAAAATAACAGGTCCCCCTAAAGATACATTTATTTCAACTGAGGGGTGGAGCAAGGGAATTGTAATGATAAATTCAGTAAATTTAGGACGTTATTGGAGTGTTGGACCACAGGGGACGATTTATGTCCCTGCTCCCCTGCTAAAGGAAGGGGATAACTCCGTGATGTTATTTGAACTACATTCTGCAAATGGTGACAAGAGTGTGGCGTTTTTGGATCACCCAATACTTCAAATTGCTCAGAAAATATAGTCAAATGAAAGAAGTCTGTTCCAAATTTTTGCTCACTGTTCAGATTTTTTTATGTATTTTTAAAAGTAAAGTTATTGGGCATGTACATGTATTTAGGATGTTAAAAAGATATCAGTGATTCAAAACCGTCCAAAGTTGCCATTTCAAATCAAAAGTAACAAAAGTAATCAACTCTAGAACTAAGCATCATTGTGTTTATGCCACAGGTGCTGTGATCAAGAGTCAATATTTTTTGTCTGAGAAATCATTGTTTAGATTCAGGCTCTTTAAGCCATTTAAATTGCTATAGTGGTCTAGTCATGTATAAATATAGCATTATAACATGATGGAGAGTGTGATATATGGAAATATCACCTCGAGGAATAAAGTATCACACGAGGCAGAGCCTATATATTACACTCCCCATCATGTAATTTGCGTTTATCACACAAAAATATAAAAATATGTTTTTTTAATTCTGAAGAGCATGGGACTTTTCTGTTCATATTCAACAAAACAACGCAGCAAACTCCACATTTATTTAAAAAAAAAATCCTAGTCCAGGCTCTTATTATCATGCCCAATGAATTAGATTTTGATTGCACAAATTGTTTCATAAATTCTGATCTACTGTAAATCAAATAATACCCGAAGCTAGAGCTAGCCGAAAAATGGCAGAAAAACCACATGCATGATTATTTGCTGCTAAAGAAATGTGTCTGTGACGTCTTGAACTCAGTGAGGTCTAGTCATTTGTTTGTTTAGTTGTCACTGGGGTGATACAGTGATACATGTGTGATGTCACAAATGATCGCATCATATTCCGCAAATTCATTAGAAATATTGCTATATGACACCATGATAACGAAAATGAACGCATCATCTATAAAATCTCACATAGCTCATCCAGGCACCTAGATATTATCACATGGTTCATCCGGGAATTTCAACAATATCACATGGGACATCGGGGACTTTCAATTTGTTAGACCGAATTATCAAATGGTCATGTGATGTGAACTGACCAATTACAGTCCATCATTCTAGTTTGAGATGTGATAAATGTATTTAATAGATGTAGACTTAATCCTTTTGAGATCTATCAATATTTTCTATTAACATTAAGGGAGGGAGATTCTCATCATGGTTGGCCATAACATGTCATGAAAAACTGCCATTTACGAGTTGTACAATTAGTTGCAACTAATAATAGTTTGAATTAAATACTATATGAACACTGATTTGTAATCTCATATATTAACCCTTTCACGACGTGAATATAAAAGGAAAATGTTGGCCCTGGTGACGGATAAGTAAGAGCGGTTTTTAGGGGAAACTGCAAATAACCTATGCCCCAGGACCTATACCTTGAATTTTATCACTGAAATACAATTTTGTAGTAAGAACAACTTGTCAAGAATTGATGTAAAAATACTGCATAGAACTGGAGATATTGTCATTTCATTGATGTATATGAATAAAAATAATGGTGCCAAAAGGAGCCTATCGTCCTGAAAGGTATTACATAATAGGGCTCCATATGGAGCCTATCGTCGTGAAAGGGTTAAAAATGTGATACCTTGAATTGTCATGGCTTGCTCAGTTGACAGGGTCATAAATTAATATGCAGTTGGCTTAGTTATCAAGATTTTAAAGAAATCATTTTTGTAAAATGAGCTCAATCTTTTAGCCAGCAATGTGCATCTTATTCATCAAATTGTTTCATTGGATTCTTACTAGTGTTACTAATAATAGTACTGTTATGCAGCATTGTATAGGGAGTTTAGAGAGCCAGCCTTAATGATTCTGCTGTAATATTAGATCTAGAAGGCCAGATGTTGTACATACTGTAAATAGGGGTTTACTTCTTTTGGATTTGTATTCTATTTTATAATTTACATGTAAGTACCCACGGTTGGGTCAAACTAGAGAAGGTATCTGATATTTTGTAACCATGTAAATATATATGATAGAGAAAACCTGTCAGGGTTCAGTGTAGACATGATTGTCCTATACTCTACCCTTCCTTAAACTGTAGCCTGTATTTCTTTAAAAGGGATACAGGCTACAGTGAAGTTGGAGGATGTTTGTTTATTTTCATATTTCTGAAGGTTAAATATGTTTTACATATATTCCAAGTGTTCTACTTCTAGCAGTTTACATAGTACATATTATTACCAGAAAAGCCCTTTACACAAAGATAGAGAATACCCTCTTCATTTGCAACGTCACTGTAGCCTGTATCCTTTTTAAGTGTGGTCACTTGGCAGGGTAGAGTGATACATCATACATCATATGGAGATTATGTACTATATTATGAGAGAAAACTGGCTAAGGTGAAAATAAAAATGCAAAACCAAATACAGGAATATTGTGTTTTAACATTTATTGCATTAATGTTTTCAGATGCAGCTTTCAGAAAAAAGCTAATCAATAAATAACAAAGACAACTGTATTGGCCATGAAATTAATTCATTGGGTATCTGAAACATTGTCAGGCAGTCATCCAGAACAGTCACGTTTCTGGGGGCTTGTGGAAAAATCCTGTTACGGCATTAACATTTTCAATCATTGAACAAAAGGGTCAATTGTTATTTGTGTTCACTATTGTAAAATGTAACACTGTTGCCACATGGTGAACCTTTGGAATTGTTTCTTAACAGAGGAATGGCTTTATGATGCGAGTTTGCCAGGTGTATACCATTCAGATTCACTACTATCATAGCAAAATCCAGTACAAATACATCCAATTCTCAGATTAAAAATTTTGTTGTCAAAATTATCTGAAAACATATTTTTCATTTTCTTTTCCTGAAACCCCAACCATTAAGATAGTGTTCCAATGCTGGAAAGTGTGCAATATAAAATTTCCTCTTTGGCAAATCTACTCCAAAGTCTGTACATGTCCATTGTGACATCATATTACCCTGAGCTTGTAATCATTACAGCAATGTTCAGTATGTAAGGATGACTTTCCAGTTGAGATATCTCTAATATATCAGCCTTCTATATCATCCACCAATGATTGCACTAGCCCACTGGTTGTTAAGCTTTCTCCTAGCATAGCTGAAAATGCAGTAAATATGTGTAAATAGTCTTGCAGTGGAGTTTAAATCTTGCATTAAGGTCTCTGTTCTCCTACACCCTAGGTACAATTTAAAAAGTCACATAATACTAATAGAAATAAACATCACTTTGACAATACACACACACAAATTCATTAAGAACACATCGCCATGTGAGTTTCCATTGACATCAAAAGTTTCCTTTCTAATTCCTCAGTACATTCCTCAAACAAGTAAATTCCATGAGTAGACTGCAACAGAGTTCTTACCTTCTATCAAATCCTGTGGGGGCTTTCCTCCTCCATGTGACAACATCTCTCTTCTATATCTCTCACCAGAAGCCCTGAACAATGAATGATACATCAAATACAGTACAAGGCATAAAACATGCTATTGTCACCATTTGGCCATTTTAATAGTATTTTAAATGGCAGGTTATGCATGACAAAGGTTAATGTATAGTGTTAATGTTTAAAGCAATCTTGTCAAAAAGCATATCAATGTTTTCCTTTAAATCTGAAATTTTATTTTCTAATTGTTTTCTGATCAGATATAGAATAACATGTACTTTACTCTAAACAGTCTTTAATTACCTGCAAAATGGGTCTTCCTTAAAATATTGCTGCCAAATTTTAGCTGCCACTGAACGGGACATCAGGTACGAATAATACTTAGCTCCATAGCCTACTAGATGACTGAATCTCAATTGCCATCCCTGAAAATACATATGATGTGTCATATATGTACATGTTTCATACTAGCTGGCTTGCTTATTCTTCGTTTTTGAACATTTAATGCAATAAATAACCAGGCAATTTTAGTGTTTCGTTTATACGCTTAAAAATAATAATACTCTAGAGAGGAGTAAATCTCAATGAACAAAATATGATTTTTCTTGATCATTTTCCATTTACAATGTCACACCATTCCTGATGCCTTCAAAAATTCCTTGATTTGTACATCTTATACAGATTGATAATGAAGGCATACATTGTTGATAATTTCAAATTTCTGCAAAGTGTCATATTTAGGTGACCATAATGTTGATCATTTTGAGAGATATCACTTTTATCAACAAGTTGATATCAAATATCATGAGGAGATAAAATGACATCACAGAAATGGTCTGATATTGGTATCCATTACAATCAACAATTTTAAAAAATTCATATTTGTTTATCATACAGATGTGGCTAAAAAACAAACTCACAGTTCCCGGGACATATGGAAGTCCATAAAACTGGTTCTGTGTGTCTGCTAAAATATCAGTTGTTGATCTTCCAAGTGGATGTTTCCCATGGTACAACTGGTCAGTTATTGAGTAGAACACTTGGAGGCTTGTATCCTAAAATGGTAATAAAATACTATTGAGTAGAACACTTGGAGGCTTGTATCCTAAAATGGTAATAAAATACTATTGAGTAAAACACTTGGAGGCTTGTATCCTAAAATGGTAATAAAATACTATTGAGTAGAACACTTGGAGGCTTGTATCCTAAAATGGTAATTAAGTACTATTGAGTAGAACACTTGGAGGCTTGTATCCTAAAATGGTAATAAAATACTATTGAGTAGAACACTTGGAGGCTTGTATCCTAAAATGGTAATTAAGTACTATTGAGTAAAACACTTGGAGGCTTGTATCCTAAAATGGTAATAAAATACTATTGAGTAGAACACTTGGAGGCTTGTATCCTAAAATGGTAATAAAATACTACTGAGTAAAACACTTGGAGGCTTGTATCCTAAAATGGTAATAACATACTAAATGGTTCAAAATTAAAAAAGAAATGTAGAAAAACAGAGACCATCTATTTAAATAAAAGTTGATACATTACATCATTTTCAAAAACTTTAGGGCTTCTTCACTGAAATAACTTAACTGATTTCACTGAAATAACTTAACTGATTTCACTCCAATTCTATAATTCTCATTATGATGTTACTTACTGAAGCTTGAAACATCTTCCGTGATGCACATATATTGTCTAGAACATTTTCAGGAAGAGATTCCCCAGTTTTGTAATGCCTGGCAAAACTGGACAAAACCTACACAAAAAAATGAATAAATATATAATAATTATGACCTCACAAAAGGACACAATACACTGACTCTTTTGTCAAGCGGGAATTTATAAAATCTCAGAGATCATGATCCTTTCAGCTGAATCTCCTGTTTAAACAAAACATCGCCAAAGCTAAATAATAATCAAAAATGTATTAAGTAACCATTGTTATGCTCCTATATTCAGAGAATGCTATCATTACATTGCCAAATACAGATTAAAAAAGAGTTAACTGTATGACAACAAAATTGAACAAATATATGAATCGAAACATATAAAAATCTTACTCGTTTATCAGAGACAAAATATTCCATGAGAACAGAAGGCACTTCAGCAAAGTCAGTTGAGCAGCGGGTACCTAGTTTAAAGAAATGCATATTTTAAGAAAGGTGGCTTGAACAACTGCGATTCATGATAGGATATTCTAATACAGTGACTGCTTGGATTAGTTAGTATTCCTAAACATTTTAAAATGTTTACATTAAGAAGTTTACCATGGGAGTCCATTGGATATCCAAAATACAGATCATCAGGTCTAATAACATTTAGAGTGTTTACATTACAGACCTTTTCACATTATTTAGAGGTGTCACTGTGGTTGTATTTCTTATTATAACATGCTGTATTTTAAAATCTAAACCATATATCAGTTATGGTTAAAAAGTAATAAAACCTGAAGTTGATAAAATCATTTTTCCAAGATATACCTGTAACATGCTGGTACTTGGTGCGTCCAAGCATGGAATGCATTGCATGTCCAAACTCATGGAACAGGTTGTCCAGGGTGCCTGGGGTCAGCAGTGATGGCACACGGCCTTGGGGTGGGGGAAGATTCAACATTAGCACAACTGCAGGGGTCTGAAATAAAAAGCAAATGAGGCCTGCTTAAAGCTTCAAAATTAACACCTTTGATGAAAGATACAGATCTCAAAAATTAGGCTAAATATAAAAAGCAACAGCAATTGTAGTTCAAGCAAAAATGATGTTAGAAATACTTTGCCCCCAATAAAAATTAGGGCATTAGCATAACAAAAAATGTCATTTTATATTATGAAATCATATCAATTGTTCAGAGAAACTCATACAAATGATGTGATGGAAAATAATCTCAATACATGACTGCTATAACATTATTTCTTGATGTGACATAACAAACAGGTGCATCAATAGACTAGATGCGAGTAGAAAAATCTTGATTTACGTCATTAAATATTCAAAATTCAGTCAAAGTGATATCATATTTGAAATCTACATGTAAAAGTACATCTACAAATATGATTTCGAAAATTGTTTATTAACTTTGAAAATTTAATTTTTTTGAAAATGTGACTTCTAGCTCGGGTTGATTCCCCATAGACCCCATGTTACAAAATCACAAAAAGAGAAATATCTTTTCTTGTATTGGACAGATAAAAATTTCTTTTACTGGACATATTTTAATTCACATAACAATTAGATACATAAGGGTTATATGAAAATTGAACCACTAAAACAGATGTAATTTAAGTTAAAGGGAACATTCTACTATACTCGCCATGCTATCTTACCCGAACGAGCCACCTGGTGGTGAAACTGGTAACTACTTACTCACATCTGCGTTATTATAATGCAAGAAATGTTAAAGATAACAGTCATATGTATAATTCATATTTTAGTCCATTCTGAATGCCGAAAACTTATACAAGGGGCGTCAGCATACCTGGTATGATCCATCAGAGTTTTCCCTGCCACCCCTAATAGTAAAATGGCAATCTTGGTTGGGTTTGTCCACTCTTTCAAAGAAGTCACAATAAATATGACCAAGGACACCATCAGTTTCATGTGTTACTGCCTGAAAGACATAAACATAAAAAGGATATTTCTGTAATATGTCTTGTGTCATAAAAATTTTCCATGTGTATTAGGAATCTGATGATAAATATAATTGTTTTACAAAATACCATGAGTAATGTGCAACTAACTAAATCCTGTCTTAGTACACATTTCTAAACAATTAAGATTGCTACCCAATACGTTTTGGCGTTCCTTCGCTGAAACAACTACAATCTATTGTACTCCTCACTACATATATTTTGCATTTCAAAATGAGATTTCTATGACAGATATACTTACAAGTTTGTAGATATCACTATGCCAGAGCTCTCCGGGAGATGGGTCGACATTTTCTAACGTCACACCAAATATGGACTTGAATAGATTATTTAACCCTTCCATGCAAGCTCCTAATGAGAAAAATGGCGCTAATTTTGAGCTTTTAACATTACATTTCTCATGTCTCGCGATTCCGCTGTAATATGAGACATCCCATGGATAAACATTCTGAAAAAAAAGTCAATTATCTACACAGATGAATTGATCTGTTGATTCTTCAGTTGGATTATAAAAATGATTTGTTGCCTCTTAGTGGTTTTCTTAGGCTTCCCTCTAAGTATCAAATAATTTTACAATCATGAAAGGTGTTGATACTTAGCATTCACTGTAAATGTGAGCATGATCTCGCTGAATTCCTGATTCCCAAACCCATTGTTGATTAAGATAGACAATACTTGAAAAGTATAATTACATTTTTATCAACTGTTACTCACTATATCTTGAGCCCCTTGCTTGTGTTTGTAGCGACTCATCATTTTGAAATCTTCATTAGATTTATCTTTTAGTCTTCCAGCTAAAGTTGTTAGAAACTCCATTACATTTTCTGAAAGAAAATATCTAAAAACATGTATCTTCTCGTGCTGATTATTTTTTATATTATTATTTTAGTTTCATCATTAGTTCTTGAATGTTTAACTTGTACCTCATATTTTCATCAATTATTTTTCATAATTTTTAGTTTTAGTTTTTCAATATTTTTTCCCCTTTTACTTGACTTTAAGCCAAAATTTTAGTGAAGGTGTTTTGAAATATTTCGACTTTTAACCTAGAGTTTTGGCTACAGCGCCCCCTTAAACCCTCTTCCCATATATGGAGAAGTCCACAAGGTTTTTACCTGGAGTTTTGGCTACAGTGCCCCCTAGTGCCCTATGGGCATACGTGGGGAAGCCTACTAAGTTTGCCAGTTCATTCCTTTGAGAGAGCAAGCTGTGTAGAATGTTTAGCTGGTTTTCATGTGGGTAGAGGTAGATTTTGTATGCTGCTTCTCGGACCTTGAAAAATAACATTTTTTCACAAACTGGAGCAAAATTTATTGTGTTGTGGAAAACATTTTGATGTATGACAATTAGGATAGTTTGGAAAATGGAAAAATAATAGAAAAGCTTTAACTTTATAATTTAAAGTTTGAACAGACTGGACCCTATTTGTTATCTAAAATCTATATCCATATGAAAAAAGGCACACCATTTTTTATTTCAAAATTTAAAATCTAAATCGATGCAAACAACTTATGGTCTGTGCACATAGTTTTTCTACTAAAACAGAGAATCTCAAATGATATACATGTACATACCAAATCACTATAGTGATCTGAGAAAAGTCCAGTCACATATATATTGTCACCATCTAAGGCAAACCTGAAAGCAGAATCAAGAAAATTGGATTTTTGTACAACCAAAGTTGTCGAGTGTTGGCCAAGAGGGCTTGAGCGTGTGCCGGCACATTCAAGCTGGGCGTATGGGTGCTGTAACCACAAGGTTGCAAGGTAGAGATGTGTGTGTTCCTTGTGTTCATTCAGTAAATACATGTAGACTACTGTTTGTCATTTATTATTGAAACATTCTACCATTAATTCATTCATCTAATCTTTAAAAATCAATACCAAATGATTCACTAAGAAAAAAACCCCTAGAAATAGCATACTTACACATGTCTAAGGTTTTGTGGAAGACTAGCTTTTGGCACATGTATAGGACGCTGTGCACCCTGTACAAAATAAGAGCTAAGGGCAAGGATGCTTTCATTTAGTTCAACAAATTTCTGCCTCTGTAACATACAATTAAAACAGTGCATAAAACAAAATTAGTAGCAGTATCATATTCAATTATGTATTTTAAATTTAGATATATCATAGTCAATTCTGTATTTTAAATCTTTTATGCCCCGAATACCATCGAATACCTCCCCATCTACTTGACACTACTTTGAGATTGCATTTATTTCACTGAGATTGATACACAGTAGGAAATCCATTGAAATCCATTAATATTTTACGAGGGTAAGTTACCTTTGATTCCTCTAGATGTATTCCACTCTGTTCAAAGTCAAACATGAACAGCTCTGCCACTCGTTTATCTATAACATCTATGCCATCCACATGGTCGCCATTCTCAATGACATGTTTCAAAGCACTGTGTATTGAAACATTTGTGTTCAATCTAAAAATATACACATGTTACAAGGTACTGTGTATTGAAACATTTGTGTTCAATCTAAAAGTATGCATATGTTACAAGGCACTGTGTATTGAAACATTTGTGTTCAATCTAAAAGTATACACATGTTTCAAGGCACTGTGTATTGAAACATTTGTGTTCAATCTAAAAATATACACATGTTACAAGGCACTGTGTATTGAAACATTTGTGTTCAATCTAAAAGTATGCATATGTTACAAGGCACTGTGTATTGAAACATTTGTGTTCAATCTAAAAAGTATGCATATGTTGCAAGGCACTGTGTATTGAAACATTTGTGTTCAATCTAAAAAGTATGCATATGTTACAAGGCACTGTGTATTGAACCATTTGTGTTCAATCTAAAAAGTATGCATATGTTACAAGGCACTGTGTATTGAAACATTTGTGTTCAATCTAAAAAGTATGCATATGTTACAAGGCACTGTGTATTGAAACATTTGTGTTCAATCTAAAAAGTATGCATATGTTACAAGGCACTGTGTATTGAAACATTTGTGTTCAATCTAAAAAGTATGCATATGTTACAAGGCACTGTGTATTGAAACATTTGTGTTCAATCTAAAAAGTATGCATATGTTACAAGACACTGTGTATTGAAAAGTATGCATATGTTTCAAGGCACTGTGTATTGAAACATTTGTGTTCAATCTAAAAAGTATGCATATGTTTCAAGGCACTGTGTATTGAAACATTTGTGTTCAATCTAAAAAGTATGCATATGTTACAAGGCACTGTGTATTGAAACATTTGTGTTCAATCTAAAAAGTATGCATATGTTTCAAGGCACTGTGTATTGAAACATTTGTGTTCAATCTAAAAGTATACACATGTTACAAGGCACTGTGTATTGAAACATTTGTGTTCAATCTAAAAAGTATGCATATGTTTCTAATGAGTTAATAATAGGATAGTTTCCTATAAAATCAAATCTAGTGCTGCCATCTATTATTCAGCTTTTAAATTGGGCTAGACTGCCATTCACTTACATGTTAAAATCTTGATATAGTTGCTTAATTTCATGATTTATCAAAAGTGTTAGTTGAATCTGTGTAAAACTTGAATAATATACCATATGATGACCCTGATAATGTACATGTTGTGATTAAACATGCAAGTGTTGGTTGACATACAAATAATCCAAGGTTTTAAAGAATTTTAGCATTGCATCAATGGAGATTTGGCCCAAGTTTTTTTTAAATGTCATGGAAAATGATTCAATTGACATAACTGTGTAAATCAAAGCTATTATAGGACAAAACATTTCACTGAATTCAAATGCCATTTAAAAGAACGAAAGGTGTGTTATTAGAGGTCTAATATGCAAATCTCTTAAAATCAAAGGTCAATCTAAAATTTACTTTTCTACAAGGACTCCTATTTCTGAGCATGTATCTTCTGCTGCATCTGCATAACGTTTGTCCGGGTGAGCAACTCGTACAAAGTCCGCCTAAAAAATAAATATGCTATCATAAATAAACTCAGGGGTTTCATTTATGCAGAGGGTTCAGGTAATTTCATTTGAATGTAAAGATAACTTCCAATAATTTTGCATATTGTTATCTTTTAAAATCACTGATACTGGAATAATATGACTGGTCAATGAGGTGACTGTAAAGTTTAATAAAAAGGACATGGTGTCATTCCTTGGCTGTATTCGTATATTGTTTCAAAATAAAAACTAAATAATAATTAAATGAGAATGAAATACAATTACCATATCAGCTACTTTGCAGAGACTGTCTGACAGGTCATCAAACACTTGTACTATTTTGCGTTGTCTATGAGGATCAACAGTTTCATTGCAAAGGGTTTCTGTTACTTCCCTCACTCCTTCTTGAAGGAGGTAAAACCCCGAGTGATCCTTTAACTCGGGAATTTGGAATAATCCCTGAAATCACAGAGTAACAGACAATAAGCTCAAAAGGTTGGCACCCTTTATTCTGTATCGCTGGTACTAAAATGATCCTTTACATTTACTTGGATGTTCAGTGTTCACATGGCACATTTAGCAGCTAAAAAATTAAAAAAGAGGTTTTCACATTGGTTGCTATTGTAATACATGTAAACAATTTGAAAAATTCTGATTAAGATTTTAAATAATGTAATTCAATTACAGTGTGTTATTGTTGTAAAAAAATCTATAAGAATCTTTTATAGATAACTAAATCTGTCCTTGAGACACTCATCTAACTACAAGCTGCTAAAGACTGCATGATTCTTTTGTACAATGTATATCTGGGCTATTATATGAGCCTGTGTTACCATATTTTGTTGTTTTGTTTCTTTTATTACTGATCCTACTTTTTTGCATTAAATTAATGAAGCATTAACATGTAAAATGTCACCACCTGCCATTTGTTACAGATGCCGAATGCTGTTACAGATGCCATCTGACGAACACTCACGGTCACAAAAAGGTTGAAGATTATAACAATACAGTATGCCAAAAATTAAAAATAGGAATAAAAAATTAAACTGACCACATTTTCATTCTTCCAGTTAATTTTGCGTCCAGGTTTTGTATTGAATGCTCCAGCTAATGGTGTCCATGTTGTAACACGTCTATGGCCTCCTAATGGCCCTTGTCCTTTTGGCCCATATATGAAGCTAGAACATGACCTTGGGATATGTTGTCCAATACGATGACAAAACATGTTAAACTTTGTTAAGCAATGTTGTTCATATGAAACTATTCATATTGCATTTTCCATTGGTTCAATCCACCAAGACAGCCATCTGATTTGTGACCAAAACACGCCTACAAAGAATTTTAAGCACATGTACATAATACATATATACATGATTATAGTGAGGATCATCAGGCCCGTAGCCAGCAAACCCCTGCCCCTCCCCCCATAGTATAAGTAAGAGTTGAAAAATGGCTTCAAAATGGCTCATTTTTTCAAAAACTGTCCATGGTATAACATAGTGAGGAATAAGGGAATAAGATGAAGTATGCTTACAGTCTGTAACCTGTTTTCTTATTTTTCAGTTTCAACTGCTTGCCTTTGAAGCAGTGTAACAGACTGTAGGTTGACAGGCCTGAGAATGCCTCAAAGTTTCGAAGAACGATGACTCCAGTCCGTGGTATATTGAGTCCCCTGGCTATGATATGTATATTTTGTGACTTGATTATTTCATCAACTTCTTTGCAATCAAAAAAATTGAGAAAACCGAAATAAAATGCAGTTTACTGATGTTTACTGACAGAATGTGAAAATAATTCTTCCTTAATGAAGGAAACATATCCTTGCCCAGTAGTGGAAATGTATGGAATAGTCTTACCTCTACGATATATCAAGTAATCAGAGAGAAAACATGCAAAAATTTCAAGAAGTATGAAACTTAACGACTTTCAACCTTATTCACTTACGGCACTAGAAATGAGCGAATCATTTTACATTAGATAAACGAAAACATTGAAATAAAACTAGATTATATACTAGCCAAAAAGATAATACTGTTCATAAAATGATACTTACACAATAATAGTTTTGTCCAAATTTATGTGAATAATATTATTTCCAATACAAATTGTAAGAATATTGATAAAGGCTTCGTTTCGTTTTCCATTTAGTTGTAGTTATAGTGCGGGTTGACCATATGTCAACATACATTATGCAGAAAACTTGTTGATCAAAATATGAGAAAATCGCCCAGAAGAGACGTCAAATGTTGGAATTTTAGTAGCTAGTGATATACCTGGATACCTAAAGATATGGGAAAGCGAAAGAATGGCGAGGAAACGGCAGAGGGAGACCAAACAATCCCTCTCCCAATCCAGACATTCCTATGGAGGCAGTCGAGGTAAAGCAGAATTAATTTATAGAATCGTCTATTTTTATTCCGTTTCATTTCCATATCCCTGACAAATGAATTATCAAGCATCAAAGCATAATCCCCATGATAGATTTAAGTTTCTATTTTTTGTAATTTTTCAGTGCTTTTATTCGACCAAAGCTAGGAAAGATGACTGAAGCTTCATGCATGGTAAGTGTTACATGTAAATCATTATTCCACTTGTAATTAGATTCACAGCTTAATTATCCAATTAGTACAGGTGGACTGCTAGGGCATATATCTTTATCAAATGTTTACAGTTACTGAAGGCTCTTATTGTACTCCTGGAAATAGAGAAATCCAGGAGGTATCAGTTGAGAATGATTGATTTGTTACGTGAACACTCATCAACCCTACTTGTCAAAATGGTGAAACATGATGTCTTTACCCAAACTTTCATCAGTTATCTATTCTTGATCTAAATAAGACCAACAATTCATCTCAAATTCTTCAATATAATGTATGCATGAATGTAAAATGAACATGTAAATTAGTAAAGTGAATACTTATCAGACCCTTATCAACATGTAAATAAACAAATTAAATGCTTAAGGTCAGACTGCACTTTCTACCATTTTGATGACCAAATGCTTTTTTCAGATGAAAATAACTCATTCCAAACAAAGTCTAAATCTTTCATTTTTGCACAAAAGTTACTTTAGTGTACCAAGCAGATTAATAGTTTAGTGTCATTTTTTCTTTAGAATGTATAAATAACTATAAAATTGAGCAGTCTTCTTTTCAAAATTGCAAAAAATCTCACCATGCAGATCTACCTTAACTGCTGTATCTCCTGATTTATTATTTCCTGATTTATTTTAGTCTTAGGTCCAGAATAAATGTTGATTCTTGTCAGCTCAAGAGATTTAATCAGAGTTCTTGAAATCCAGGGCTCCAATAATTGAGTGAGGAACCCCTCGCTTAAGTAACCAGGATGCTCAGACAACACATTCAAGACTTTATGATATTCACCAGATAACATCCTGGTTGCTGAAATGAGGAAATTTTTATTTGATTATTGGAGTTGCAAGATATATTTGCTTGTGACTGGCTGCTGGGTACTGAAAAGTTGATACTCATACATATTTTACCCTTACAAATATAGCCGGAAGGGTATGACGAATTATTTTCAATGATTAACACTGAAATTTATTCAGATTGATATATCTTCATATTTTTTGTTTTTTATAGTCATTTGAGAGGGTCCTTGTACAGAACATCCACCATGGGCTATCCCCAAGTCTTTGTGAAGCCATACAGAGTATTTCACGCTGGAAATTAATCCAAGGAGCCTTCCCCCATGTCATGCATTGCTGCGGGTCCCTTTTACATGCTAGGAAACAATCTGATCCCCATGGTAAATTTACCACTGCCCAGACAAAGTTGCTATACACCCTACATTGGATTCTCTTAGACTCAGCATCAGAATGTGAAGATTCAGATGCTGAGAAACCTACCAATAACAATAAAGCTCCGTTATCTTACATGCATAGCATAGACACAGTCCAGCTATTTGTCTATCTATTTGCTCCCCTTGTCTCCAGTCTCCGTGAATCAGATTTTCAGAGTTTGAAACTTGAGAGTGGATTAAGGCTGTGGCAGGCAATATGGGAGTTCCGCCAACCAGATATACTGTGTTTTTCAACCCCTGTGAAGCCCAAAAGAACTCTTTTGAAAGCACAGAGACAAACAGTAAAAATTGACAACACAAATGCTGCCAACATTTTTATGGGACAGAACGGAGGTGCAGATGATGGTGGCATATTTTTAGGATTTGATAGCCCAGAATTAGCTGCAGAGACTCATTCTCCAACTGAGGTCTCGCCATCTCATTCAGTCAATCACATGGCTCCGATTGCACGCATGAGTGATATCTGCGACTCATCATCTATATCCGACTCAAGGTCAATTATGGAGGTGATATGTGAGATCTGCAATGGGATACTGCATAGCAAGCAAGGTGAGCCTGTGAATTGTATTTGTAAAACCCCCAGGAATAGCGTTGTCTCATTCTCAGACCCGACACCCACACAGAAAAGTCAAACAACAGGTGAACTACCGAATGTAGGAACAGTTCCAGATGCAAATGAACCAGTTGATAAGGATTACATCCAACAAAGCTTAAGAGATGCATCAAGGGGGGCCATACAACAAGATGTCTTAATGGCAAGTTACTTTGACGTAGCTGTGCTGAGATGTTTATTCTGTTCAAATTGGTGTGAAGATGGAGTCTACTGGGCCTTGAGGTATATCCACAATCGACTCCTTGATATTTGTGATGAGATAAAACATAGTGATCAGACCAGAGAACGGAGCAAATCATTACCAATTCCTGATATTAAAGTGTCTGTTTATGCGTCACCTCAGCTCCAAAGGCAGACTAGCAGAAGTGCCAACTTCAGTATAGCTGGTAGAATTGAACCTGCACCAAAGAAATTCAAAGTATCAGAACTCAAGAGTTTCTTTGAACCAAGAATTCCCCATGTTAGGAAGCTTGATGAGAATTCACCAGTCCCACCTGTGAAACTTGTTTCACCAGCGACAGACAACCCAAACATAGATGTCACTGCTGTAGATTCTGATTCAAGGTCAAATTCTCCACTTGGCAAGGTCAATGAGGAAGAAAATGAATTATCAAGCAGTACAATGTCAGATTCAATGACAGATTTAGTGCGTCAACAAAGCATGCCGACACTTGTTTCAACAAGTGATAATGTTAACCTTCCAGTACGCAACTCCTCATCCCCAAATATTCTTCGTCACAAAATAGACCAAAATATGACCTTGAAGCCTGAGCTCCTGAATAGACCAATCATAACAATAACACAAGACACACCAAGCTCTCCAACAGTCTCTGAATGGTCAAAAACAGAAAATGGAAAACGAGGCGACACCCCAGGGGGCACACTGACCAGGTCATTGACTGATTCAAATATCAGCTACAAGAAAGAGCCCGAAGTGACTGAAGTATCTGGATCTGTGCATTACATACAACAGAATGGACAGCTGAATTATAAGGTGAGAGAAGATGTCATACTTCACTCACATTCTTACAATATTGAAAGACATTTTGAATTTCTGCATTATATGTTTGATATTTAGATTAAAGTTGAGTGCCAATACAAAATGTTTATCTTACTGGAGAGTTGAGTGCCATGGTCTGTGCAGTTGTACTTAACATAATTTTTTTCAGGTTATTCTCAAGTCTCTCCATGCAGTCTCTAGTGGAGAGTTGAGTGCCAGGGTCTGTGCAGTTGTACTCAACATACTCAACTGCCTCATGGACTTGGAGGTCATCGAGAAAAAGGTAAAAATATTGGTAATATTGAAATTTTACAGCCTCAAGAAAGATTTGATTACTTTAACACTGCCCAGTTGCAAAGACTTTCATGATTAAAAAACAACTTATGAATTGATTTACTAACAGTACTTTCTTATTGCAAATTCACTTTACATATTCCAACCTATCCATTATTTACATGATGTTTGTTGCTAAAGGTCTAAAATATATTTGGCAACAGAGTGGAGGTGAAATTCAGTCAAGTGTGTTATTATAATCAGACAGCTGACAAAAGATGTTTTCACATTTCAGGAGAAGAAAGCCAAGAAGGCTGGATCTAAGGAAGAGAAACAAGAAGAATTGTTGAAGAAGCCAAGGAAGAAAACTAATGAGATGGGACCACATAATCTCGCTATGGATACCCTTATAAGGTAATGTTGAAAATAACAGAGAGATTTCACAACTCACTTATAGGATGTTTATGTAACAACCCTGGCCTATATGTAACAGTGGAGTGATCAATAAAACTGTTATTAAAGGAAGGAATACCTCTTGTGTTATGCCTAATTAATGAAAATACATAATAAGTAAGGTAAAGTTAAAATAATATATTTTATTTCACATGATTATTATTATATTAAAAGGTGTTAGCAATAATTGTATTTATTAATGTAAACAAGTGGTTATCCTTTATGGATACCACCTGATGAAAAATAGTCCCTGTTATAAATGGCAAGTATCAAATGAATAAAAGTACAAAATAAGTCATCCTTTATGGATAAACTTATAAGGAAATGAATGGATCCAAGTTGAAATGATATCCTTTATGGATTTACATAACATAATCAAGTAGTTATAATTCGTAATAGATGTACGTAACTAGGTCAAGTAATTGTCATCACTAATGGATGAACACAAATGAATGAAGTAGTTGTCATCCTTAATGGATGAATATAAAAAGGGCTAAGTTCATGTCATCCTTAATGGATGAACAAAAGTGGACTAGGATTAAGTGTTTCTCGTCCTTGAAGGATGATTGTAAAATGACTAAGTAGTTATCATCCTTAATGGATGAATGTAAAAGGGTAAGTGCATGTCATCCTTAATGGATGAATGTAAAAGGGCTAAGTGCATGTCATCCTTAATGGATGAATGTAAAATTACTAAGTACATGTTACTCCTAATGGATGAGCATAAGTGGACTATGTACATGTCATCCTTAATGGATGATCATAAGTGGACTATGTACATGTCATCCTTAATGGATGATCTCTAATGAATGAACATAAGTACATGTGAAATGAACGAACATAAGTACATGTGAAATGAACGAAGTAAAATAATCACTAGTGATAATAGCGGTTTAAAATATGTGTGTTCTACAGTATGATATGATCATATTGAACTAAATATGTACAGAAATTGTTATGTTTGAGTAGAAACTAAACCATTTATATTGAAGTTTCTTAAAAGTAAAAGTTTTCTCAAAATGTGTCCAATAAGAAATTGTGGTAAAGGAGTGATATTAATTTTCCCAATAGATGTCCAGTAAAAATGGCGGGGATTTGAAATTATACCAAATATTTCCCTTGTTAAAGAGCTTATAGAAATGGCGGTAATTTGAAATGACACCAGAATTTACTCAATAGGTGGCTAATAAAAGTGGCTGGAGTTTGAAATGTTACAAAATTTCCCTTATAAAATGACTAACAAATATGGCGGGAACTTGAAATGGTCCCAGACTTTACCCAATAGATGGCTAATAAAAATGGCGGGAACTTGAAATTGTACCAAATTTCCAAAGAATTATAAATGCCATGATAATTGAGTAACCATAAAACGTGGCTGATGAAAGTGGTCAATAACACCTTAGGAATATGACAAATTACCATCCCTGTTTACTCAATAACAATTGTAAATGTTAGATGAACATTTTCCCTTTCCAAAAATATGAGTAATTTTCCATCCCAAAACAGTGAATTTCCATGTCTAATGTGAAAGGATTTCCAACCAAAACATGAGGTTTTATCTATAAAATGTACCCATAATGAAGGAATTTATCCACGAAAACACAACTCAACTCACTGCAAGGAATTTCTCCCCAAAAATTATAAGGCTTTTACCCATAAGCTTTTGAAATAATATGTCCATAAAACAGTAAAGATTTGTACCCTCAAACATGATTGACAAAGCAGGTAAAGTTTTCCCGCCAAAAAGGTGTAATTGCCCGCCAAAGGGTAGTATTTTCCCGCCAAAAACCATAATTACCCGCCAAAAGGCATAATTACCCGCCAGAAGGCATAATAAAACATAGGCTTGAAATATAACCTGGAAACCTCTCGATAAAATGGTTTATTTATAATGACTAAACATTGCCTAAACACCTAAACACTGCAGCCGAAAATGTATTCAAAGTTATAAATGACCTCCTATATAAGGAATACGAGTATAAATAGAAGGGGAAGTATACTTGCAACGTGGTATAATGAATTAAATAAAATACTGGGTTATAAAATTGTATGCAATTTGAAATGGTAGACTCCAAACGCTAGAAATTCCAATGATTCTCTAAATGAAGTTCACATTATGTAGATGACCATAAATAAATGAAGTAACTATGAAGCCACAGAATGTATGAAAGAATGTAATTATTTAGGCCTACCCAAGTGTCAGCTGTTGAAGTTGAAGCCATGATGGGAGCACGTCCGTCCCTCAGCACGTTGCAAATATACTACCTCGAACTATGTTCGCGGGCTAATGATCATGTGATCTTCAGTCTCGAATCTCACGAGATTTGAAACGAGATTTTAAAGAAAACCGGAAGTATTTTAACCAGGAATTTGTAAAAACATCATTTTCAGTAAGTAAAATATAATGAAGTACAATATCGACCAGGTCCCTTTGCCATACTGGCGATAAATTACAAATGTCGGGCCCCTGGTCGCTACATTTAGTTATCTCTCTAATATTGATATGGATACCCTTATAAGGTAACGTTGAACACATTAGAGAGATTTCACAACTCACTTATAGGATGTTTAGTTATGTCTCTTATATTAATATGGATACCTTTATAAGGTAATGTTGAACACATTAGAGAGATTTCACAACTCACTTATAGCATGTTTAGTTATGTCTCTTATATTGATATGGATACCCTTATAAGGTAACGTTGAACACATTAGAGAGATTTCACAACTCACTTATAGGATGTTTAGTTATGTCTCTTATATTGATATGGATACCCTTATAAGGTAATGTTGAACACATTAGAGAGATTTCACAACTCACTTATAGGATGTTTAGTTATCTCTCTAATATTGATATGGATACCTTTATAAGGTAATGTTGAACACATTAGAGAGATTTCACAACTCACTTATAGGATGTTTAGTTATGTCTCTTATATTGATATGGATACCTTTATAAGGTAATGTTGAACACATTAGAGAGATTTCACAACTCACTTATAGGATGTTTAGTTATGTCTCTTATATTAATATGGATACCCTTATAAGGTAATGTTGAACACATTAGAGAGATTTCACAACTCACTTATAGGATGTTTAGTTATGTCTCTTATATTGATATGGATACCTTTATAAGGTAATGTTGAACACATTAGAGAGATTTCACAACTCACTTATAGGATGTTTAGTTATGTCTCTTATATTAATATGGATACCTTTATAAGGTAATGTTGAACACATTAGAGAGATTTCGCAACTCACTTATAGCATGTTTAGTTATGTCTCTTATATTGATATGGATACCTTTATAAGGTAATGTTGAACACATTAGAGAGATTTCACAACTCACTTATAGGATGTTTAGTTATGTCTCTTATATTGATATGGATACCCTTATAAGGTAACATTGAACACATTAGAGAGATTTCACAACTCACTTATAGGATGTTTAGTTATGTCTCTTATATTGATATGGATACCTTTATAAGGTAATGTTGAACACATTAGAGAGATTTCACAACTCACTTATAGGATGTTTAGTTATCTCTCTTATATTGATATGGATACCTTTATAAGGTAATGTTGAACACATTAGAGAGATTTCACAACTCACTTATAGGATGTTTAGTTATCTCTCTAATATTGATATGGATACCTTTATAAGGTAATGTTGAACACATTAGAGAGATTTCACAACTCACTTATAGGATGTTTAGTTATCTCTCTTATATTGATATGGATACCTTTATAAGGTAATGTTGAACACATTAGAGAGATTTCACAACTCACTTATAGGATGTTTAGTTATCTCTCTAATATTGATATGGATACCTTTATAAGGTAATGTTGAACACATTAGAGAGATTTCACAACTCACTTATAGCATGTTTAGTTATGTCTCTTATATTGATATGGATACCTTTATAAGGTAATGTTGAACACATTAGAGAGATTTCACAACTCACTTATAGGATGTTTAGTTATGTCTCTTATATTAATATGGATACCCTTATAAGGTAATGTTGAACACATTAGAGAGATTTCACAACTCACTTATAGGATGTTTAGTTATGTCTCTTATATTGATATGGATACCTTTATAAGGTAATGTTGAACACATTAGAGAGATTTCACAACTCACTTATAGGATGTTTAGTTATGTCTCTTATATTAATATGGATACCTTTATAAGGTAATGTTGAACACATTAGAGAGATTTCACAACTCACTTATAGCATGTTTAGTTATGTCTCTTATATTGATATGGATACCTTTATAAGGTAATGTTGAACACATTAGAGAGATTTCACAACTCACTTATAGGATGTTTAGTTATGTCTCTTATATTGATATGGATACCCTTATAAGGTAACGTTGAACACATTAGAGAGATTTCACAACTCACTTATAGGATGTTTAGTTATGTCTCTTATATTGATATGGATACCTTTATAAGGTAATGTTGAACACATTAGAGAGATTTCACAACTCACTTATAGGATGTTTAGTTATCTCTCTTATATTGATATGGATACCTTTATAAGGTAATGTTGAACACATTAGAGAGATTTCACAACTCACTTATAGGATGTTTAGTTATCTCTCTAATATTGATATGGATACCTTTATAAGGTAATGTTGAACACATTAGAGAGATTTTACAACTCACTTATAGGATGTTTAGTTATCTCTCTTATATTGATATGGATACCTTTATAAGGTAATGTTGAACACATTAGAGAGATTTCACAACTCACTTATAGGATGTTTAGTTATCTCTCTAATATTGATATGGATACCTTTATAAGGTAATATTGAGAGATTTCGCAACTCACATATAGCATGTTTAGTTATCTCTCTTATATTGATATGGATACCTTTATAAGGTAATATTGAGAGATTTCGCAACTCACTTATAGCATGTTTAGTTATCTCTCTTATATTGATATGGATACCTTTATAAGGTAATGTTGAACCAATTACACTACACTTCAATATTTTGTTGCTAGATACTATCTGCATTAAATTGCAAATTAAACAGTTCATTTAAAGTCAGGAAATACATGTACATATCTAACATGACCAGGTTTTCAAAGGTTTAAATGTATTGTATTCATTTAACACCCTGTAGTTATGTATATTTGCTTGTAGGGTATTCAAGTCTATAGGGTGTCCACATGGTTGTGGGGATGGATACAGAGGTAAAACATTTTGTTATTTTCATTGGGTTTTTGCTTGGACTCATTTTACAAATGATTCAAACTCAAACTCACTGTTTACATTCTAAAATATAAATCATACATCATTATTTTATTTTATTCTTTACGTTCAGGCCCATAGTCACTGAGCCAAAATTTATTTTGAAATCAAGCAGTTTTTACCATTCTGAGCACCTTTCAAGTGATTTTGGATCAAAGTTGTCAAATGTGAACCCCCCTGGACTTTTTTGAAAAGTGAACCCCCTTGTCAAAAGCTGGCTACAGTCAGACCTGACTCAACATTCAATACATCTTTACTCCTGAGTTCCCAACTTTCATTTCCTTAGTTCCCCATCTTTAAAGATTTAATCAGTATAAGATCAATAGCCACTTATATTTCTCAGATGTTCTCTTTAATCAAGGATAACTAGCCAATTAAAAAGTTCACACATTTATTAATGTTATTGTTTCAGACTATAATTAGTGAGATCTGAGATTAAGATGACTAATGAAGAAATGTTAATTTACATAAGATAAAAGATAAAAGTTCACTTTGCTGGATTTTAGCAATATACATTTTCTCTTTTAGAAATTAAAGAGGCAACTTTAGAGTTCAGAAGAAATACCTAGAATGCATAAAATGTAAACACCAAAATATGAATAAATGATTTATTAAGAGAAAATCAAGAATTAAAGTAAACAAGAGTGGATCACCGATCATATGAACTCAGATGATCAATAAATCAGACAGAGATAGGGTTGTTGTGGCATTTGGTGGCATACATGTATTGTGAATGCTATTTGCCATTTGGCAGTCAGCATTCACATCTGTAACAACATTCTTACAGCTTTCAATAACTGGTGGTGACATTTTGTCATGTGCCCTGAACTGGCTTTGTCAACCTAACTGAGAGACTTCTAAAACAACATCATCCAAATCCATTTCTATTTTAGTTAAGATGAATACATACAAAATGCATATTTGCAGGTGCATCAGGTGAACACTTAAGATCCCAGGGCCAGGATTGCCTCAGTCGACTCCAACGCTTAAATCCTGTGGAGTTCCGCAGATACATGCAGGACGTTGTACAGAGACAGCCGTTACAGGACATTATTGATTTCTTGCATGCATTTCTTGGCTTTTGCGTTGATCCATCCACTTCGGTATATTCACCCCAAGGTATGTATGAGTTTTTATACTATTTACTCTAGAAAATGTATTTTACAGATGTAAAAGATCTAAAAGATCATATAAAAATGTAGGAAAGGAAAAGCAAACTCAGCTAGTGCAGTCCTGGTACTTCAATTGATGATTTTAAAAGAAGAAAATAAAACTTTGATTAATATTGACAAAGCTGTGAAGGAGTTATCTCATACTTTATATATAATTATCATTTGGTTTTCATTGTTACATTTTGAAATAGTATTTGCAAGAAAAAAAGTTCTCACATATTCATAGAAATCTCGGGTTGTTCACATTCATGTTAAGAATATTTATTGATTCAGTGCATTATTATATTATTATAATAATATGTAAAAATTAATTTATGAATAATCATTTGGTATTATTTTCAAAAAGGAGAAGATGGAATAAAAAGAAAAAGTGCGTAGCTATTGTTCTGAATAAATGTTATAGATGTGTAGTTTTGTACACATTAGTTCATTTATGGTGTTGGGTTTTCAAACTATTTACACATTTGTTAATTTATGGTTTTGCGGGTTTTCAAACTATTTACGCATTTGTTAATTTATGGTTTTGCGGGTTTTCAAACTATTTACGCATTTTTAACATTTTTAATTTATGGTTTTGCGGGTTTTCAAACTATTTACGCATTTTTAATTTATGGTTTTGCGGGTTTTCAAACTATTTACACATTTGTTAATTTATGGTTTTGCGGGTTTTCAAACTATTTACGCATTTGTTAATTTATTTTAAAATTTTTTTATTTAACCCCAATATATTATTTTGTATATGGGCAAGAAAAGGGTTTTCTAATAGATACTACTATTGACCTGGAAACCAAACATGGTCAGACCTGGAGCGACCATAAAAACCAATCATGTTAACATATCAATGGTAGCCAATATGGAGTTCTGGTCATGCTCTTTAAAGTTGCCCAGTTGGGGAAAATAAATGGTTTGATAAGAAGTTCTTACACTTCATTCATATTTAAAAAAGTGTAAAATCAACATCACTATTTTGTGAAAGTGACTTTGGTCTTCTTTTTCTGTCTACTACCCCCTTTTCTTTTCTTTGTACTTGGAACTTGAATTACTGGATGATGGGAAGTTTGTGATTTCTAAGTAGCATAGGACACTTATATTCTCTTTATTCACATTTTATTAGATATATTTAAATTTGTTGTGAAGTATTTATAAGGTAATATGCTTTTAGCGATAGACTGGTTGGATTGCACTTCATCTTTACAAATGGTAGTTAGAGGTTTATGAAAATTGTAAAACTGTTTTTGAAAATGACCTGATATGAAAAAATACAATTTGGGTGATTTTCAAAAATGTTTTTTATTTCTACTAGCTAGAAGCATGCTTTAAGTTTTGGTATATAAAGGGTCTAGGATATAAATATTTTCGAAATTGATGGTTATTTTTGCACTTCGCCTGTGGTACTTTCTCAATCAACGTATTTTGAAAAGTTTTAATATTAAGTTTTTAAAATTGCAGTGCCTTGAAGTGCAATTAATTAATGTAAAACACCCTTTTGAAGATTGCTTTTTATAGGATGTTTTATTAATCAACATTGGTTTAGTCTTGCAATGAAAAACAACAACAATAGCTTTATGATTGGAAATGCCTGAACTTCATGTTTCCTATAATCTTTTTTAACATAAGACAAAAAAAATTCTCATACTTCCATATTTTATATTTCTGATATCACCTTTCTCCCTTAACTGCTCATGTACACCCCCCCCCCTCTCACTGCCCATTTTTATCACCCTTTTAACTTCCCATCTATATGACCTCATCCATCTAACTGCCCAACTTTATCACCTCACCCTTCTATCGGACCATCAATATCACCCTCCCCTCTAAGCACCCCTCTCTTTTACTTCCCATTTATACCATACCATCCATTTGATTAGCCATTTAGTTCTTGTATTTCATTAATTGTGTCACTCACTGAACATTCCTATTTTAGTTCAAAAGCGTACCCTTTCCCAAGAGGGAATGGTCATCAGGAGTGGATATGCGACAAACTTTGGACAGAGCATCGGTGGTGTTGGAATGCGAGGTGTAGAAGGGGTCTTAATTGCCAACATATTGAAAAGTCTTGTGACAAGATTTATGGATTCTTATAATGAACTGCACAGTCACGAGAACTTGGTAAGTTTTGGAAATATCTGACACTTAAATGGCATTGGAAAGGAAGGAAGTTTTAAAAGGTTTGACTAACAAGAAAGGAATAGGCATGAAAACAGAATTTTGAATGCAATAGTTTCAATTCCTGTTTGTTTGTAACATTGTTTAGTCCCCATAGACCTAAATTAGAAGAATTTGAAGCAATTGAATTGATTTAAGCCAAATTACAATAGCTCAGCATTTTAACCCCTCCCTCAATTGTTGCATGAACCTAAATGAATTCAGCACCCTTGGATGATTAAGCTGCATGCATGATCAGGAAAATAATGCATGGATCTGTCTGCTATTAAACCCATCTTATAAAGGCTCTGTGAAGTGAAATGTCATGGTCATTTATTTTTGGTATTGATTTTTGTGCAAAAAGTTAGGATTTGATATGCTTTTTCACACAAAATTTCCAATTATTCAAAATTCTATTTAGATAGCAGTTTTTCATTCCTCATTGCCTTTAAATAACAGTATTTATATTTTTGCAATCATAGAAACATTGTGATGTTAGCCTAATTTGCAAAAATGTATGATATTCAAATGATTCATTTACTGAATTTGTGGTAATTGTGCCAAAATGTTATTTTACCAGTTGTCAAAATAAGGTAAAATTACTTTATAGGTAAAATTACTTACTTATTTTTCAGTATACCTGTACTCGTACATCTAGTATAGAGTATTATGATTGATTTGGAAGATTTCTGTATATGTCCCTCCATTCAGTTCAATTAATTAACCCATTTCTGTCTATATTTTAAAAAGCCAGTTGAAGATCTGGAACAGGTAATAACTGTTAAATGTCACAGCCTTTCAAGGGTTAATGTTGTATTTTGTTTGTTCTGTAAAGCAAATGTCATGGTGCTCATGTTTTGAAGTGTAAATGGCAAGAAATGGCAAGAAATGAATAAAATAGGCATTTTATGAACACTCTAAATTGTATTGAAACAGGCATGGAATACATGATCAAAATGCTGGTCAATGTTTTAAACATTCACTGACTTTGTTCTGTAAGTACACGCAATAGTGCTGTACAATGATTTACAATGATTATGTTTAAACAGAAAATACAGCCCTGTCCCATAATTAGGGCTCTTTCCCATAACCTCTTTTTAGTATCCTTCCAGCTTGTAGGATATCCTCATTCCTCACAGAAAGACTCATAGCTTTACTAATAGCTTCTCTGTATTAAAGTGCTTGTATAAGATTAAATTACATTTACATATGCTAGTATTTGGACATATGCATGTATGACGACTAGTTGTCCATGTCTTTAGACTTTTGTACTTTCCAAAGGTCTATTAACCAAAGGGAGACATTTCTTACATGTAGCTACACTACATAGCCAAATACAGTATATATGATAATGGTCACCTTAGCTCACGACTTTTCCTTTATTAGCTTCAGAGTAAATGTCTTCTGTGCATGTAGCTTATAGATATGATCTTACCATATTCTCCCTGTTAGTTACACATTGGCACATAATTGAATACTTGTACAAGACAAGATGTAACAAGTAATGCCATGTTATGTATAAGGCTTTACATTCAGATTGCCTAAGTCAATGCCACAGTAACATTATGGGAAAATATGGATATGGGATTCCTTGCATGTTGTAATAATCCAATTTAGATATGCTCATATTATTGTGCTTTAGTATTATTTGCTATTATATTTATATGTAAATGGTGTTTATACTTAGATATTACTTCAAAGGTGACTGCTTAATTCTCATAAAATATCTCTCAGGTATTTTATATTTTGATTTTTGGTCTTAGCTTAGTTACGAGAGCCAGTATGTCTTATTGGACCAAAGTATTACATTTAATGAAAAAAAAGAAAAGGATATTATTAAAAAGTTGAACCAATCTTGATAATCCACTACAGATTTTGAAAAACAAAATACAGTTTTTTACATGAATTGTTTTCTTCAAATGTTGTATTTTGAAAATAAATGAGACTGAAATATTAAGCATATAGACAAGCAGCATGACTCTCAATGGCAATGTTTAAATGAGAATCATTCCCATGAGGTTAACTCAAAGAAATAATTCAAACTTCTACTTTCAGTCAATGTATTGCGATGTGAAGCAACTTATATGTTACATAAAAGAAGCTCATGGAGGGACGTTCCGTAGAGTTGCTCTTAGTGGACTCCTCGATTCAATTGTGCGTGATCGTAAACCAGAACCCCAGAAAGAGGCTTCGCCAGAAACTCCTCAGCCAGTAATCAAAGAGATGATAACAAAACCAGTGAGGTATGTACTGTTGCAATTCTTATTATTTATAAGAAATTGTTTGTGTATTAAGTTAATCAAAATATTAGAACCCCTTCATCTTCAAAATATTAGGGCCCCTTCTTAATTGAAAATAGACATAATTTTAATTTCTTAATTAAATTTGAAAACACAAACCTGATGCATTTCCCTGGTTATTATCTATATAGACGTACCCAGAGTGCAGTGTCAGACTTTGGAGGCGAGGATCGGTCATCTTCCCCCCACATGGAAGGGGGAGACACTGTGCCCAGGAAGAGCCGCAGATCAATATTCCAAAAAAGGAACAAAAAAGTAAGTTAAACAACATGTGAGAAGTAAATGGACTTCACTCAATATTAAAATGATGTTATAATTGTACTTACTATGAAAAAAACATGAATATTAATTTTCACTTCAAAATAATAGACCATTTAGACATTTCAGAAACATAATGGCTTAAATATATGATTATTGTTCCCCAGGCTAGATATGGATTTATGATTTACCTGAAAAATTAGCCTGAAATATTTCACAAGAGTATTAATTAAACTTTGAATGGCAATAGAGATAATTAAGGACGTGTTTTTATGTGCTTTGCCTTAAATACATAAAAGAAAGTACATTACTTTGCATGCTTCAGTTTTGTTCTAATTAATATATTAATTAATATTAATTAATTAATATGAAAATCATGATGTTACAAAGCTGATAAACATCATTTAATGTATAATTATATTACGGTCTTTATTTTTCAAGCACTTTGCATCAAACACGATAGCAGTCAGTGACACAGAGATTCTTGATGAATATCGTATTCATGGCAGACTGAGTCCTCGTACGAGTATATCTGCTACAGAGGATGACTACACAGGCTCGTCAAATCCTACAACTCCCAAGCGCAAGTTCAGCAAGTTCCAACTTAGCAGAAGTAAGATAAAGTTTTTCATTTGTTTTATCAAAATGATTTGTACAATTCAAAGTTTCCATAATGTTTTCTTCCTTAATATCAAACTTGTTAGAATTGTCCTCCTGCCATAATACTAATGTAAAATCAATGAGCAATTAGGCAGAAAACAAAATGTGATTAATTAATGTAATACAAACAATAGATCTCTATTATTCACATTATGTTGATGCATCAGTGCTCCACTTGGGGAATTCCACTTATAGAGGTTTATTTATCATTCAGTCAGTTAGTCTTGAGACTCTGAAAAATGTTCCACTAACAGAGGTGCTCCATTTCTAGAGTCTCCCCACTTAGACATGTTTTACTCTACTGTTCAATTTTGATCTTTGACTATATAATTTCAGCATGGAAAAAATCATCAAAATCTGATCATGAGGATGATTCCGCAAATGAGTCAATGACCCCTGACCTTCAGCGACAAAACAGAAATGGCATTGACTTTCATAATCGTAAAGGACGCATGTCATTTAAAACTGCTGGTCATGCAACATTGAGCTTTCTCAGTGCCAGAAGGAGGCTGGAAGACGGCATTAAGAATTTTGGTCGCAGATTAAGTAAGCGGGGCAGTATTGAAGATGGTGAGACACTATTATCAGTTTTAAACACCTCTGATTTCAACATGATTTTCGGTGCCCTACAGATTTTTGTAGATTAAGAATTGAGGAACATTTCAAAAACTTTGATTGCAATACACAAAATAATAATTATAGTCATAATCAATATATTTAGGGCAACAGAGTTGTTTAGGTATTAGACTGAAGTAAAAGAGGTTGAAATGCCTCATCAACTTAGCTTGGTGAGCACCATCATGGACATTATCATAGATTGGCAATCTGCACTGTGAAAGTGACTTTTTCCATGGCAAACATTTGCACATCACATTATGCGCACACATTTTTGAAAATATAGTTCCATATGTTCTGATATTACTAAGATGTAAATAAGGTTGGGTAAGTCATAATTTTCTTCTACCCCTCCCTCAAATGGACATTGAAGATCATAAGGGTTGATGGGCTAGCTCAGCCAACCTAAATACTCAATCCTTACATGGGCTGTTATATTAAAAGAGCTACATAATATTTTCAGATATGGCCCATCGTGTTGGTGGAGATCTGATTAACTCACTTGGTACAGAGGCATCTATTATCAAAGAGAGGAAACTGGTCAATAGTTATGCTGTGAAATCGGGAATGTTCAGGTTCAACTTCCTGTTGGACTGCTGCACCCCTGGGTCTGTGCCTGACCCTCCCCTGATAGCAGCCATGTTGGATTTGGTGAGTAGCCTCCCCCCTTTAATTTTGAAGTGTTGTAAAGAATTGTACTTATGTTTCACAAAGTAAAGTGCACAAGAATTGGATTAGTAATGAATATGTAGACAGATAGAACAATACATCACAAGATTTGTGTAAAAAACTATAAGACTGACAAAATGACATAATATTATGTGAAATATTCTATATAGAGTTATTCCATTAATGAACATTTTACAACAGGAGGCCCCTATAGTTGCCAGAGCAGCTCTACTGCTGGAATGTGCACATTTTGTACATAGATGCAATAAAGGAGACTGGCCGCAATGGATGCGACTGAACTTGCCAAGCTTTCGTCAAACTGCACAGCTCCACAGTCGTGGCCAGACGTCAGCCTATAAACGTAATCTTGCTGCTCAGAGACAGGCAGCCAGGATGTTCCACATGTGGGGAGAGGTAAGTGTTTCCCATAATGCAAATATTTTAAAGCAGATGTGAGCTGGTCAAATAAAGTACAGTGCTTTAGTAGATATGAGCAGCAAGATTGTTCCTCATGCCATAATACTTGATACTTAGACTAACAGATATAATGTGTTTCCCATCATGCAGTTCTCTAAAAAGACATCAGCATATTCAGGTAGTCATGAATGCACTAAAGCCACTCAAGTACATGTTGCAAGGATGAGCCACACATGTGGAGAGGTGTTTCCCATAATGCAACTGTTTAAGCAGACGTAAGAGAAGTTACATATCATTCCATGTAATTTGCTTCTCACATAGAGGCATCTAATTGTAGAGGAAGTAGATGTAATAATGTAGCACACTCTGTTCTAGGCAATTGGGACAAGATTGGAAGAGATTCTGAAGATTGAGAAAATGGACATATTCACTCTACTTTCCCAGATACGAGATGACAGTAAAAAACGAGAACTAAGAAATGAAGATGATGAAGAAGATTTTCTTGATGAAGGTACAGTAACAATGGTCTGGACATAATGTTTTAGAAAATGGTCTTTTATTGGTATGATTTAAAATACCATCAGGGTTGAAATCAAGTGGAAAAAGTTAAAAAATGTTTATGACACATGAACAAAGGAACTAGAAAGCATTGACATTGGTACTCATTACCAGCTAATGCCCACAGCATGTTGAGGTCCATTTTAAATGCACACATATCATGTACTGTGTATGTGAAAATTCAATGTTGACATTTTTCAGCCACTGTTAACCATTCAGGATCTGACTGTCCATACGCCCTTAAGATGATTGCATGTCAAGTACTGCTAGAAATTACAACATTTTTACGGGAAACCTATCAATATCTGCCTAAGTCGAAATTGCCAAAACAGGAACGTTGGGACAAACCAGTGTCTCGCAGATACAGCACAGCCCAAATGAGTAGCCCTGGGCACTCTGACAAGAGTATTACATCACCAACAGGAGACCCCCCTCAAGGTTAGTACAGCCTCATTCTGGATTTATTCAAAGAGAGGCATTGTCTCCATGTGACAGTGATAGATTGATGTGAAGTTGAAGCATGTTTTATTCGTTCAGTAAATACTTTTGATTGATCCAGTTTGAATGATTAGATATTATATTTTGACATTTGCTTCTGTGTACTAGTTGCTACTGTACTATGAGTATTGCTGTATTAAATATTGTGAACATTGCATAATTCCAAATATTAATTTTATGTTGATTAGAAAATGATTCAAAGTTGAATTAATTCGTTTATTGTATTGTTCTAAATGAAAATGTGTTTTAATTGTGTAATTCATTATTATTATTGTTATTAATTTGTTAAAGAACCTTGCATGGTATGGCAGATGGGTTGAGCCATCTCAGTTTCCTTTTCTGTACATCTCCAGACAAAAAAATCAGGGTTTGAAGGATTTAGAATTTTCAGTTTAAAAATAAATCAATTTTCATTTTAATATTACATGCAAAGATTGTATTTCAAGAGACTTCTTCAAAGGTGGAATGGTGCTTGCAACATCCACACCGGAATAGCCTGATAACGGACCATTAATTGTCACAAATGGCAGACATAACCTTCATTTCAATTTGATTTTCATGAACTGTATGTTTAATAGAGCACCTAGACTAAATTCCTTTGGAACAACAATCAATCAAAGTGTCTTAATACTCACTGTACAGTTATTAATGTTCTACCATCAAAATAAAGTATTTAATTTAACCGAAGAAAATGAGATACGGGGCAACGGACACGGTATTACCATATGTCATTGTCTTTTAAATTATTTCAAATTTAAATTATGTTATCATTGACGATATCGAAGACGCTATATTTTGGAGATTCACAACCCAATTTGATTAAAATTAGGATTTCATATGATACATCATCGCAAGAGCTTAATACATGCACAGAATTAGCGACAATAAAATCCCATGAAATGAGGACCGAGTGATTAAAGAGTTGAAGCGATGATTATGTCCGCCATTTGTGACAACAGTATCTGACTTTACCGTTGTCAGGCTATTCCGGTGTGATATCAGAAAAGTACATTTTTAATGAAGAATGTAATTATGGTCAAATATATGACTGTTAAAGATCACTCACCAAACCATACATGGCTCTTTGTTTTATTTAGCATCAAATACTGTTTTACATAACAAAAGCTTCGAGTCGGAAGATTAATCTATTTGAATGTTAGTTGTCTCCATTTGTACATAGGATGTGCATTGTATTATTATACTTTGTTGGATGTTGTTTTGCATGAGATGCATTCAGTTTACAGTTTAAATGAACCTTCCTCTAGTAGCAGTATATAACATTACAACATATGAAACTATGATTTTGAAGAACTACAGTAAACTAACTACAGTATACAATATATTTTTTTCTGTTTGCAATATATCTGAGTGTTCCACACATTTTCTTCCTAGTTGCATATCAATATGAGATTAATAAGTAAACAGAAAATAAAGCCTACAAAATGTCAAAGGGTTTCATCTGAACTGTCATGTAGTACTGTACTATTGATTCAAGGTTTGGTTTCATTATGCATTTGATGATTATTGTAATGTGTAAGCCTCACATATTATAACCTAATGTCATTTCAACAACCCATTTTATATACACATGTATGTACAATGTACCTTCATATTGTTCTATATTATTCAGAAACTGTTACATCCATTTTTCAGTCGATTGCAAATTGAATGCTAATTTGTTCTTAGATAAGAATGTTCAGTGTTTCAAATGTTCCCCTCCAAAATGTGTCCAAAATGTGCATTTTGCATTTTGTTTGATGTATAAATTAAGACTACATGTGTTTAAAAATGCATGGAAAATAAAAACCTACAATCTCAGTGTTGATTTGGGAGAAATTGTGCCCAGTGTATTTTCATTGAAAACTAATACTGTTTTGTCAATTTATATTATATCATTTTTAAAATGTCAATCAAAATATTTTGTCTCTAGTTATGTGAAGGCTGAGATAAAAGAATCGACTAAAAATAATTAATGAGTAAATATATTAATTAATTAATTCTATAAATATGAAGGCTTATGCAGTAGTTTAAATATTGTGCATGTATTGTTTTCACAGTTTTGCACATATCACTTGAAACCGCACAAATCTGCACACTCTTAAATTAATACTTCTTTGTACCATTTCCATGTGTAAGAAATACATGGAAATTGTACATATTTGTACAATTTAAGATCTACAATTTTCATTATCAAAACTTCTCATTTTGTGATTCATTTGGAATTAGGAGATGTGTCTTTCATGATGATAAAATGTAAAACCCCTGAAATACGAGAACTTTTGGCCAGTTCCAGTGCTATTTCATCAGATAGGTTTAAAGTATATACCATGGCTGAAAACTGAGTTCATAGTGCTGTTTATATGAATTGACACTCCTAATTCCTAAATGGAATACCTCATGTTTAATTGCTCTTTGGTTGATTCTTCCCATTTTAATAAAGTCAAGTCAAGCCAAATTAAGTCAACGCTCTTTTCAAGTCAATTAAAGCCCAAGATACAAAAAACAAATACTTCAATTAACTTATTTAATTTATTTCCTAATTTTATCAATGAACATATAGCATTTAGCAGAAATAATTTCTGATGATTTTACCCATATTCCAACCCCAAGTCAATGACATGGGTTAGAAAACATGAGCTTTATAGACTTATTTAAAATGGGTATGAGTTGACAAATAGTTTACATGAGTTGAAAGTTGATTTTGAGTTGCTTTGACCTAGGATTGAATTGATATTTGACCTCTATAAATGGTGTGCAAAACTGCTGAGCTATATTGTTAATAGTGTTGCTTTTATAAAACTTGTATATAGGCTTTAGAGAGCGCAAAATTAGTTTTGCTGTTTTGGACGATCAAGAATCTGTAATGAGTACACTGGCTCCACCTAGTGGCCAGAAAGCTGCAGACACAATAAGTGAATCAGGTTTGTGCGATGAAGTATTTAACAGACTAGTTAAATGTTAAAATAATTTGAAATACTAGTAATAGATGTCTGTTATTAGTAACAACTATATAGGCTCAGAGAAAAACTATTAAGAGGCATTTACTCAGGGTATTCAAAAATTCACACTTTCATGACACTTTCCTATTTACCCACATCCTTGCTTAGTTTCTTATTAGAAAGTTTTGTTATTTTATCTAAAACTTGCACATTGTTTATGACTATCAAACTTGAATAATATTGTGGTTTCTGATTTGAATTAATGACATTTGCCTCTACCTGGCTTTGTTTTTAATCTTCCTTTTTGCATCTTGATAGGATTTTAGCATTGTCTTTCTTCATGTCCATGATTTTAGAGATAGAACATAATTTACAATATAAGTACATATTGTATTTGGCAATATAAAGGATTCAATGGACTTTCAATGGTTCAATCTTGACATTTATGATTTTGAACAATTAAATTTCAAAATATGCTTTCACTAATCAAGTCAAACACGCTTAAATATATTGAAGTAAATTACATGTAGATCTATTTCTCAAATATTTTTCAATTCCTATAGCAGATTAGTTTTCTTAAATTTTCATATTCTAACAGCATTCTCATAATGCAATTTGTCCCAGCAGACGTCATTTGTTATTTCATCTTGTACACATAGGAAGCATTAGTCCCAGTGAGAGGAAGATCAGTTTTGCTATCATGGGAACAAGTTGTGAAAGGTCTGACTCACTCCACAGTTCAACAACAACTCTTTCAATGCCAGAGGGAGGTGAAGAGAGAAAAGGTACGACACCACTATTTTTCTTAGAATTGGGGCCAGGAATAACATTACATAAATATTAACTTTGTAATGTTGTATGCAAACAGTGTTTAAACTACATACATCTATTAAACATTATAGCAAGACATTCTTTATCCAATAATTCAGACAATTATAATAATCTAGATGTTTGACCATCACCTGATAATTCAGAATTTGATCATTCTAAATATTCATATTCAAGAATGTTGTTTCAGCTGCTAGAAGACTTGCACAAGGACGGAAATTACTGAAAATGCGAAGAGGATCAATAACTGAGAAAATCACTGCCCAACATAATGCCAGCTTAAAGCGACAGAGGAGTCTGAAGTTGAAACAAGAGGGGGGATCTGGTGGTGGAAGTATGTATTGCATCCCTATCTTATATCTAATGAACCCTTCCATTGTAGAATCCAATGTGAATTATGAGTCCAATATTACTTTTGTAGGGGTGATGGGACTAGTGAGGGGACATATTGCTGAATCATACCCCTGCTATGTATATTTATGTCAACCGAACTATATCATGGCAAACATTGAGCTTTTTGGGTTAGTTATTATGTGGAACCATAGTCATGGATCAATGTTACTCTGTTTCTGAAAATGGATAGAGGGCTGGTAGAATAGTACTGTTTGTGTGGGCTTGTGTGGCACAAAATGATGATGATGGTACTACTGAACCCAAAGACCATTTTCTCATGCCTATATCTGTTTAACTGAACTGCTGCGGCCTTTATATAACATCGGACTGTACACGATTTATTTCATACTTCATGTATTTTCTATTTTTTTGCTGAGTACATTGCTTTTTATGTTGAAGATGTATGGACTATGTTTGTATCATCATGCTGAGTTAAGCATCATTAGCTGTTCTGTTATGCATGATGTAGAAATTCACCAGCTTTTAAAAGTATTATTTAGGAGCACTGCACATATTTAAATATATGAATAAGTTTTGCTTTAAAAATGATTAGTTAACTTTAAAATTAGGCAGAAACAGATAATGATAGTATTTTATGCCACTAAACTTATAGAATTATTATATATATATTATATATATATTATAGGGTTGTAGCTTAATAGCAGAACCCAATATTTAAATTCTATTTTAGCATTTTCCCAAATCTTAGATTTAAATAATAATTTAGTCTGTTTGATGTTTCTCATTGATGTAACCCAACATTTTATCATTAATTGATTGGTTCCTATAGGTGTTGAAAATGAAAGTGAGGCTGCCACTGCTGAACCAAAACCTGAGCGCGAAGCGAAACCAGAAAAAACTCCTTTTAGTAGAAAATCCATTAAATTAAAGCGTCCTAAATCCCAAGCAACTCAAGGCTCTGAAAAAGTCCAATCACACCAAGGGCCTCAAGTAGCGCATTTAACAGTTCACCGTACTCACACGGAACCAGACCATTCTCCAGTGGAGAGTACCTCTGATTTATCCCCAGATGAAGCAGTGAGGGAGAATTTATTAGAAGATTATCGCAGACCATCTGCTCCATTCTCACAGGTCCAGAAAATTCAACAAAGCTTGCGGCGCAAATCAGAACATTTGCTAAGCCCCCTCCGTACAGGTGAAGCCACTAGAGGAGTGCACTAACTTTTATGTGGTGGTTCTTGGGTTTTTTGTGGCATCTCATGAAAATGTCATGTTGGTCATGTTTTAAAATGCAAAATATGGTGATTGGATTGCTAATGTGTGAATTAGGATTACGGAACCTCCCCATCCTTTTTGTTAGCTTATGGGTCTTATGATTTTATGGGTCTGATGATCAATCCCAATGTTAATTGCAGTTTTTTACCCCTCACCATACATGAAGTAGTTGTTGATATTTTGACACCATCGCCTAGGGCCAAAAAGCCATGAAACCACACTATAGATATTCCTGAATTCAAGCACTTTTGGGATTGAGAGACCAAAGTGACAATTTTATAGTTGCTTAGACTACTTGGAAGAAAATTCACACCATAGTCATTTTTCCAAATGCAAAATAGTAGGAAAGAGTTGAATCTGCAAAAATGACACTTGGCCTGAGTGTTAAATGGAATAATATTTTGGGATAAGTTTTGTAGTTCTTGTACTATTATTTCTCACGTTTCCATCTGTTTTGCATTTTTAAATATGATCATTGTGACAATAAGGAAGGCATGGGCACCTATATACAGGGTGACCCAAAACACAATCCTCTTATCTTAGAGTTAGAGGGTTCTATCTTTGGGGTCACCCTATACTTTCACCTAATTCACTTTACTAATATCTACTAAAACATTTCTTTTCAGAAAACATTATGTGAAAATGTCATTTATGTAATTTTCTTCCCAAAACTTGGAAATCGATCTACGTATGTGAAGAATTTTTGAGATGAAATGTTGGAAACAACAATATCTCAAATTGTCAGAAGAAGGTTGACATTAATGACATTTTGATGCAATTTGACACTTTATCTTATGGTGGTTTTGATATAAATGTATCTTACTTTTAAATTTTTCTTTGTCCATGATATCTCTTATGAGGCTCCCTGTCTTGATAATAATGCTAACATCAACTCCTTCTTATTATAGGTTAATGGGGATGTGCTTGTATTTCATTTCATTATAGAAACCCCTTCTATTCTGTGGCGTGTACGTTACAGGTAGTAAAACATGTTCACAACTTGTATAATTTTCATGACTTATAAATTCATTCTGCATGTATTTCTTGTCATGATGAATTTCTTAGAATTTTACCCATTGGTATAAATTGTAAATATATAATTCATGAGATTTTTGCGAATTTAACAAGCAGATGAAATGAACATGTTTTACTGTAATGGACAAATAACATTTTTATTTTTTGTAATTAAGTGTGTTCTCCTATATATGTGTTTTAATACTAATATGATATTAAATGTGTTTTGATACTAATATAATATATTAACGTTTTGAGATATTAATATTAATATTTACATTTTAGATCATTATGCGTACTAACATAATGTAGTTCTCAATAGTTTGTAAATAAAGTCTCACAAAGTTTCCCAAGAAAGCATGCACATTTTTTGGACTGTGTAACAGACTATTATATTACATCTGCTTTCCTGAGAATTAATTGTGTTGTTTCAGGCTCTTAGAATGCCACAATTGTCATGTCTTGAAACATATGAAGTATGTAAACATGTAGAAGAATCAGATTTCAAAGAGAATAGTTAACTTACCTTTGTGATCTTTTTCCAATGAGAGGACTGCTTTGTACTTTTTAGCTTCTTTTGCACAAAATAGTAATTTTTCATGAAGCTTAACATATTTATTATGCACTCTATGGTCCTTGGCAAACATCAAGCAATCATAAGGTTTAACATCATCAAATGTTTCGATTTTTTTTGGATCTTTTCCCCCTACATTTCTCTATTGAGAAGTTTTATTTTAGCATTGTTCTTTGGAAATACATAGTACTATCCAGTAGTTCACCAACAAGAGTGTCATTTCATTATAGTATTTATTGTGAAAGCATTTTGAATATAAATCATTTCAGTTCATCTTTGATTTGAATATACATTTATTTCAATTTATTATAAAATATTCACATCATGCATGCTTTTGTTTCATTTCCCTTAGACTTTTTCTCATCATCATAAAAGTTATTCAAATTGTTCAATATTAGAGAGTTTTTCCCAAAAGTTCCTCATCACATTTTACATATTTTTTCACTTGAATAGTTAGTTGCCCTTTTTGATGTAAACTAAGGAATACTGGTCCAATTTGATATAATATCCTAAATGTTGTACTTAATAAATTGCATATATTCTCTCTAGGTATAAAACGTATGGGGAGTTTGACCAATCGTAAAGTCAGCATACAATCTACAAAATCTGAACGTTCTGATGAGGATCACACATTTGATGACTATACTGAAGCGCCACCTTTAGTGACTACCACTGATGAGCCCCAGGATAGCCCGGAAGTTGAGGAAGAAATAGACTATAGTCAGAATATGCCCTGGATAAAGGTAGAAATGTTGTTATTGTTTTTTTAGTGGGTGATAGTGTTCCATTATCTAAATTGAATATAGATTTTCTATAAGTTTTTCTTTTGTGTACAAGGGAGGGCACAATGTTTAAATTAGTTAACACAATATATTCTAGAATTTAGTGCAAAGCTTTTGATATGGCCCCTAAAATCTAATGTTTTACAGATTGTCGTACGCCTTGCAAACACTTCCAACTTTGTCTGCGATCACCAGAACTATTGTAACCCCAATTGTTACGAGCGCCAGCGTCGCAGCTGCTGTCGGTTGATGGCTGCCGTGAAGCATGTTCACGAGAGTAGAGCTGAAGATGAGGCCCAGGTTAAAGAGAGGGGACACATTGAGAGTAGAAGAGACACATTGAAAGACAAATTTAAGCGAAGGGTTAGTGAATGTTATTTGTCTAAATTTGAGTTTAATTTGAATGGTGCTGATCAAATCTACCATGTTTTCTCAGAAATGTTTTCTATCATTTTTTTTTTCCTTCAAAGTATCATAGATGAAAAGGACCTCCATCTGTTGAAGAAATTATCCACTTTTTTGAAATGTTTTAATTTATTAGGGAATCATATATTTTAGGAGTCCATGTTTCAACCATCATCTCCCACAAGACGCCGTGAAAGCACCCCCCTATTGAATAAAATCTCTGCCGCAGACGTCACTCTCTTGCGAAGCAAGCTGAACTCAATGGAGCGAAAGAAGAACCAAGAACAGCAGGAACCTGTCATTCCTGATACACCAATGCAGACATATTTGAAATCACAGGTAAGTTTGATCTCTTAATTATTTCTATGATGTGTCTCATTTTCTGTCCACTGAGGCCCAGATGCTAGCATTTAATACTAGCTTCTGATGAAGTCAATTTTGATTGAACTAATCTGATTGGGTAAGGCTAAAACAAAGAATTATCTCTAATTCAAGTAGTGCAGATGAATTCCTTCAAACAGGTAGATTTACTAATAACTGTGTATTCATTGTATATTCAAATTACGCATTTCTTTACTCATCACATGTACTCACACTCATACTCATTCTAAAGTGAGTGTTCAAAATAAGATTTTGAACTAATTTTGGGATATTTAGAGTGATTTATTTTAAACTACTGTACATGTAGAATTCTACATTTTATATTACAATGAATCTCAAATTACAAGAATTCTAATCAGCTCTTCTTGTCCCACATCGGTACAGGTGGTCATCTGTATGCCACACAGTGGTACTTTAACTTTATATGGATAAAAAGTTCAATTAATCGCTTTTGTAATTTTAATAAGTTCTGATATACATGCATATATTATTTTCTACTTCTATACATTAAATTCTAATACACTGTTGCTCATAATAACTTTCTTTACCTTTCTATAAAACATTTACATACATGCATTTCTACATGCAGAAGAATGCAGAATAATCTTACAATGAAGTGCCATTGTGAAGTGTATTCTAAGAAACTTATTGTTGAGTGTTTTTGTTCCTTATGGAAAAATATTTCAAAATGCTAATTCCATTCAAATTTCAGAGCATGTTAGTTAATCAGTATTAAATATTCCATAATTATAAGCAACAGTGTATATTACATTACACTACATTATATGTACAATTGCATACTTGTATTATGCAGATATCACATTTTGTTCTTTTCTGGCTCTGTTATTGCATGTATATTGTATATTAATGCCTAGTGTACTGATAAGAACTGAATCTGTCATTAGCAAAACTCTAGGTGAGAATTATTTCTGATGGACAAACATTACCAGCACTAGTAGTTACTCTAAATGGAGACATTGATTCTAATTAAGGTAGAACCTTCCGCCAAGAGGGACATTGTGAATTTAACACACTGTCAGATTAATTTCTTATCAGAGACACCTGTTTTAATTCCTTTACATGCATATGTTCTATACAATATTTACATATAATAGGCTTAGATTACGCAGTCAAACTTCAAGTCAGAAAGTCACACAGCATATGATATTACAATAAAATGTTGTTCATATATGAAGAGCATCTCAGGGCCAAAGCTAAAATTAGGCAAAGGCAAAATGTCAAATTAAGACTTAAGGAACTAAGGAATTACTAACTTTGGACTTGATTACCATAATTTTAGTTAGAAAGGCACTGAAAAATATATTTCTGTAAAATGTTTTGTGAGTCATTTGCATCTTCAGTCCCAATCCATGCCTTGCTACGTCCATCAAAATCACATTTCAAAGTGATGGGAAATGCATTCCAATAATTATCTTTCAACAGTTGAGAGGGGTAATACTTCTGCAAGACTAAGTGGACTTGATGTAAGACTTGTATTCATATGATATTTAAATACACTACTGAAGATGTTTTTACCACTCAGTATTTCATCTTCGATTTCTATTTCCTGCTTTAGTGTTTTTTCAGTGATTACATACTTACACTAATTTGGAATTGTATTTCATAAGATAACATGTAGCATAGTATCCTATATACATGAACTGAACACTAATAAGTAACATATGCTTTATATCTACTCTGTCATTAATGGATACTTTTTCTGTGTCAACTGGAGTATACTCTAATATACATTCAGAACCGGATGTTTAATATTTAAAATTCAAATATGATATGTGACTTCACAATAACTAGAACATTTGGTTCATCGGTATATAGAATCGTAACAAAGATTTATGGTATATATTACGATGGATGCTTGATTTTTGTCTGTTGATTTCTCATTGTTACAACGTTTACTTTTGTGGTTAAGCTATTTCCACTCCCTGAAAAGTTTTGACATTCTCCTGCATTTTGGACTATGGAACTAACATTTGTTATCCTTATTCTGTAATAGTCTGTCTATTTTGATGTTCTAAAACATGGGCATACCATTGAACATACTTTCTAGACAATATATTTGAAGATATGCAAGTGATTCTTCCTGTTGCTTAAGGAATGGCTCTCTCCGACAACTAAATCTCCATTTCTATCGATTGCAACATTTGCGGGGAACAGTATGCCATCTTGTTTGTTAAGGAGGGTTTTAACAAATTGACCATTGTGTGAAAGGAGAACCACTCTGTGATTGTGGTTATCTGCGACAATGATATGATCCTCGGTGACACAGACACCTTTAGGGCCATCCAGCTCATTCTCCTCATCTCCCTGAGTGCCGCCGTATTGAGCTATAATTGTACCTTCTTGATCCATCACATACACTGCATGGTTGTTCACATCAGATACGACGATGTGGTTTTTCGCAGGGTTAAAGGCGACGTGGTTAACACAACTGAGCTTACCATTCCTTACAGTTTTCTTGATTCCACCTTCCTGGGTACATAGATAGATGGCCTCAGGGTAGCGCCCGAGGGCAATAAGCCCAACTTTCTTGTGGTGTGTCAGGCCTTGTGGTTTATTCACTCCATAGCAGATGTCCTTGACAAAGGTGCCATCTTGTTTGAAGAGCTTGATATCATTGGCTTTAGTACTGCAAGTTACCACCAGTTCACCAGAGTCAAGACATGTGATGTCATTGGGTTTTTTCACCTGAAAATACATAGACATTGTATTTAATTTATTTCAATGTGAAAATTAATTAAACAAAATACAAAGGGCAAGATCAGAATATGACCTAAACATACCAGACCTTTATAAGCCATTTAAACAAGTTTGACCTTCTAAACAATGAATAATTTACAATCTTTGCCTGATTGCAATATTATTTTGAAATATCTTTATTTAAAGCAAACAATATTATCCAAACTGACATACAATAACTATGACACCAATATGAGAACATTGTATGTCAGAATTACTACTTTTCAATTCATAACTTATTTATCATATTAAATATTTAAAAATTATTGAAGAAAAATGGACCCTTTAACTTTTCTAAAATTAGAAAGTTCAAGTATACAAGAAAAGGTAGCATTGTATTTATAGCTATTATAATTTTATTTGACATCTGTGGGTTTAAATAGATAATAGAAGAAAGTGGCTGATACTTGAATGCATTCTAAAGATAAAAATTATCTCAAGATTGAAGTCCAAACATTTGAAAATCTCAGTGTTAGGTTGTTCATTGTGGTCAACTGAGATTTACATTTAATTAGTGTTAGTTATATTGTTATTGATTCAAAATTTCATTGTAAAACATTGTAAAAGTCCGTTCTTTCATGTTAGCCATTCAGGTTCTTGGATGTTTATTCTAGATTTTTTTCAGTCTTCAACCAATGTTGATACTCCATCTGTGGTAGAGCACTTGAACTGGGTAAAGGAAGAATTACATGTACAAACTTCATCATTAGTTCTCTGGGATTATGAGCACATGAGCTTTAAGCACAGTATTTATTTCTGGGTTTAGAATAAGTAATGAATGAATAAACAATTCATTTACTTGGAACTTTGACTTCAGCTCTAGCTCTTCATCAAATATCTGCACACCAACATCATTGACTGCAATAGCAAGGTCACCTGCTGGTGTTTTAGCTATGCCCCAACATGCATGGTCCAACTCAACCTGCTTCACTAGTTGAGGTTTAATCACCTGGTGCTCACTTTCTATGGTCACCTGAGCCTATAGAATAAAACAGATTTCAATTTATTTTTATGGATATCTTTATAGATTTTGTAATGTGTACCTTACCTTATTAGGTCATTGAGTCCATATAAGGAATTCAAGTATAACATGTTGTTCAAACATGATCCGGTGCAGACTTGTACTTCTCCTATGGCCACTCTATACATGTACATACTTATAATTTATAATCTAATTACAATAAATAAATCCTTTTCAGTAATACCTTTTAATGTCTAATCAAACTATATTGAAAACATTTGAGGAAAACACAAATATAAAAACAATCCCCAGTAAGCATCAAGCAATAATACCCGATCATTCACTCCTCAATTATTTTTAGAAATATTTTTAACTTTGAAAATGTAACCTTGATAAAACTGAATCAACATACCTGTGATGTCACCTCTACTGCACCAAAGTTCTTATTGATCATCTCTCGTAGATTCCCAGGTGAAAACTTGATTGCAATCTTACTGACGCTGTTAACCAAAGCTGGTCTATTCTTCCAATCATGCAACTGCCTCTTCCGCAGTTCCATATTACCCACAATGCTCACAAGGTTGTTGTCGTTGAATTCATGAACAGCTTTCTCAAAGAGATTGTTAGCAAGTGTTTGTTTTGTGTTGAGTGTCTCGCAAAGGTCTTCAAGGCCTTGTAAGTTGCTATCTACCTGGCTCTTTAGATGTTCCTTGCACACCTCAGCTTGCCTAGAATTACATTCACATTTTTAAAACAAAATTTTTAATAATTAATTCTTACCAACTATTGGTTTCAATGGTAATGCTTTTGTTTATAATTTGTCTTTGTACACAAATATTTGTCTTTTTTCGATTATATTAAATATTTGTGTCTGTCTCATTTTCTCTCATTTCTCTACAATTTAGAATTACACACTTGTCAACTTTATTCCTTGTACATTCAATTAATTTCCATTCTATTTTACATTTAAAATGTGACCGCCACAATATATCCTCTCAGTACTAGTTTGTTGATACCATAAAAGTGCTCACCATTGAACATTCTTGATGATCTCTTCAGCATGTTCATCAATAACATTAACTGCTTTGGAGTGTTCTTTCATAAGGAGTGTCTTGCTATCAAGTACCATGTCTTTGGTCTCTTGTATGTGCTCCACACGTTTCCTTGTGGCAACTGCAAGCTGTTCCAGCATATCTCTGCCTTGTCCTGCCTTCTCCTTGATCTCAATGCAGTGGTGCATGTGGTGTTTGCTGTTGCGACACTTCATACATATGCAAATCTGGAACAATAGATGTATTTGTCTGATGATGAAATGATTATGTGCTAATAAAATCCAACAATGACCATCCAGCCAGTGGCCATGGCCATTCTATAGTCTACTGCACTCTTTCCTTATCATATTTGTATTTAGTAGACTTTTTACTCCATCTTCTATTCTCTTCTTTTCATTTTAACACTACAACTGCCACACTAACAGAATTATTTCAAATGTTTAGTCTTCTCTCTTTTGTTTTTAGCTCCAATGATATCCAACTTCTTCAATATTTGAGCCACAATGCTTAATAATTTTGTCTGCATTGGTCTCTCATAATCAATGAATAGTTTTATTACTTACTGAGAACTCTTTATTTCTAAGTACCTACCTTGCAGTCATCGTTCTGACAGAAGTACTCCTGTTTCTGGTCTGGATGCACTGCACAATACACAGGAAACTTGCTGTAAATCTGACGTGGGTCTCCACTCAGATACTCACTCAGGGGGAGGATCTCATGGTCTTGGGTAGCGCGGGAAAATTGATGCGGCTTTGTGCAATCTTCACAATATCGCTCATTGCATATCAAACAGATATTAACAGCTTCCTGATCGGGTTTTCCAATTCGATGACATAAAATACAGTTGTAGGTTATGGAGTGTTTGACACGTCGTTGTTCATAGTATTCTAATGTCTGGATAACATATTCATTTGTTTTCTCGCCATCTTTTTTCGGATGTATGGTGGTTTCACATTCAGGGCAAGGGAAGCTTCCTACTGGTCCCTTTCTGGTTTTGATTTTCTGTTGGAAACATCCACTACACATAGAATGGCCACAATCCATCAACAATGGATGCTTCTCATTAGGGACATATCTAGAATGACAGATAACATAGAGAAACATCCACTACACATAGAATGACCGCAGTCCATCAACAATGGATGCTTCTCATTAGGGACATATCTAGAATGACAGATAACATAGAGAAACATCCACTACACATAGAATGGCCACAATCCATCAACAATGGATGCTTCTCATTAGGGACATATCTAGAATGACAGATAACATAGAGAAACATCCACTACACATAGAATGACCACAATCCATCAACAATGGATGCTTCTCATTAGGGACATATCTAGAATGACAGATAACATAGAGAAACATCCACTACACATAGAATGACCACAATCCATCAACAATGGATGCTTCTCATTAGGGACATATCTAGAATGACAGATAACATAGAGAAACATCCACTACACATAGAATGGCCGCAGTCCATCAACAATGGATGCTTCTCATTAGGGACATATCTAGAATGACAGATCACATAGAGAAACATCCACTACACATAGAATGGCCACAATCCATCAACAATGGGTGCTTCTCATTAGGGACATATCTAGAATGACAGGTAACATAGAGAAACATCCACTACACATAGAATGACCGCAGTCCATCAACAATGGATGCTTCTCATTAGGGACATATCTAGAATGACAGGTAACATAGAGAAACATCCACTACACATAGAATGGCCACAATCCATCAACAATGGATGCTTCTCATTAGGGACATATCTAGAATGACAGATAACATAGAGAAACATCCACTACACATAGAATGACCACAGTCCATCAACAATGGATGCTTCTCATTAGGGACATATCTAGAATGACAGGTAACATAGAGAAACATCCACTACACATAGAATGACCGCAGTCCATCAACAATGGATGCTTCTCATTAGGGACATATCTAGAATGACAGATAACATATAGAAACATCCACTACACATAGAATGACCACAATCCATCAACAATGGATGCTTCTCATTAGGGACATATCTAGAATGACAGATAACATAGAGAAACATCCACTACACATAGAATGACCGCAGTCCATCAACAATGGATGCTTCTCATTAGGGACATATCTAGAATGACAGATAACATAGAGAAACATCCACTACACATAGAATGACCACAATCCATCAACAATGGATGCTTCTCATTAGGGACATATCTAGAATGACAGGTAACATAGAGAAACATCCACTACACATAGAATGGCCGCAGTCCATCAACAATGGATGCTTCTCATTAGGGACATATCTAGAATGACAGGTAACATAGAGAAACATCCACTACACATAGAATGACCGCAGTCCATCAACAATGGATGCTTCTCATTAGGGACATATCTAGAATGACAGATAACATAGAGAAACATCCACTACACATAGAATGACCGCAGTCCATCAACAATGGATGCTTCTCATTAGGGACATATCTAGAATGACAGATAACATAGAGAAACATCCACTACACATAGAATGACCACAATCCATCAACAATGGATGCTTCTCATTAGGGACATATCTAGAATGACAGATAACATAGAGAAACATCCACTACACATAGAATGGCCGCAGTCCATCAACAATGGATGCTTCTCATTAGGGACATATCTAGAATGACAGGTAACATAGAGAAACATCCACTACACATAGAATGGCCACAATCCATCAACAATGGATGCTTCTCATTAGGGACATATCTAGAATGACAGATAACATATAGAAACATCCACTACACATAGAATGACCACAATCCATCAACAATGGATGCTTCTCATTAGGGACATATCTAGAATGACAGATAACATAGAGAAACATCCACTACACATAGAATGGCCACAGTCCATCAACAATGGATGCTTCTCATTAGGGACATATCTAGAATGACAGGTAACATAGAGAAACATCCACTACACATAGAATGACCACAATCCATCAACAATGGATGCTTCTCATTAGGGACATATCTAGAATGACAGATAACATAGAGAAACATCCACTACACATAGAATGGCCGCAGTCCATCAACAATGGATGCTTCTCATTAGGGACATATCTAGAATGACAGATAACATAGAGAAACATCCACTACACATAGAATGACCGCAGTCCATCAACAATGGATGCTTCTCATTAGGGACATATCTAGAATGACAGATCACATAGAGAAACATCCACTACACATAGAATGGCCACAATCCATCAACAATGGGTGCTTCTCATTAGGGACATATCTAGAATGACAGGTAACATAGAGAAACATCCACTACACATAGAATGACCGCAGTCCATCAACAATGGATGCTTCTCATTAGGGACATATCTAGAATGACAGATAACATAGAGAAAGGTAATTAAAATAACAACTTCAACACCTAAAAGGAGCCAACTATTAGATCAATTAAAACACTTCCAGAATTATTTCTGGAGATGATATCTTAAAAAGCAGTTTTGAAACTGGGTTTGTAAAACAGTATCTTGACTATTTATTTTGATGTATTAAAACTCAGGTGCCAAATTAAATGAATTTACAGTAACTAATGTGAATGGACTATTTATCAGATTAATAACCTTATTCAAATGATATTCTCAACAGTTAGAGTTTGACTTTGTGCCCCAACTCCTGTTTACCACTCATGAAAATTATACTTTGATGATGTGATATTATCTAAAGGCTATTTATATTCTCTTGATTAATTGCATTTAGAATGGACTTAGAAGATATTTGTGTTTTAACATGGGTAGTCAGGTCATGTAATATGCTAACAAGCATTTTAATGGTTCATACTGATTTAAAGAAGATTGCTTGTTTTCCCTCCCAGTCTTGAAATATTGCCCCATCTTTTGAATGTGTTTTGAAATAACTATGAGGCCTTATTTCGACACCCAGGGCATTTATGCAACAAAATCTAATATAACAATCAGAAATGAGAATGCCCATATGTTTGAACATACAAAATTACAAACAAATGCTAGATATATCCATGTATAGACATATTAGAGTCAGAGTTTTAAAGCTTCAAAGGAGGTTTAAGTACCAATTGACTTGTTAGTCTTTAATCGTCTTGAAATAAATTCAGATTATTTGAATCAACTTTATATAAAAACATTTAGCAAAGATCAAGTCTGCCTTCTGGAGATTTACAAAACAGTGATTGGAGACTTTTCCTTCTATATGATCTTTATTTTCAATACATTTTTGGTCATCAGGGGTAGTTGATGATCAATGGTAGGTTTCTATATCAAAAATCTTAAGAAATGATATTACAGTATGATCTTTAATTTGGATTTTTTAGACATATAAAGCTAAATCACCTCTCTAAGCAAACTGGGCAGAAACAGCACATTGGTTCTTCATCTTCTGAACCATATGAACTTGTCCTGGATATAGATCTATCCAACTCTAGTTTTCCATTCACCTTCAGGCTCCCATTGCTGATTGTACTCAATGGGCGATTTCTTTTCAAACTCCCAGTGCTGCCCTCTATTCCACCATTTGGCAATTTCAGACTGTTACTCGACTGGCGTAGAAATGTTGGACCTGTGCTGCTGTAGTTGCTTGGGCTACTCGATTGTCGGTTTAAGCTTAATGTTTTATTGTTGTTACTGTTGCCATTGATACCGGGGTTGCTTGTTTGCCGTAGCAAGCTTGTGCTGCCATTCACGCTTCCTGTAGTGCTGCTCAGTTGACGATTCATGTTTGAAGGTTTTGTTATTGTTATTTGTTAGTGTTTCTGGTTTAAACCTGAAAGCATATTCCTAAGGTGATAAATTGACAGTGTATGTATTTTAGTATATATATTTTAGTATTTTAATGTATTTTAAGTTAGGAATTTCATGTTTATAACTGATTCACTTTCCAGTAACTGGATGTTACTATTAACATACATGAAAAATATATGGATACAAATCCCGGGGTACAAATCAACCGTTGTTTTGGCGAAAATGAATAAAATGAACATTTCTTCCAACAGAAATTCATTGATTTTGTTATAAAGCCGTAACATGTTAATAACCAGGTGGGGACCAGTGATAATAGGATTATGATTACAGATGAATAATTGAATTAACACTATGGCTCTATAATACATCATAGTATTTAAAGAATTATTTCAATTTGTCTCATGTACACCTATATATAATCTATAAACAATCAATCTTTGCATGGTCATTAACTGTTTCCTCATTGATCTATTAGGGAAGTGTAACAATTTTTACAGGGTCATTAACTGTTTGTTCATTGATCTATGAAGGCAAGTGTAAGAATGATACATCAAGGCCAGGGTTCACATGAACAAAGCATGGTACCAAATCATGCTTATTTCACTCAATTTTTCTCTTGAAGGAGCTGATTTTCTTGCATTTCTATGCAATTTAGAGTGTTACCTTCATGTCAGTTTCATTTATTTCTTTTTTCTTCAAGTTTATTTTGTAATTTATAATTTAACATTATATTTTGTATCTAGGAGATAAGTAGTTAATAATGATTCTACTGGTCAGAGTTCACTTGAGTTCCCATGAAAGAGATAATAAATCATGTTTTAAAATACAAAACAGGGTAGAAAGGAATGGAATCATAAAGTACATCGAGTAAGCATGAACTGAAAACAACAGAAATGCTAGAAAATCAAGCAGTTCTTTCTTTTAGAGAGATAAGGTCGTGAATATGTATGAGTAGAGAAACTCTTTTTGCACAGGGTTCCCCAATACTTTTCCATTTAATTCTCTGATTATTGACGATTATGTCGATGGGATTATTAATGATGATGAAGGATCTATCATTTGATGACATTGTCTGAAATTATATGTATGAACATAGCATTTGTACATGTAGTAGCGCCAGGAACCAGTTCTAATTGCCATCTGCTTGGCCAGTGATCAGTAAATCAATTGTTTGTATGAATAAACATGTATCCACTTCAAACAGTCAAGGCTATGGCCAAGGGAACATTCCAATTCTGAGGAAATTGAACAGAAATGAAATTTCATTCAGACTAGTTTGATTTAGTTTTCATGTGATGCTATGTGTGAAAATATTCAATATGTATTTTCATTTATTTGAAGTATTCTATGTCCAAATCCACTTTAATAACTTTAAGTTGAATATGAGTAAAAATAAAAAATACAAACTTTTTCAAATTATATTTAAATGTTGAATAACTTACCATTCTTTTGTACTTTCACTCTAATGTATCTAGATATCCTTAAGTAAAGTATGAGCAAATATGATCAATTAAATCCCCATTATTTCTAAGACTTGCTCTCCTACTGCTTCTCATCCTAACTTACAGCTGTGATGAGCAAAGTGGCTTATGATAATCAATTGAGAATATCGAGAGTCACCCTTGCTTAACATTTCTCTCTCTGTTCCAAAGTATTTCTCTTGAATCTTGATATTTCTCTGATTATGTTGTCTTATTATCAAACATACACTATGACAACTTGTGTTTTCCTCATGCCTGTAAACATAAACTGCAATCCATTGCTTTACATCTATAGTTCATATTGCAAGATATAGAGATACCATTTTAAGCAAAGGCATAATAGATTGTAAAGACTTCATATTGGCTTAAACGGACACATGATCTTCAGTTCAATTTTAATTGGTCAGATTAGGTCACATGACCATTATGCTCATTCCCTCATCGAAATCATCAAACATCATATTCCTAACATAGAGAGATTAAAAACATTTTGATTTTCTCTACTTAGCATTGTGGGATCCACAGCCTTTACTATCCTTTTGGAATAGTTCTCAAAAGCGTTAGGTAAAGAGGGACTCTGATAAATCAGAATGCTTAGGTCTTAATGAATTGTCGGATCTGTATGAAATCTTCCATGCAGATTCCTCATATCGCTGTCTTACATTTTAAATGTGATCGTAATTTTAAATGTTCATCATAATGTTTTATCACAAGAGGTTCATTATATGTCTGATTAAATGTGGTATTTAAGTGGACTTTCACATCATAGTTTATCAAAGTATATTATCAGCACTTGAACAATGTTAGCCACCATCCTACTGAAAATTGAGTAGGAATTCATCAAAGACATAAAGTTTAGGTCAAGGAGCTTTACTTAGGGGAGGTCTATTTATTTTTATTTTTTTATGACATCCCCTGTATCAGGTATTAGCCCACACCAAAAATATTTTGATTATCCATGATACGCCAACAATAGTTCACTGTAAAACACAAGTTCCCCAGCCTCAAATATGCTGTAGTTTGGCAATGACGGCTTATTTAGACATTGAATAAAGTGTGAAATCTTCCAATGTCCATGTTGATCTTCATGTTGATCTCAAATGGATTATTTCCAATAACATGTACATGTTTGACAACTATTATACCTAAAGTGAGATCACTGCATTCAACTGCTATAATTGAATAGTTGTATAAACGGGAAATTACCATTGATTGACATTGATTTTAATTTATTACATCAATATATCTGCTAGTTATATTGTATTACATAATCTAATTATCAAAATGATGTCATTGATGAATTGCCCTAATGTGATTTAATTTGTTCTATCAGAATACTAGTTGGTTATATAACTAAAATGTCTATATTTTTACAGCAGCTAGCGCTCTAAAGTCATTGCATCAGAATATCGATCTGTGATAAAAAAAAACACATGTAATTATTACATGAGGTGTTAAAGGATCACTTTTGCTTGTTTGGCCTGAAGCAATTTCACCAAATTTCAGGGAGTTTATTTTTGATAAATTACACTTATTGTCACTCCTTTAGAGGGTAGGAGGAGATTAACCCAAAATGGAATTACTTTTATTTTCATATCTATTGATTAACTGATATTCCCCAAAGGTTCTAATTCAGTATAAATTCAACCCCTATAAACCATAAAATAATATAATATAAGGGCTTTGAGCAAAACATTCTCTACAAAATCCAAAATAGTTCAAGCAAACAAATACTAATCAAGTACATTGTTTAAGGTTAAAATACCATTTCTAAAATATTTCCACTCAAGACTATGAATGAATTGCTAGATTTTCTCATATTTCTAATACTGTATATTGTTGAATAAATGCCTGTTATTCGAATCCATGCAACTCTATTTCTGTTTAAAGGGTGACGCATATCGTTTAGCAAATCGAACGCTCGTTTCTGGTGTTGCTCACCGTTTAGTATAAAAGGCACGATCCCGGAATAATACTCAAGGGTTCACAGGCTCGAGGTCGTTGTGTCAACACCTCTAACTGTTATATAGCATAAGTATATTATAGATCGTCACATATTTATAAAACGGTGATTTTTATTTTGACAAATCAATTCCACATTTATGGGTGAAGTTTCAGGATCTTCTATTTGTGTATAATAAGGAAAAATTGACATCTAAATTTCCCCATAACGTAATAGCACACAGCTTGGTATATGAAATATCCTACAAATGAAACAAAGCAGATCTAATACAAGGATTTATATTGGCTGTTGTACATATTCTTTGAACGCAATCACTCTATGGATAATGTTTTCAAAATCATTATAAACGGATTACTTTATCTCAAAGACAATTTCAATAAACTGGATTTTACAGAACTCCCCTTATTTCTTAAAAATGGACTGATCCAGTCGATTCGCCTGGAGCCGCCATATTGTTTTTATACGGGATGCTTATCGGAACCCTTTAAAGAAACTTTCACAAATAATTTAAATGGTTTGATTTTTGCACTTAAAATATTGATTGTAAATTGTAGAAGCTAAAATAAATGATTTGCTACTTGTTAATCTATTTTTACCTGTGTCAGCCCATTGAGTGATTCCCTTTGAAATATGATGTTAGAATACGCATCTTTTCCATGCAGTCTCATAATAAGTAATCAGGATTTGAAATCTTCATACGGAAATTAGATTCACTTTGACCCCTGTTTATGAAAAAATGAAATAAAAAAACATTTTTCAAGTGTTTATTCCATTGGTGCTAAAATTATCAAACAAAATATTTCTGTATCTGTTTTTGAGAAGGACGGCCACAAATTCATGACGTAGATCAAGTTATTAATAGACTTGAAATTCACAAATAGAGATAAATTATAAAAATAATCATTGAAAGTACTTGAGATCCTGGCTTTGGTCATGTCACCTATAAAGCTATAATGCAAGTGCATATCATATGAGATTAACAGACTTCATACATGATCATAGTATATAGATACGAGATATGTGTGGAATCAGCAATGAATAAAGTGAACAGGCATGAAGTCAACACACTGAGGTCCAGGGCATGTTTGATGAACAACTTTGAGATGCTCTCTTTAGTTGTAGACTTTACTGAAGTTAAAATGAACTGTTAAAATTAGTGTCTGAACTGTTCAAAGTACCTTTGGAAAACTTGAATTTTTCATTTTGTAAATCCTTTTTAACATCTTTCCAGTGGAACATGTAAAATATTTTTGATGCATGTACTTTTGATATTGGGAAAACTTACTGTATTTTACATATTTTGCATGTTGGAAATCATCAACCTTTAGACTCAGGCTAAAATATCCTTCCAGGCTCAGAACTTTGGCTGCGCAATTGAATAGAATCTAATTGGCTGCACATATATATTTTTACTTTTATTCTTTGTTGCTGGGGAACTAAAATGTCCGAAAATGATATGTTCCAAGTATTAATAACTCTCAGTATCAACAAATATGTTGTACATTGCAGGTTCAGAACCTGACACAGAACCCCATGTCTATATTCATTAAGGCTGCTCCCATACTACCTGAGGATGTATTTGCCAACATACTACCTGTGGCCTTTAATGATTCTAATACACATATAATTTAATATAATGTACATTGCAGGTTCAGAACCTGACACAGAACCCCATGTCTATATTCATCAAGGCTGCTCCCATACTACCTGCGGAAGTATTTGCCAACATACTACCTGTGGCCTTTAATGATTCTAATACATATGTAATTTAATATGTTGTACATTGCAGTACAGAACCTGACACAGAACCCCATGTCTATATTCATCAAGGCTGCTCCCATACTACCTGCGGAAGTATTTGCCAACATACTACCTGTGGTCTTTAATGATTCTAATACACATGTAATTTAATACATTGTACATTGCAGGTACAGAACCTGACACAGAACCCCATGTCTATATTCATCAAGGCTGCTCCCATACTACCAGAGGATGTATTTGCCAACATACTACCTGTGGCCTTTAATGATTCTAATACACATGTAATTTAATATGTTGTACATTGCAGGTACAGAACCTGACACAGAACCCCATGTCTATATTCATCAAGGCTGCTCCCATACTACCTGAGGATGTATTTGCCAACATACTACCTGTGGCTTGGGAGTTACTGCTGGAGAATGACCAAGAGTTGGCTGCTGCCAGTGCTTCTGTCTTCCTCATATCAGCAGTTAAAGCTCCAGAACAGGTAAGTGGCGTGGATAGTATTATTATTGTCTCTTTTGAGGGGTTTTAACATTATTGTTGGCATCAGGTGTCATATTTGTGGGTTTTAATGTTTGTGTCATTTGGCTTGCTTTTGATGCAATTTTATTTATCTCTTTAGTTATGACGTTCAGGGATATATATGCTACACTTGATGCCAAGTGTATGTATTTTTATCTTATATGTTGTTTTTTTCTTAAATATTGCCTCCATCATTATTTCACTGGTAATTAAACTGTTCTTTATTTTTAGGTGCAAGATATCATGACAAAGGAACTGGCACATGAAGACACAACTCAGCGTATTAATGCCCTGCTTAGGTATGAGGCATTATGGAGATATAGATACCAAGTATGGCCAAGAATGGAAGATGGAGCAAACCTAATGTTCAAGGTAGAACACTGAAAATATTCTACAATTATTTTGTTAAAATGTTCTTGAATTTTGCAATGGTTAAACATTTTACATGCACAAATTATTTTAAGAGTTATTTAAATAGTCTATTTGTTAAATTTTTTCATTTTATCTCTCCTGACATTTAATGTTGTTCCACAATCAAACAACATATAAGATTCTGGAATAACAGAATAAGATATCAGAACTTAGTCCAAAAATGAACGATTGGAATGAAAGTGTTCCTAATGCAGCTGTTCTATGTTTGCAGCTCCCACCACCAAGTATTGACTTTGTGCTCCCCTCTCCCACCATTGGGTTACCATCTCTGCCTATTGTGGACCCCCCATGGACCCCTCATTTCAAAACTAAGGTCGAGGAGGTCACTGTGACCCAAGATGAATCAGTAAGTTGGGAACTTTACAATATGTGATAAAATATAAAATTGTTTTGATTGAAATGAAAAAGCAATATTCAGTCTTATACTATTTTATATGTGTATGGAAGGGAATATTACCACCACCCCCAAAATGCAATCTAATTTTCGACACCGTTTCGGTGCCAAATTTCGGTGCCGTTTCGGCACGAAACGGACTGACTAGTCCGGTAGCAAATTTTTGTGTCGAAAGGTTTCGGTGCCGGAACGGTGTCGAAACGGTGCCGGAACGGTGTCGAATTTTTTCGATGCCGAAACGGCGTCGAATTATATTGGCTGTGTAGATGTAGATTTCTATATTTGTTTTATAAGAAAGAATTAATAAAATATGTGGATTTTCTAGAAATCATTTGTGACAGCAACAACCACTCGTCGCAAACAACAAATTGAAATGATCCACAAAGCATTATTGGCGGAAGAGGATCGGAAACGTGAGGCCAGGGAAAATTTCCCATTAACAACAGTTGCGATAGCACAACAGGCAGCTTATGAGCCTGCACTCCATCACGTCACAGAAGAACATGAAGAAGGTATTTATGAGCATGCATTATTTCATTTTTACTTTCACCATTTTATATTTAAAGTGTAGCAATTTTTGATTTTCCTAACATGTGTTTTATCCAACTCCCAAGAGAAGATGTCATTGTGGTCATGTATTAAAGTGAACACTTTAATTTGAAGTGAACACTTTAATTTGAAGTGAACACTTTAATTTGTATAGAAATGTCAGAAAATCAGGCACTATATTCAATTTTAAGGAGAAAAGCATGATGACAATTTCATCTTTCTCTCATGGTGTTGTATTGTATTCAAGTAATGTAATGTGGAGGAATAACAGAACAAATAAAACAAAGATACTTGATTTAAGACCTATTCAGATGCCAAGTCTGGTATTGCAGAATGGGACATAATATAGTAAATCACTTCTGATATAACATTTGGAGGTAGCCACATTACAGTACATACACCTACCTGGCTTTATGGCTGATTTTGCTCATGCAAAAAATGTCACAGTGGATATGCTCAAAATAATGACTAAAAATTGACTTGATGCTTTGGAATATTAAAAAATCAAACTCACTTGGATTAGACTTGAAAAAAGAAAGCTAAATGTGTGTGATTGGAAAGACATTTTTTGCCAGGGCTAGAATTTCATAGGACCTTTACCTGTAATATCATGTCACATTTTGTTAAGATTTAGTTAACCTTGCATGCTCTTCAGTATTATCCTGCTAATATTGTTTCAAATGCATGGTCTTATCTGCATGATGCATGGGTTTTTGTTTGCAATGCATGATGCATGTTTCTCATCTTTTGCATGATGCCTCGTTTTCATCTTCTGCAACTTTATTATGTTTATATGAATAATTTTTTATTATATCGGTGGTTTCATTGATATACTGGATAATTTGCATGGGTTTTTGCATTACTTGTGGAACATTTAGCAAAGAATGCATGGGCATTTTGCAAGAATTTAATCCTAAGGCCATAAGCATTTCAGTGTATGATAATGCATTGCATGGGCATTATAATGCATGGCATTGCATTGCATGGGTGTGCATGTGCATGCAGCAACTGAATGTTAATGTTCTATGTGCTTGAAGCATTGGTCTTTTCAAGCATGTACAGTAAATATTATGCAGTCACCTGCTCAGCCACAGAAAATAGGTTTAAAGCCTATATAGATGAATGGATGACTTGCCTGAATGTATTGGGGCTGCATGTTAGACTGTGCCACTGTAGAATGTATTACTCTTTTCATGTTTATATACCGATCTTTCTGAAATATACATTTTACATTAATTGTTGTGAAAACTGCAGTTGTGATTGATACCAATTTTATCAAGAAATTCTTGTGATTTTTCTTCAAATTATGGGATCAATCACAAAATTTTATCCCAAAGGCTGGTGGGATAGCTTGACCCTCCTCTGCTCTATGTACCTCCTGTGTCGATGTTGTAGATTAGCAAGTGTTAAACCCTCTAAATATTGTCAGCAAAATGTTTTTGAAAATAAATAATTTCTTAATTTGTCATAATACTGTACACTTACTAATGTTACACTTATTAATAAAAAGGGGGTCTATCTTTGGAATGCAGCAATTTATATGAAACCAATGATAAGTAATCATAGAGCCATCAGGTAGACCCCCAACCAAATAAAACACATAATATCCATTTCAACGTAGACATGGAACTTTGAACAAGCTTTCATTGATATTTTTAATTTTGTATATTATGTGTTTTGCATACATGATTATTATGAACGATGCTGTATCATAAGTCTAAAAAATGCCCTATTTTAGTTTTGTATGTTCAAGAAATACAAGTCCTATAACTATGGTTTAAATATATTCTAATATACAGAACTTCAATATATAGTGACAGAGTTTAGAAATAATGCATGCATGTAATAATTTATCTGTCGATACTTGAGTCAGGGCAATATTTGGACTTTTGATTTCATCAATTCAGGAGAGGTCATCAACTCCCATGGAACTATTATACTATTTATCAGTAGTTGCATTAGTATATTCATCATGCAATTGAAAATTGACTCATGGGTAATGACACCTTCTGTGCAAATGTATGGTATCAGTTTTGAAGCTCCTGTGTAGATTTTGATAATGAATCCCATTTATGAAATATTATTTTTGAATCTTTGAAAATGATTGAAAAAGAGAGCAATTAGTCAGTAATAAAGCACACAAATATAATAAGATTGTCATCCAAAATTTTACAAAGACTTCATTCAATTCAATTTTTGAAGGAATTAAGAGCAAAATATATATGAGCAAACACTGATTTTTGATAACATCATAAATCTTAACAATACTTCAATCACATTTCACCAACATCATATCACTTGCGTCATTCAAATCTATTTTTGGATTTAATTGACATTCCTATAAAATCTTGATGATATTTTCAATTGTCATACGCATGAGCTTCAAAACCTGACATTGATTAAGAGAGTGGTTTGATTTTTCACTGACTAATAGTAAATCACACTCTAGTTTTGCACTTACAAACTTTTTCAGTATCATTAATCTTAGATTTTTGTTCAGTATTGAGAAATTGTGAAGTGGTACTGCAAAGGTTGAAACAATCAGGCATATTTATTAAAACATGCATTGAAAATCACTTTTATATTTGGATAGTGGATTTTTATTAAAGTTAAAATCAGAGATAGAGGGATGGCAAAATTGCAATGATTCCCTACGCTTGAATCAATGTATCGTTTCCATTGAAAATATAAGACCTCAAATCAGATCTTTCATATCTTATTTATTGATTAAGATATGTTTAATCACATATGCTGATGTGACAATTCACATTGTGTTCAAAAAAATTCTAGAAACTCTGATTCTACCTTTGATTAAAAAGCTAATGCATGTGTATTAATAATTAGGTCTGGTTATGCACTATTCTTTGTAGAATATAATTGCACCATAGACTAGCACCATAGACGTCTTCATTATCATCTTGCTCATTTTCTCTGTCTTTTCTCAAGTTTACATCATTTTCATTAAATCTTTTGTCATCATCCACATAGATGGTTGTCATCTTTCATTGTATATCTTTCTTCCCAGATTGTAATATATTTTCATCTCACAACACATAATCATCTATCATTGTCATTATCTACCCTCCTAGACTATAACACATAATCATCTATCATTGTCATTATCTACCCTCCTAGACTATAACACATTGTCATCTGCCATTCTCAATTATCTGGCCTCCTAGACTATAACACATTGTCATCTGCCATTCTCATTATCTGGCCTCCTAGACTATAACACATTGTCATCTGTCATAGTCATTATCTGACCTCCTAGACTATTACACATTGTCATCTGCCATTCTCATTATCTGGCCTCCTAGACTATAACACATTGTCATCTGCCATTCTCATTATCTGGCCTCCTAGACTATAACACATTGTCATCTGCCATTCTCATTATCTGGCCTCCTAGACTATAACACATTGTCATCTGTCATAGTCATTATCTGGCCTCTTAGACTATAACACATTGTCATCTGTCATTGTCATTATCTGGCCTGCTAGACTATAACATATTGTCATCTGTCATTGTCATTATCTGGCCTGCTAGACTATAACATATTGTCATCTGTCATTGTCATTATCTACCCTCATAGATAGTAACACATTGTCATCTGTCTTTGTCATTATCTACCCTCATAGATAGTAACACATTGTCATCTGTCTTTGTCATTATCTACCCTCATAGACAGAAACACTTTGTCATCTGTCTTTGTTATTATCTGGCCTCCTAGACTATAACACTTTGTCATCTGTCACTCTCTTTATCTACCCTCATAGATAGTAACACATTGTCATCTGTCTTTGTTATTATCTAGCCTCCTAGACAGTAACACATTGTCATCAGTCTTTGTCATTATCTACCCTCATAGACAGTACCATATTGTCATCTGTCTTTGTCATTATCTACCCTCATAGACAGTAACACATTGTCATCTGTCATTGTCATTATCTTCCCTCATAGACAGTAACACATTGTCATCTGTCATTGTCATTATCTGGCCTCCTAGACTATAACAAATTGTTGTCTCTTATTGTCTCACATGTGTTTCGATGTGTGTCACATTCACTTATAAAGAATCATACATCTTGTATACTTCATAACTAATCAGAGTGATAAATAATGAAAACAGGGTGAATACTAAGATAGATGATAATGAAAAGTCTAGGAGGTTTTGAGGTGTTCCACAAGTTTAAAGATGTCTGTACACAAAATGTTATTGTTGTCATGGTTTCAATAACAGAACTTTGTGGAAAAGAGAGAAAATAATTAGCAAGGAATGAAGTGAACAGGCATGATCCCAGCTCACTTTAATCAAACTGAAACAAGGTGGAAATAACATGAAGAAACAGACATTTTAGCACAAGTGGTTTATTTGTTAATATGCAGAATCACAGATTATTTCAAATGTGCACCAACTAATAATTGTTTCTATTTAATGACCTACCCGGACACACTGGTATAAAACTGCTCATCACTGCTAATAAAATACCTAAGTGACATAATCATTACATTTGGATCATGATTATGTATAAATGTTGGATTTTGACATTGTCATAATATATTCCAAGTCAATATTCCATAACAATAATTGAAAATGCATTGCTGGGCAGTTGCACTCTATATATAATATTTAATATATCGTATCTCGTAGATTTTTGAAACTGTATGATGTTTTTGTATCAAGTGCATGTCAGAGACATCTTTCAACAAGCTCCCCTGGTCTCAATTTGAAATGTGGAGAATATTATGTGTTAAAATCCCTGATTTCTTGCCTACTAAAGTTAGTTGCATCTATGCCAAAATTAGCATGGCAATAATCAAAGGGATGGAGTACCATATTTACATGTATTGAAATAGGAGGGTCAAAATTCTGTTAAATTTGGAATATTTTATCAATTCTTTGTCAACAAAACAGCATTTATTCAAAAATGATCTTCCAGGTAATTCCTGTATTCTGGTAAATGGCTCGTGTTATTTGAGGAAAAGTAATTTGCATCATGCCTCTGAATGTCAGTAAAAAGTGTCCTCTCTGCCATGCACTGTGTACACTTTGTATTTGCTTTATAGTGTATTAACCTTTGAGTTGACATCTTTTGACTGAGTTAGATATTATAAATCAAAATAAAGTTAATCAAAGGAAGATAATAATTTTGTACTTTGGGTTATTCTTTAATTTTCAATTTCAATACAATCAAAAGAAAAAATTCACTTAAAAGATGTCACTGTTAACCTGCATGTGTAACGTGCTTTTTGATTGGTCAATTTGTGCCCGTAGTGCTGCAAGAAGAGATTAACCTTGCCGCTAGACGACTGTCAGTAGCGCCATTCAATCGTGTGTGCACGTTGCAAAATCGCATGTCCCGAGGAGGGAGCATGTTTTGGTCTCGTCCCCTACTGGAAGGTATAGCAAATATACATGCTCCTAGAGTTGAAATACAAATGGTTATTTTGGGATTACTACCAGTGATTATTTGGAAGATTCAGGGATGTATTTGTCCATTTCCAATAGTCAATGTAATTGTTTAGTGTATTTTAAAAGTATTTTTAGATAATCCTTCCTGTAATATTTTTTACCTTGGCACCAATGACGAAATAATTTTGAAAGAAATATTTTAGGTTAAAAAACAGTGGAGTTGTGTTTGACTTTGTTGTTTGAATTCTTTAATAAAACAAACTTGTAATGCCTCCTTCCCTCCCAGGTTTACAGCCAACTCATGCTTTTGAATGATATTATCTAATTATTTAAACGGTAACATTTTAGTTCAAGGGCTTTTACTTGATATTCAATGGATTTTCATCAATCAAGATTATAATGTAAAAATAATCCCTAATGGACAAAGCTGTATCCAAAACATGTTTTCAAATGTTGACTGTATGCAATTTTCAGGAAAAAAGATCTTAAAAAGAGGGATCAATCATAATCTTTATAACATTCACACAATGGAATGTTTTGTTCATGTACTTATGTTAGATAGAATAAACACCTAACCTTATACATTAATTTTAATCAAATCAAATTTAAATATTTTTATCCCACCGAGCAAAGTCAGGTGGGGATAAAGAGAAGTTGTCTGTCTGTCCGTTTGTCCATCCATTCGTCTATGTGTCCAAGCGACAACTCAAATACCTGTTGAGGGATTTGGTTCAAATTCTATAGGCGTATGCCTTATGAGCGCAGGACTTCTGTTCAAGAAGGAATTTCCAATATGGCCACTCAATTCAAAATGGCTGCCATTTTTTGTGAAAAATATAATTCTTGATAATTCATATACATGTACTATTTGACAGATTTTGTTCAAATTTTATATGCTGATGGTCATAAAAACTCTGCTTAAAGGGTTACGATAAGCTTCCTGTATAAAAACAATATGGTGGCTCCAGGCGAGTCTTCTGGATCAGTTTATTTTTAAGAAATAAGGGGAGTTTTGAAAATTCCAGTTTATTGAAATGGTCTTGAAGATAAAATAATTCATTTACAATGATTCTGTAAACATCGGGAGAGTGAAATATATCCAAAGGATGCATGTGCATCAGCCAATATAAATCTTGTACAATTTTTCAATTTTTCTATTGAACACAAATAGAAGATCTTGAAACTTTACTCATAATATGTAAAATTGATTTGTCAAGATGAAAATCCCCCTTTTATAAATGTGTGACGATCTTTACTATACTATTCCTACATAAACAGGCAGAGGTGTTTACGCAATGACTTTATTCAACCTGTGAACCCTTGAGTATTTTTCCGGGATCACGCCTTTTACACTTAACAGTGAGCAATACCAAAAATGAGCATTTGTTTGCTAAACGATATGCGTTACCCTTTAAGAAGAAATTTTCAAAATTGCTGCCTAATTTCAAATTGCAGTCATTTTTCATAAAAATGTAGTTTTGATAGCTTGAATACCATTTATGGAATATTTTAGGTTAATGCCTTATGAGCAAAAGACCTCTGTTTCAAGAGATATTTTCAGTATTGCCAATCATTTCAAAATGGCTACATCTGTACCATTTTTAATAAAAATGTAATCTTTGATAATCCAAATACCAGTTGATGGATTCGGTTCAAAGGATCTAGTGCACCCGCCATTATGATCTCCCCATGAACAAAATGAATCATTTTTAGGTGTAACATAAAGAATACAATGTCACATAATACTGTGGAAAATATTTAAGCGTTTGGACCCACATGGGCTGAGGTTGAGGTCATTAAGTTCAGCAAGGGTGTATTGACTTGCCATTGGATGTGCTCCATTGACTTAACATGTGGATATCATCAGATTCCAATGGAGGCCATTGGTTTCTATTGATTTTCACAAAAATACCTAAAATACACTATGACCTGAATCGATTGCAAATTAAATAATTTCACAATATGACACAAATGGTATATCACATCAAATGTGCAAATATAAAGTTTGCAATCGATTCAGGTCATACTTCAAATTAAAGGCTTAGACATTTTTTTCATCATTTTTTTCCTACAAAATGGCTATAGGAAAATGCTTCAAAAGCAACTTTTACACTTATGAAATCCCATACAACTTTGTAAATCCAAAGATTATATACTGTTATGTTTCATCAATTAATAACATATTTGGATAAGATGTAGGGATGTGTAGGATGCAAATGGATTTTGACAGACACAAAAACACTTCCTGGTTTGGCATCTCGACCCCTGTACACTTTATGATTGAATATTGGCCCTAATAAGTGGCCCATTCATCAATACAGTGCTGAATATAGGTCAAAAAGATACTAGCGTACATATAAATGTAATAATAAAAGCAGTATTTTTATTTTGAAAAATCAGATGAATTATTTTTTTCTCATGGGGAGATCCCAATGGAGGGTGTATAAGGTCCTTTTATATGCTGATCCTTTTGGGTCATGGGAATCTGCTCAAGAAGGAATTCTCAAGATGGTTGCCCTTCATAAAAAAATCTTAATTATCGGTAATAGGATTTCGTCCATTAATTTTGAGGCTAATGTCCTATGGGCAAAGGACCTCTGCTTAAGAAGGAGTTTCCAATTTGACCACTCAATTCAAAATGGCCACAATTTTTTGTTAGAAAATGTAATGTTCCAGTTTTGATACAGATTTGGTTCAAATTTCATATGCTGATGCCTTGTGGACATCGGATAAAAGAAAGAATTTTCAAAATGATTGCTGAATTCAAAATGGATGTCGATTTTGCCAAATTTCCTGTAATGTCCAAAGTGACTAGGGATTTAATAAAATATGTTTCATTTGGTGCGATTTTCTACTTTGCGAAGTTGCTGTTTTCTAGTTTGATTTTTCATTTTTATTATGCAACCCTCATGTTAGCTTGGTTTACACTGATTTGTCTTTCTTGACATACAATGAACTTATTGGATAAAGTCTGACAGTGATCTTGACTGTGATGTAGGATTCCTCCTTTTCTTCATTTGTATTTTTTAAAATTCAATAGGGTCCTTTGTAATCTAATATCATTGTGGAAAGATTGAACTGAAAAAATTGTTTTGTGAAATTGACAGTTGAATTCTTGCTTGACACTTCAAACAGTCTAACTCTGCTATTTTGAAGATCATTTCACATGAATGTACATCAGATTACCTGACATTGTATTCCATTTGACTATAAACGGGACTACCAGTGAAAGATGTGCCAGTGTTAACTGAAACTTTTTAGAAAGCTTTATAATAGTAGAATATGAACAAGTAGAAAAAGAAAATGACACAGATAAATACAAGAACAAATAGTACTTCATCATATTTGATTGAATCAGCAGAAACCTATGGCTTGAACCACTTTGAGTTGCTATAAGATTTTAAAAGATATATGAATGAATTTCTCATTCTACTTGCATGCTCCCACTATGTAGTCTAGGAAAAAAGTTTCATATTATAATAAATCAATAAAAGATTTGAAAGATACGATTATTTGAAAAGGATGTATCGATGACTAACCTTATACTAAAGCATGTGAGATGATAAAATAGTGTAATATGGTATGGCAAAATGCATGCTTGATGCATTTGTAGATGATTTTGATTTCTAATTTGGTGATTTTGTGATTCCCACATTCATAGCATTTATATATGCTATCACATTAAGGATGTAGCCCTACCTGCATCACAATTCAATTTTAAATTATCTATCATTGGTCTACATTGAATATAATCAGATATGTTCTATTAATTTCTTTCATGTTGGGTTACATCTTTAATCTGTCAACTAAGAATATAATTCCTGAACATGCATGAAAATTTCATTTCAGAACATTTCAGAAGATTTAAAGAATTAATATATTATAGGAGATGAGGAAAGGACTGAACACACACACTCGCATCATATGCAGATGGCGCAACATTTTTTCCCATCATGCATCAGTATGGCAGTATTACCCATAATCCATCTGTTAGAGGATGTGGAGGTGAACCCTGATGGGATATCTGGTATGCCTTAACTTCAATTTATATACTATCTGCTATATATTGATTGCTCTCACACATCTTAATCATTGCCATTGGAAACTGGTGTTGATTTATGATGCAATTTGACAGTCATAGATTCTATGCAAATGTCAGTCCATTAAAGACAAAAAATATGGATTTTGCAAAGCAAGAATACCTTGGGTTCTATATTTTGACCAATTTATTTGGTGTATTTGCATCCCAAATTCTTGTCATTGTGTTCACAGGCAATTGAGAATTGATTTTAAATTTTTTTCATTCTTCCAGTTACAATATATTGGTTTGTGACATTAAAGGAATGTTTTAATGTTAAAGTATTTACATTTTTGATTGATCTGCTCAAAGCATAAATGATAGATATTGATAGATATTCTGTACAATCACTTTGCATTTCAAAGAAGTATAGAATATTTTTTAACCAGTGAACATTTATTTTAATCAATAAATATATCATAAACATAATTATGTACAAGTATCATTGTATAGTACACTTCCATATTTGGATAAAGTCCCTAATGTATTCAATATTACCTAGCTATGTGTGAATGTCTTCTCAAGGATACCATATTGTTCACTCAAACATGAAATATTGTTTACTCAAGGATGCAATCTATTTTAATCATACATTCAGTAAGAATAGTTCTGTATTGTTTTTTCCAAGGGTCCAATATTGTTTATTATTATATACCTCAAATGTATTCTAGATGCTCATTGGCTTATTCATGGTCACATGACATGGAATAGATGAACTAATTCCCTGGAAAGTCCTAAATCCCTGCTTTCAGGGAAGATGAATTGTACTAATCACCAGTTAGTTCATGTGACCAGTCAATAGTACGTTTTATCTTCCCCCAAATCTGAGATTATAGGAGTTGAAAGGTAAAATGCCTTTAAATGCCAATAAGAACCTGTGAACATTTGATATTGAAATGAAAAGACTTCTCATTTTGTTTTTGTTTACAGAGTACTTATCAGGTATATAATAAAACAAATAGTGACTGCCACATTTTCGGGAAATAGTGTAAAAAATATTTGCACTATTTCCCTCAATGGCAGTCACTATTTGTACACTATTGCATACAATAATGTTAACTATATACATATGTACATCATGTAATAGTTTTCATTTTGTGTCATTTTTCATGATTTTGCGTTTTTGCAGTATGTGAAGTAGCAGAAAAGGTGATTCACCAGTGCTTAGTAGAGGAACCACAATTGTTCTTCAAACACTTCCTTGAGAAACTCACCAACAAGTCAAAACAGGTAAAACCTTCCTTCCATTTAAGATTAAAAAAGCAAATAATAAATTGACTGGGCGATTTAGTTTTTTCAATTTTTTTAATATAATTTGATAATCTCATAAAATTAATAAGAAATATCTTTGTATACTTAATATACATTCTTAGTGAGTTGAGCATAAGCTGAGGAGAATAAAATACTAAAGTCATTTTCAGTGAAACTCATTACATCCAAATACACATTTCCCAATTAATACTTTCATATGTTAATGTTTCCTAACATGCATGCCAACAAACAAACTTCCTGTTTAAAACTAAACTGGCATCTCCCTGTTTTACAACTTGTAGACCCCTTGTATATGTCAGTGACATCACAAACAATGTCAAACAATATGTTATGTTTGGTAAAACAATGGCTGACAGGTGTAATGTTTGAAAAACATTGACCAACAAGTATAAAATCTGAACAGAAACTTGTGAAAATCATTCAACGACCAAGCAAGCAAAGCACACACAACTTGCAAACATCTTGGAACTTGAAATTATCAGTGAACAAAATGGAAACATTAAAACTTATGAGCTACCAAGTGAACTATGTCACAAGAGAGACACCAAGTAATTCAGGATTTGGCGAATTCAACAACTATGGGCCACAAATTACTGAAATAAATGAAAGTGGAAGTAAAGGGAGCGATTTGATTGGCTTTGGGGCAAAAACTCTGCCAAGTGGAATAGCAACATATCAAAATAAGGTAATTATTACATTCTTTGCATTTAATATTACTACATTAAATTAAGAAATACATTTCCTTGTAACATTTTACCATTACAAGTGAAATGAGATAGATTCACTCCAAAACAATAGAATACAATACTACACAAAATGAAGAGTTTTTAAATTGGAATTCTTGTCTTGTAAACAAAAATTACATTTTACAGTAGTAAATATTTTTTATTTAATTTATTTCCAGTCTGCCAATGAGCATCCATACAACCTCCCCACTGTGAACCATGGTCTATTCGGAGCTGACGCATCTACCACATCACCTGTACTCAGCCAATCAGATAGCTTACAACAAAATGGCTGCAATATTCTGCAGATGTCACCCGACCTACGAGAAGTAACCTTGAAGAGTTGCACACCATCTCCATCTATTGGAAGTCTCACATCATCACCAACTCCATCTTTTGAGCAAATTAGTAACCCAAGTAGTCCAGAGACAGATATAAATGATATTGACGCAGTTCTCATATCTCTTGAGAAAACAGCAAAAGGTGGTGCCACTAAACCTGAAAAGCCAAATCACTCATATGTCGCACTTATTGTTGAAGCAATCCTGAGTAAACCAGAGAAGCAAATGATTTTGGGTGACATCTATAAATACATCCAGGAGAATTTTGAATACTACAATAATGAAGAACGAGCATGGAGAAACAGTATCCGACACAACCTATCTCTGAATGAATGCTTCATCAAAGCAGGACGTGCTGACAGCGGGAAAGGCAACTATTGGTCAATCCACCCAGCATGCATTGAGGATTTTTCTAAAGGGGATTATAGGAAACGAAATGCCAGACGTCGTAATAGGGGTGGTTCAAAGGGCCTGAAGACACAACAGCCAAACACACCCTACCCTTACCAACAGTATGTACCCATGTCTTCAGATACCCTCAGCTACCCTCCTCCAATGGCATACCCCTATCAGATTCCCTCAGTTCCCCAGATGTCCCTAGTTCCCCAAATGCCCTCAGTTACCCAGATGCCCTCACAACCGCAACTGCAAACATCTACAATCAGTTGCATGGGTAAATATCAACAGCCAATGCCAATAACTTATGGGCCACAAATTAGCGTAACTGGTTCTCTAACTAACCCTTACAGTTCAAAACCAAGAGCCACCATCCACTATGAGCCTCAGACATCACTTCCAAATATGGACATTTACAGAGCACCATACAACTATCTATCAAGCAACAATGGTTACCATAGCAACATGTCTATGATACATTACCCATCAGTCAACAAAGGAGGCTATTAGTAACCTTTCATTCAACCATTGGACAACCATGAATATTTTGCCAACTCAGAGAGCCTGTTGTCAAATTCTAACTTACACTAATTAACAGTATCTTGTAGCATATCATTGAACAGTCATTAACAGTTTATCCATGATAAGATGTACTATTCTAGTAGAACAGTTTCATGTTTTAAAATTGCCAAGAACAGTAGTTTGCAAGAGGCCACATAGAGCTGTGGTTTGAAGTATGTAGATTTGGTGTGTAGAATAAATATACATGTAGATACAATAACTTTTTGTTACTTTCATATTTACCTATATGTTGTTTGATAATCCAGGTCCTTTAAGTTAATATTTTTCATTTTATTTGAGTTACAATTATCCCACACAGACACCACAAGGCATATATGTTTGGTAGGATAATGTAACTTGATATCTGAAGGTACAAACAAATCCCCATATTAATCTGACAAGAACTGGTATCTTTATCCTGGCTAGGACCACGGACAGTTCAGGCCAGCACATGTAGAACTGTGTATTATTATATTAAACAATGAATGGTTATTGAATTCACATTGTTAGCTTATATGAGCTAGGCCACAGGAAAAGGGGTCTTATCTCAGATTTTTTCAATATTCTGATTTTTTGTTCATCTTATAAAGCACAAAGAGACCTTTCAAATGAGCCATGGCTTATGTCTTAACTATTTTTCCTTGCATATATAGACCAAAAAGTCGGTTTTGAATTTAGCACATTTTCCTCTTAATCTTGGGCACATTTTTGGCTCTAGCACAATTCTAATTTTTGTGATAAGACCAGTTTTCCTATGGCCAGGCTCATATATTAAATGAACTTCATTTTCAGATAAATTGAAACTGTGCAATATTTCAGTGAATCTGTGAACTTCTTCATATGACCTCTTGACAACTAGAAGGGACCAAGTCTAGATTTGAATTTCCAAAATGTAATTAAATAATACATTTCCGATTGACCCCCTCCCTCAAACTCATCTCGAAGATATTGTTTCAGGCACAAATCAATACTACACAAATGTAAACATTGGTCCTAACTGACTGTTATTCAAAGTTCTTTCACTGACTTGTTGCAGGAGGAATTGCTGTATTTATTAAGAAAGCTGCTTCTACATATGCCAGAGTTGCCATCTCAGACTGCTCATATGCTCTTCAATTATCTGGTGAGTTAACATATGGGTCAACCAGAATCAGAAGAAGTGATTCACTTACATTCTTTTCTACTGGTTAATAATTCATGATGATTCCATGCGCATATATTAATTGATGCACCAATCAGTATAAGCTACAAGCCAAACAATTTGCAGGATATGTCACATGAACAAGCACTCCCATATGTTAGATAGATATAGCCTATTTATTTGCAAAGAAACTTAAAATTATGAACATGGCAGGTATCACTGTTTTATTCATTTGAACATACAACATTTACTTGACTGATGGAACCCAAAATTTTGATATGTATTTGTTAAATTCAGTTGTATCTGTGCACTGTCATGCCATCTAGCGGTTGAAAGGTCTTCAAACAGGAAAATAAAACAATTTTGAGATGTAGATACTGTACTTCTATTGAATCCCTCCTCCTTATTTCTTTTAAGCTTGGCTTCATAATGTTCTATGTGAGGTCCCCTACAGAGGGAGGACAGGATGCTATTGGATCAGCCATGTCAGTCATCTGGCTGGTAAGTGAATTTTTTTTCTCCATTACGAATCAGAATTGTAGGAAAATATGCACAATAAAATTTGAGTATTTCATCATTGGTTGAATATTATAATGAATTCATTCCATTATACTTCTCCTGCACTATTTTACTTGTTCTAATTGTCCAGGTTGTCCCTAGTGTACATGGAATATTCTTCAAAGATTTGAAGCAGACACTTAAGAAAGAACAGTGTGATGTAAGTAACAAAATAATAGTAAAATAAAAGGTCCTCTTGTATAAACAATTTGGTCTCTTTGATCAGTTTGCAATTGTTCAAAGTTTGTTGAAAAACTCTCTGTCTGAACAATGTGATAAGGGATCATGATAATTCAATTGGTTATGTTTTGTGCGACTTAGAAAAAATGAGACTGCATTTCAAGAAATGGCAGCCGTGGCTGTTAGATTGGATTTGGCACTTCTTGGCATTACTGTTATCTAGTTTTAGAATGAGAAAGTAACAATAAATGCTGCAAATATGACATATAAAATGTAGATAAGGAACAAAACTATAAAATGTAGATAAGGACTTTCTTGGAATTTATTTTCAGCCGACATTAATGATCACTGCCAATGTTCCAAGCACCAAGAAGGTGATTGTTCATGGCCCAGACCTCTCCAGTATTCCATCACAGTTTCCTGTCAGAGAGGTAAGGTCAAGGTCATAAGCCGTCTGCTGTTTTTGGGGTCATGAGAAAATCTAAATGTAAAACTGTAAAAACGCAACAATAATGAAAATTAAAAGTTCTAATGGCCTTTGCGCTAGCGAATAAAATTGTTAATAGCAAGAGTAACCTGAATATATAATGAATAATTACATGTATATATGTTTTATTCAGAGACTGGGTCAAATCATCATCTTCCATTAAAAAGATGTTTGTATGAAAAATTGTATTGTGATTTCTTGTATTCCTTGGGTTTATATTCAGTATATTCTTCATATACTTCACTGAGGTTCATGTGGCACAAATCAACAGTGAAGGTTTCAGTTTTAGAGGGAGGTTGGTGTGTAAGCCGCGCCTAGCAAATATTAATTACCACATATTTTGATGGTTGGTGATGTGTTGACCCTGATCAATACATGTATCTAATAAATGTATGACTGAGATCCCATCAGAGTATCAATAATAGCTAAAAACTACCATTTAATTGGAAAGATTGGGAACTAAAAGGAAACCAAGAGTATTGGAGATTTACATTCACCTCCTTTATGGGTTTTCTTTGAACAAAATGAATTCAGCTTTTGGCATTATATTTGGCAAATATTGTACTTTGATGTGATTCTGTATATGTGCTATTAGGCATCTTATATAAATATTGTTGTAGCGATGTGCGGTACATGTTGCTTTCCTTGCGATATCATGCAGAATTTCTCGGATTAATATTTGGGATGCTGCTAAACAAAAGGGGGTCACCTAACAAAAATATCCATTTTTATGTATCAAAATCAAGGATTTAAGAATTGAAATTTAGTAATCCAGTAATTTAGTATTTATATAATTGGTATTTAGTAGTTATATGGTCACTGATGAAATGCCATAAATTGTTATTTGACCCCTTCTATGTCTACTCTTATTCATCATTATTGTTGTGTCTGTGATAGCGTGCGCAATATAGCGCATCATATTGGACTTTGAGTAAGAACATTAACATTTCACATATTCTGTCTTATTCACATTTACACACACATTTCTAAATGTTTCACACAAGAACTTTCACATTTTTCTCATTAACATGTACAGTATATGTACATGTACATGAAATTGTCACTTTATAGACCTATTTACATATATTGGCACAATAGCTTTACAATTTACTGAAAGTATTTCAGTTCTCACAGAAAAAATTATTTTCACATTTTTATATTAAAGTCACAGACTCACAGGCACGTTATTGTATTATATTAAACTTATTGCTTTCCACTAAAATGACACAATCACTTTTATTATGTCCCCACCACATAGTGTGGGGCCATATTGTCGGCCTAGGCGCGTCCGTCCGTCCGTCTGTCTGTCCGTCTGTCTGTCCGTCTGTCTGTCCGTACGTCCGGCAGTTTTCTCCAAAACCGCTACAGATATCACCTTCAAATTTTCAGGGATAACTTATGAGTGCATATAGATGTGGATGAAAAAAGCTCGATACCTACTTCCTGTCGGCCATTTTGAAGTCAAATGCTAAAATCCTTGTCTGCAAACTTAAAGAAAACAGCTTCACAGTTGCTTTTAAAACTTTAACATCTTGTTCAGCTCACTTCATTCTAGATCTGATTAGGTTTTGGACCTGTTAGCTCAGTCATGTCAGCCATTTTGAATGTTTTAAGAAAAGTTAGTGCGCGATAATACTTTGTATCATATTGAATGGTGTTTTTCACTTTTCATACTTTAACTATTTAGTAGCTTTATAAATAATTTCAGGTGTAATTTGTTGTAAAAGCCTATGTTATTGTTAACAGTAGTTATATGTGATAATTTTGTAAAAAGAAATCAGCAAAAACTCATAATCACTTTTTTATTGTCGGCCATTTTGGATTTTTCCGTCCTAAAATCTTGTCAGTAAAGTCTTGTCTACTTGTTTTCAGGTGAACCGTTTGGTAGATCAATTTCAAATTTTCAGGGATGATTCCTAGTATGAAAATCTAGATCTGATTAGTTTTTGGGCATTCTGGGTAAATGTCAAGGCAGCCATTTTGGATTTTCCGTCCTAAAATCTTGTCTGTAAAGTCTTGTCTACGCATTTCCAGGTGAACCGTTTGGTAGATTAATTTCAAATTTTCAGGGATGATTGTTAGTTTGAAAATCTAGAACAAATTAGTTTTTTGGCATTCTGGATAAATGTCAAGGCAGCCATTTTGGATTTTCCATCCTCAAATCTTGTCTATAAAGTTTTGTTTACATGTTTTCTGGTTAACTGTGTGACAGATCAATTTCAAATTTTCAGGGGTGGTTCTTAGTATGAAAATCTAGAGCTGACTAATTTTTGGGCATTCTGGGTACATTTTAAGGTGGCCATTTGCATTTTCCATCCCAAAATTGTAATGGTAAAGTCTTGTCTACTCATTTTCAGGATAACCATTTGACGGGATCACCCATTGGTGGGGACATATTGTACACATTTGTGTTCTTGTATTCACCTGTTCTTGTCACACATATTTGGCTTATAACTTCCACTAGGTATTGTACATGCATATAAATGACAGTTTTTTGTTACCATTTTATAAATGGATCAAATCGTCACTGTATTGGAATAAATAGTTAATGAAATCTGAGACTAGGCGATACAACTCAAGTTCACTAGATGCTTCAGTATTTGAAAAAATAATTGAATTGAAGTCATTCCTGCTTTGGTAGATTACAAAATGATACAGTGGTCAAGCTTCAAATGTAAAAGCAAATGTGAAAAAGGAGAGAAACTTTAGCAAGGAATAAAGATGAGAAATTGCATTGAAGTCAAAAATGTAGTAAAGCCAGGTACTTCATGGATGTTCAGTCAAAATGTAATATTATCTTGACCATCGTAACATTTTAACATGATTTGAATTGTTCAATTTTAGCATATTGTCGATATATACACTGTAAGACTTTAATATATTGGCTAGTATTAACTTTAAAGTGTGTGTATTTTGAATCTTATAAAATAACTTTACTCCTTATTTGAATTATTAAGACTAATTGTTTTGGGGTATTTGGAGTTGTTGATTTTGTGTTGCACTCTATTTTACTGAATGCATGTAAAGGTGTGTTCAAAAAGTTTGTAAAAGTTTGTGCTAAGGTAGGCTAAGTAGAAACAATAGTCTACTTGATTCCTTTATAACAATCTTGTATTCTGATATCATCTGTAAATAATTCAAAATCCATTCCACTCTGCCTACCTTCAAATTGGCCATCTTGGTTATAAAAAATTTGTTTCTTTATTTAAATATATTAAACATTTTATATTGTTTTGATAAATTTGTATTTTATTGAGTGCTGTATTTTTTATTTTTTTCAAAAAAATTCCTTGGTCATCATGTTTCTCATATAAACAGTCAAGGATGTCAGCGAAATAATTCACTCAAAATTGTATTTAAATGTTTGCCATGGTAAAATATTGCTAATGGTTTGTCAGATTTAGAATATGAAAAGTTTATCCTGTATTTTGAAAATAAATGAATAATTCATATTTATTTGTGCATAGCACAAAAATATATCATTGACAATGGTATGGGAAATGTCAGGGGAATACTAAGGAATTTCACTATTGGAACCTAGAAATGAACAGACTCTGAGATGTACATAACACTATAAATTGTCTAAAAATACCAGAAAATAGATCATTGAAGAAGGCCAGAATACATAGGCATGGCTACCTTGATGGTTTTCTGTAGTCAATCTGATTTTGGTGACTGCTGTATTGTACCTTTAGTCTTTTATAACATTTTGAAATAACCAAATAGCATGTTGTTTCAATTCTCATTGCATTGAAATGAATTGCTTGAATTTTAAGATTTACATATATTTACATAAGATTAAAATCTTATATGTGCATTCCACATTTAATTTTGCATCATATTTAAGTCATACCTTTTTCAAGTTAAAGTGCAGTGTTTTCATTATTATTTCCTGTCCATTGGGCAATATTATAATACACAAAACAGTCTTGGTGCAATATATTAGTGAGTGTTATAAAATGGGCTTACTTAATCAACCTTAGAACTCAATAAAGAGTAAGAATGACCAGATGACCATATAATATGTATGTTTACAAAAGATGACTACCAGTTGACATATATTGTGGAAGTATCATTTTTATACCATTAATTCATGCTCAGAATAGCCCATTGCGTAAAATAGATCTTTACATGAATGAGGGCTGGTACCCTAGTTGTCTCTAGTCCTGACTCATGTTCAACAATCAACAATTAATACTATGTAAAAGTAATTATTGGCATTCATACACCCCTATGGAGAGTGTCATTGATAAATGATTCACAGAAACAAATAACGGTTATTTGGTGAAGATCAGTCCGATCATTTTATTTTACATGTAATTGGCACAGCTGGATTTGCTATCTGTATGCTATCTGCGATTTTAAGCTGATTCTGCGCATTTCTTGCACAGGTTTATGTGCCTTCTTTATGCTAGCTTGCTTGCGTTTGCAGCGCTCTAGGTTCAAGCTTGTTTTAAACATTGCTATGGTGTTCAGGTTTGAACTGTAAATTAATGGATCAGAGATATAGTGAAAAACTCAGAAGTGAATAGAAATACAGGAGAATATAGTACTATGCACTTACATGTAATCCATTATGAAGAAAAATGATGTTGAGTTTACTTTTTATTATTATCCACTTTCTCTCATATATCAGTATTATATCTCTCATATTGAGATTATTATGAAATTAGACATTGTGCAAACTCGTAAGTAGTAAATAAATTGAAAGATTCAACATAAGAAAATTCTGAAAGAAAATGCAAAAATATAATATAAGAATTGACGTGAAATTTAGAATGAGTTAAGAGTTTTTCTATTTCAGGACACTCAGTTCATTGCTGTGCTTCAAGATAGTCTCGAGTTTTTCAACATCCCAGAGAATGAGCACAATGCTTACTTCCTCATAGACACAAAGTCACGTAAGTATATAACTGAAAATTAAAATATGAATAGCTGACATCTCAAAAGGGGAAATGAAATATTAAAAGGAAATATACAGGGTGTTTCATATGTATGCACCCTTGAAAAATATAAAATATAAAATTCCCCTCGAAATGAACCCTTACCTACATACTTTGATACATTCTTTTTTTCGGGTACACCACTGGATTCTGAAACTTTTATGTAACTTTCTATTAGACACAAGATGATAAATAACATGATAGGGTGGCAGTACTACATGTATGAGTTTATGGGGGGGGGGTGCATACATATGAAACACCCTGTAGTTGCTGAAACATAATTTGCATTTTTACCTGTGTTGCCAAATTAAGAATATATTTCTCACGTTGCCAATTTTGGAATATCTTTATACATTTTGTTCACCCTGTCTGTATTTGTGGCATACTCTGTATATTATGTACCAGCCTGTTTTTGTTGTGTATCCCATATCCTGTTTATAATTGTCCACCCTGCATATACCTAGCATTTATGTTTTCTTTGTGTGTTTCAGACCAGATGCACAATTTGGACAGCTACGTCAGAGACTTTTATTTCTTCCGACGTAACTTCTACCCTCAGCTGACCATGATTCATATGAACCCAGAGGAGGCCTTTAAAACACTGCAGAAACAGGTGAGTGGCCGTATATTATGGTAACAGTGGACAGTGGTCATGGGTTGAAACAAAGAATAGAGTGGACATGAAAAAGTCTCATTATTTCAGCTTTTCAAAACACTGGACAACATGTGCAGAATATTAGGAGGATTATGTTTTGAAACTGAGAATAGGATGGAAAGGAGTAGAAACAGAGAAGATATAAGAAAGTTGTAGTTTAGAAAGAAAATTATGTACATGTACTCAATTTAAAAATGTGAGGTTTACAAATTGATTGAAGCAAAATACATTCTGTTTGAATTATACATGTTTATTCTGTTCTAGGCGCTTACTTTGAAGACAGTTGAGATCGGAAAAGTGCTATTCTCAAAGGCGATCCTTGATGGAACACCAGCCAATCAGCTGTCTACACACGTCTCATTCATTCATGAAGAGTTGACAAAACTACCATCATTTCCTCGCAAGGCTCTGGAAGCTGATTTTGGTCTGTACAAGGGGTCTCTTCACAAGGAGGTTGGAGGAGTGGATATGATTCACAAGTATGTCTGGACTAAGGTAAGAGGACCCTCTGAGCAATGAACAATTGAATGAATGAACAAATTGACCAAAACAATTACAGTATTTTGGTTCTTTGGTGGGTGTTTTACTTTTACTCCCATGACCATTATTTATCATTTCTACTTTGTTTTTTCAGTTGATCAACACACTGTTTTCAAGTATGTCGTCAACAACGACATGGACATGTGACTTGACTCTGTTCTTGAATGCTGTAAATGGGACTTTGTTGTTACATTGTGAAGATAGTGCCATGGTGAGGCTCTGCCTCTCAGTGTTCATCAATGCATCACGAAGGTTTAAACATGTCTTTGCTACAAATGGGTAAGATTAACTTTGCTGCTACAAGAAAACAGAAACATTTCATCTCTAGATTCTGTGTTCATTTTATTTAAATGTTATGAAAATGATTTGTTATCCCAGTGTGCAAGATGCAATTTATTTCCCATGTTTCAGTCACAATGTTAGACTGTAGCATCAGTGCAATTTGAATAACTCTTCTTGCTACAAATAATAAAGTAAATACTGTGCAAACCCTTTATTTATAAATCAATGTTGCAGGTATCTGTTTATTATGCCCAACATGTTGAGGGTCTATTCCAACTACCAGACCAACCCCCAGCTCTGTAAGGCCATTGAGTTTGCCTGTAAACAGTTCTACATACTGCATAGGAAACCATTCATACTTCAGGTAACTTGCCTCATATATGTAATTGAATAACACATTGTAAACCTCACATTTTACTAAATTGACAGCACCGTAAACATTGGACATGTTCAAGAGGGCATATTAGACAGTTGTGTGTTTGGCCCCTTTCACACTTGTACACACATACTTGCAGATGTTTGGTAGCATTGCACCAATACTAGACATGGATATAGATGCAGAGTTTGGTGATTGTAATAAAGTTTTACCAGAGACCCTTTTTGACCTCCTAGTGGCCCTCTCCAAATCCTCGTGCCCTGATGAACTGGACATTTTGGACCTGATTGAGGGGGAAAAACCTCTGAAAGCGCTTGTAAGTTGCTAGTGTTACTTTCAAGTGTTACATTGCCATTTCAAATTTTTAAAGCTATTAAAAATCTTCCAACAAATATTTAATGGAATATGAATCAATCCTTGTTGCGAATATACTATTTTTAGGACTTCTGCTATGAGGATGAGCCAGATTCATTCAGTATGTCAGATGCCATTGATTTATGTGTCACAGTAGTGGCCTATGCCTCAGACTCTCTATATATTTTCTAATATTTTAGGACTTCTGCTACGAGGATGAGCCAGATTCATTCAGTATGTCAGATGCCATTGATTTATGTGTCACAGTAGTGGCCTATGTCTCAGACTCTCTATATATTTTCTAATATTTTAGGACTTCTGCTACGAGGATGAGCCAGATTCATTCAGCATGTCAGATGCCATTGATTTATGTGTCACAGTAGTGGCCTATGCCTCAGACTCCCTCAGAAGTCAACAAATGCTGGTATGCATTCGTTCACATTTTCAATGATTCACATTTTCTTTTGAAAGCTCTGATTAAAATGTCAAGACAATTGATGGCAATAGCAGTATTAAAAGCAGTAAAAGTCTGATTTGCTCATTATTCCATGTAAAATTTGCAAACAGTTCAGGAAAAATCTGTCTCGGATATTAGTATCATTTTAAGAAAAAAAGAAAACAATATTATCTGCTCTCAAATTTCAAAATGGAAAGGTTACTTCTATTCTCTGTTACTTCTATATTGAATCTGACATATACAATACCTCTAATAGTTATGAACATGTTTATGTTTCACATTTCAGACCATATTAGAGGCTATAGTTCCATACTATCTGAAGCAGTCACAGGCGCTGACATTGAAGCGTGACACTCCAGTGTCTGCACGTTCAGAGATGGATATGATACAAGAGCTCAGCATCTCTATGAGAGCACTGGTGGTCAATTGTGAAGCTCTAACTAGGTAACAAGCTCTTTAAAACAATATACATGTAATGTTAAATTGCTAGCTTTAAATACATGGAAATATTGGGAGTTTTTTCAGAGATTAATTATAACGTTATTCATAGGAATTTCAGACACAGGTACATATTTTGAAGGAAACATATTTTAATTGAAGAAAATGTATTATTAATTCATAGTTTATTTTCTTGAAATTCCAGTATTTCCTCTTGGATCAACCTTTGAGATCAAATTGTGAATTTAAGAGTTGTTTTTGTTTTGTAGAAATGCATAGTTTATTCAAGCATTATGTCTTTGGTATTATTATTAAGATAATTTAGCATACTATAGTTACTATTTATTATAGAATGTTTGGGCATGCAGTTCATTTAATGTAACATTTATCTAGGAATTTGAGTGGACCAAAACATATTGACGTAGCAACCTCAAATCTGAAGCCAACTCATAACCATAGCAACCATTCTCCTTCTGTACCTGGCATGTTTTATGATGACAGAGAAGATTCAACTGTTCATGTGAGGTAGGGATGTTACCATAGCAACAAACTTACAAATAGTAGCAAATAATTATTTTTGTTTTGGAATGTTTAAAGGATTTAACAAATTTCATTTTTAGGACAGTTGGAACTAACATTTTAATCTTGTTTGTCTTTCTGTCAACACCAAGAAGTGCTGACATATTGTTACAGCTTCCATTTATTGTTTGTGTATCTTCTGCTTTGCATTAGTCTGAAATTGTTAGTCAAAAAGCGTATAACATACGTATGTCATGTGAATGAACATGTCTGTACAATATCATTTCATTAGATCCACACTGTACTTCAAGGAGTGCTCATAAGGTCTGGGGAAAACCTTTAAAAAGATATTTAAAATATCAACATATTTTTTATTTTAGATATATGGAGGAAGGAAGGTCAAAATCCACTCATCACCATGACCATGAGGAAGAGATTGCAATGTTGAAAGAATTCAGACGTCCCCGTGATTCACTGCTTTGCGTCATAGCTGAGTTCTACGTGCATTGTTCAGCTCGTGTCAAAGATCTCAGAAAGAGGCTGAATGAGGTCCATGCAAATAAATACCCAGATTTGTTGGATCATAAAGCCCATAATGTAAGTCATTAGGCTCATTGATACCAATGGTACAAGTCATAAGGCCTCTAAAGTAAGTCATTAGGTTCATAGATACAAGTCATGAAGCCCATATTCTAAGTCATTAGGCCCATAGATAAGAGTCATAAGGCCCATAATGTAAGTCATTAGCCTCATAGATAGGAGTCATAAGGCCCATAATGTAATTTATTAGGTACTAGTATATAAATGTAAGTCATGAGGCCCATAGTTCATTAGCATGAGACCTATTACTTTAATTTTTGAGCACAGAATGTGTGCCTCATGTTATGAAGATTTTTTGATATTTGGAATTGAAATGTAATGAATAAGTAATAAAACAATTTGCAGGCATTTATGGCCTAATCTTCATACGTTGCTGTGGAAAATGGCACCTTGTAACACACATAATTAGTTGGCATAGGCTACAACACTAAATCCTTATACAAAGTTACTTCTAGATAGCCTAGTCTATATCCACCGATATTACCCGATTATCCCATTTCATAGCCTGCTTACTTCGTTTATATTAGATTTCTTAAATAACCATGACAACATAATGACATCATATTTCATTTTGATGGAATTCTGCTAGCACACAGATGTGGTTTTATATGTCTCTGCACAAAGTAACCATGAACTATGCCTTAGTTCTTGCCCAAATATAGAGCCTTTCAAGGTCATCCTATATTGGGAGAACTCAGGCATACTTGTTTGACATGACCTCTTAAAATAAAGGAGAATGTGCACTTATGTTGAATAGTCATGATTTCACTTGTCTCTTAGAAACTGGCCGATGTTGCACATACTTTGCTAAAGATGGCACCCTATGACCCACACACCATGAGTTGCCGTGGGCTACAACGCTATATCCTCGAAATACTACCAATGACAGACTGGTCACAGGAAGCTGTTAGACCTGCGCTGAATCTTATACTGAGACGTCTTGAGAGGCTCTTCCATAAAATATACAAGAAAACTACACTTAGGGTAACTTTCATGTTTCTCACATTAAGTTTAAGTTACTAAGCATGAACATTAGTACCATTTCAAGGGTCTGATTTAGAATCTTTAAGTGAGCTGAGCAACATTTATATTTAGGTGATATAGCAAATCTTGAATAGACATGGCCATCATGACCCTTGTATTCTATACATAATCATCAAGACCATTGCATTTGAATATGTGATTTCAGCGCCACCTAGACTGGGATTGTGCTGCCAGTCTATTAAGAGGGGTCTACATGGCACTACACAAATACAACTTCATAGCACATCTACCATACTTGAAGGTAAAATATACATCTCTGAAGTGAACATCCTCAAATGTTAACTTTCTTACCCTTTTCTAGATTTGAAAAAACATTTAAACCAAATTGATAATAGGCAAATCCTTTAAATAGGTGATTTCACAGCTATCCTAAATGGGAGAACATCGCTAGAACACTATACAAGTATGTATGAGTTTGTATGAGTTTTAAAGACTGGTGCATCTTCTTTTGGAAAGCTTTGACATATATGAATTGTGTTCTTTTTCAGAGTCTAATAAACACAACTTTACACATAGTATTAGCTGACGCATCTGGACTAGAACTATCTGGAAGTTCCCATGACGTCCATCATAGATCTTCCCGCGTGGAGACTAATGTTTCCGTGGCAACAGTCCCTACCCCCCAGGCATTCTGCTCTGCAGTTGTCAAACTGACTGCCATGCAGATGCAGGCCCTTGGGGTAAGATTATCTCTCTTGGCTGAGTTAATTTTCACGGGTTCATTTCTCAATGGAGTATTGTATTTGTTAATCTGGAATGGTCTTAGTTAAAACTTATAGATTCACAAGAGAACAATAATTCACAATATTTATTTTGAATTAGTTTGATTATAAAATTTAAAAATGTTCAAATAGTAATATTCTACATTTAGGATCAGTTTTCATTGGAGCACATATGTGGAGGGATGTCTGTCTTCCCTACACAGGACAAAACCCAGAATATGCTTGTAAACCTTGTACTGCCCTTGCTGATAAGGGTTGGATGCGGGCGTAAAGGTTAGAATTTTTAAGAGATGATTCTTCTATTATATTCTTCATCATTGGTGATGTGGCTTTCAACTTATTTGCATGCTATGGATCTTTTGAATAAGGTTTTATTAACACATGAAAAGTTCCTTGTGTTTATGTTTTGGAATTAAATGCAAAATATAGTGGAAAATAGTAGAATTGGCAGGAAATACAAACTGGTTATGACCATCTTGAAGCATTTTTCCTCATTTAGGTTGTTTGTTTTCAGATTCTCCAAGGATGTCCCAGACTGACATTAACTTTGCATTGACAGTAATTCTCCATGCAGTTGTGCCACCCTCCAAACAGAGTTCTAGCCATGGGGGAAAATCAACCAATTATTTGTCAGTGTCCATTGGAGAGATGGGGCGATCTGGGAGTGTTTCACAATCTGATAAACAAAGCCGTACAAGAGACTCGCTCTACCAGATTGCATTCTTAGGTATGATTTGATACGGCAATGGCAATTGGCTCTTAGTATATAAACTTTATACTGTCAGTTCAATATTTCAAAACAATATTTTTGATTTTAATCCTTGTAGGACTTCATTACTGTTTGGGGTAAAATGCTAATTCTTTCTTAACAATATCTTTAATTGATATTTGCGTAGTCTGTAAAAATGTTTGGGACAAATTCTTAATTTTATAATTAGCTAGTATATAGCCACCACAATATGACATTACAAAGAACCAAAAAAGAACTGATGTTCCTTTGATTAGAATTAGATTACAAATGATTCCACTAATGCATGATTTGGGCCTCAATTAATTAGAACATTGAATTTGTTCAAAAATGTTGTGATCATATAAAGAAATTTACTTCAGGTCTGAAGATTCTCCTGGTGTGTTTTGAACGTCAACTAACCCCAGAGTTACACAGAGTTGCCAACTGTATAAAGGAAATGGGGACAAAACTGAATGGTAAGTTATAATGTCTGCAGGTATGATGTCTGCAGGTGTAATGTCTGCAGTTATAATATCGGCAGTTATAATGTCTAGGGTTATAGTGTCTGCAGATAACAGATATGTGCTGTCAAGTTGGTTTGGAACATTTATGTAAACTTATCATGTTTCAACATTTTACCACTTTTTGACATGGAGAGGGGTCAGCACAACTTTTATCAAACGATATATATTGCTGTTGTCTTGTGTACTGCGTGAGGGCAGACAGACAGGCATAAATCTTGTCATTGAAATTGCAGGAAAACAGCTCATCTGTTCAACTTGAAATTTTTACAAATGTAAGAGCAGACTAGTGTCACAATCAGAGTGTTTCTTGTTTCTTGAAAACATGGAACTACTGATGGTTTTTCTTCCCTTGATGGTCTTAATGCTAGTGTACTATACACGATTCCTTGATAAAATATTGATATTCATGTTTGCATGGGCCATGGGTTTGGTTAAAATTAAATTGCATAAAATTTCAGCTCATTAAAAAACAAGCACTCAATATACAGAACTTAAGATAACATACTGAGAAGGGCTCATAATTCTTGACTCTATTCTACTTCTACAGGTGGACTAGCATTATGGAGGTTCCTTGATTTTCTGACGTCCTACCGCCCTTCCCTGTTCATAATTCTGCAGCCATTCATACAGTATAAGATGCTAAGTATGTCTTGTGCCACACAGCAGGAGTATTTCATACAGCATGCCATACATGAGAAGCTTAGAGGCAAGAACATGCCTCCACCCAGATCCATTGGGAATGTTCTTATGGACCTAGCCAGTGAACTTAGATCCATCAGGGATGATATCAATGCTTTGGGTAAGTTGTTGTATGTGGGGGTTACATATTCTAAATCATGGCTAATATACCTTGGTCATCACAAATCAGTCCTGGAGCAGTCAATAATTTATGTTCTTTCTGTAGCTATTATATGTCATAAAAATGTTTGAGTTTACACATCCTATGTCATGGTATTTTAATGGATGGTAAATCTTTAATATACAGGGTGGTCCAAAAAAAGTGGACCCCTGCAACAGGCTACATTTTTATTATCGCACTTTGAAAAAGTGCTATATTGTCGTCGTCTTGTGCTGTTGGGCGGGCGGGCGTGCAGGCGGGCGGCACATAAACCAAATCTTGTCATCAAATTTCCAGGATAACTGCTTACCTGTTCAACTTGAAATTTTTACAGATGCAAGAGCACACTAGTACCAAGATCTGATTAGGTTAAGGGCATGCTGGGTAAACTACGTGGCGGCCATTTTGAATTTTTCAACAAATCTTGTCATCAAAATTCCAGGAAAACCACTTATCCATTCAACTTGAAATTTTTACAGATGCAAGAGCAGACTATTGCCAAGATCTGATTAGGTTTTGGGTATGCTGGCTGAATTACATGGTGGCCATTTTGAATTTTTCAGTTTGGCGTCCATTTTGAATTTTTCAACTTGCTCCAAATTGACCAAATTTTTTTTTTAAAAACATCTTCAAGTTCTCAGAAGTTTAAAATCTGACCTTAGATTTCAGATTTGACCTTTCAATCACCTTCAGGTCAAAAAGTTGATTTTCTAAATTGATATTTTGGATTTAAATTTAGGTCAGCTTAATTACAAAACACCTACTGAGGTCTGAAAAAGTGAAATTTTCAAGGTCGAAGGTCATCAAATTAGGTCACAAACAATGTTATCTAAATTTTCCCAAAGTTCAAGACTACAAATAAATTCTTGTCATCAAAATTGCAGGAAAACCGCTAACCTTGTCAACTTGAAATGTTTACAGATGCAAGAGCAGACTAGTGCCAAGGTCTGATTAGGTTTTGGCCATGCTGGGTAAATTGCATGGTGGCCAGTTTGCTCTTCAAAGTGCGATATTTATCACTGTGTGTCTTGTTCTTAATACATGCATGTATTGGCTCATATTATCACATGTTGAAGAGAAAGGTCTAAAATTTTGGTTGATGCCATAATTAATTCTCAGTCTTAAATTTTGAAGAAATTACAAGCGTTTAACAAACATGCCTGTAAATGAGATATTGTACAAAATTTTACAAATGTTATTCACGGAAATTGTTGAAACACATTGGATGATCTTAAACAGCTGTCAGTTAGAGATACAAGTTTAAAACCCTACCATATGACAAAAGGGACACTATTAAAGCAGAAAGCACATTTCACACTTTCATTGATCATTTTGAAGCATTTTTAACTGTTCAACAGTTCAGGGGTATGTTACCTACACCAACAGTTAGAGGGGGGCCTCTTATGGAAGGAAGTTGCCCCCTGTGACCAGGAATCTGATAACCCATTCATCAAATATCTTTAAAAAATCAAAAGAAAATTCAATTTTCAATGTTTTGAGTCATATATCATTAGAATTGGTCCATGATTTATGAAGATATTGACATTTCAAGATCATACAGGGGTATGTTCATGATTTCACTGGAAAATGTTTTCGTCTGTGGAAGCTTAGCACATCTCTTTGGATCACAATAACTTTGCAACTAACAAATGTAGGATGCTAGTTTTAAGCCATAATGTGCAGGATTTAAAATTGAACAAAGTCAGAAAATATTAGTTCTTTAAACTGCAGCTTAAAAAATTCTCAAGGGAAAGGTGTTAAAGGGTTGAAGAATCGCGGATATTGAAAATCACAATTTGTCCATTTTCAGTAATGTTTGGTTAGGGCTTATAATTTCTGCAAATTTCAAGACTAAGAAAAATGTATGGTACCAACATAAATTTTAGACCTTCCTCTACAACGTGTGAAAATAAAAAAGAATTCCTGCAAGTAATAAGGGAAATATGGCCAGTTGCAGGGGTTCACTTTTTTTGGACCACCCTGTATATAGGTTATTTGATTGGAGGGATAGAATTTGAATTTTATTGAGGGAAAATATGATATTTGCTAAGGAAAATATCATATTGACCAATCACCTGAGTGTCAATATGATATTTTCCGAGGTGAATAATCTATTTATTCCATAATATTTTTTTCTGAAACTTATTTATTTCAAAGTTTTATTTGTAATTACCCTAAGATTGCGACATAAAATTATAGAATTTAATTTGTCATAAAACATTTTCAAATTTTATTGACTTTTTATAACTTTTATTGCCTTTTACTTCTGATATTGGATCTGATACAGGATTTTGGCTGATACTGGATCCAATACGAGATCTGATATGGGGGTTTGGCTGATACAGGATCTAATATGGGATTTTTTTAATACCAATTCTATTTCCTGTTTATTTCCCAGGGAAAACATGTTATTATAAATTCTGTCATTGTTTGATGGTACAGTTTCTACAACAAAAGTCTATACATGAACTAATATTATGGCAATTTCTGCTGTGTTTAGGTGAGATGCGTTCTAGGACTGCTACCATGGCATCAGAGAGGTCACAGCAATCCTATTCAACTGGTAGATACACCAGGCGTAGTGTGGCAGACCTTTACTCTGAGCAGCAGGGCCGCAAATCTACTGTCACCATCCCCCCTCCTTTACTCAAGAAAGCTAGCAAAGGTGATTGCATTTGTGAGCAGTTTCACAATATGGCGAAAATAAAAAGAGTCTACAATTTTTCAATTTAATTTTCAAAGACATTTCTACTATTTAGTAAAGTTATAATTTGATTGTACTTGTATATAGTACTAAGGATGTAATAATAAAAAAGTTAAGAATGAAATGAAATGAATTCTTTTTTTTATTCTTATTTGTAGTGAATGTTATGCCACTGAATGCAGTTGCCACGCCAGGTACCCCTGTTTCTATAGCAACATCACCTGAAGCTATGGTAACTGCCCCAGTTCCAGCACCAGTTGGTCTGAATTCACCTAAACTTACCCGGAAGCAGTCAAGTCGTAGAATCAAAGCGACTGAAGGAAGTAATGAGATTTTGGAAAGATTTAAGAAACAGCAGATTGATGAGGACTCAGTTGGTGAGTATACTTCTTTAATGTATATTGTTTTTTATTCAATTTACAGGGCACGTCAAATGCTAAAGAAAGCAGGCCTCCACTTCAATTCTGTCATTATCATTAATATGAACACCTGTTGTTCATGATTTTCACAATATCTTAACCTAGAAAGAAATTCAAACTTTTTAAAAAAGTTACAAAAACAATTTCATTTTTATCAATCTTTGTCAGGTCCATATCCATCTGAATCGTGATAAATATAAATCTTATAAAGTGGATGTCTGTTCCTTTAACAAGTACAATATATTTTCATTGTAATCTTTCACAACATGTCAAGTCTTCCAGTGACTTTTGTGAGCCTGCTTGTAATCGTGTCAATAAACTGTCATTGGTGGTCATGTTTTAAAATGCAAAATATGGGGAAAAAGAGAGGAATGAACAAGGAATAAAGTAATCAGGCATGTAGCCAACACCCTTAATCGTGTGGAAATGCAAGAAAATGTCTGTTCATTCATACTTTTGAGAGAAATATTGCAAAAAAGCATGACTACTGATATTTTCAATATTTTTCTGACATATTTCAATATGCTCACATGATGCAATATTCTATAATGTGGATTGTAATATTCTATAATGTGGATTGTAATATTCTATAATGTGGATTGTAATATTCTATAATGTGGATTGTAATATTCTATGATTGGCATTGTAATATTCTTTAATGTGGATTGTAAATTGTAAATGTAAGTTTCTATAATGTTGATTGTAATATTGTAATATTCTATAATATAAAATGCAATAATCTATGATGTGCATCGTTTCTGCATAAGTAATGATATTAATAGCTAAATGTATGCATGTACACTGTATATGTCTTCTACTGTAATCTTAAATGCACTTTTTTGGCAAAATATATTTACATGTAATATGATATGTGCATATGGAAAGTGCAAATTATTATTTTTAATTGTTTTATGAGAAAGGGGAAGTTTCATAGTACATTTCATGCTTGTTATATAATGAACATCTGTGCTGAAATTAACATATTCCCAAAAGTGAAATCTACACACATTGTTTGTCTCTAAGTGTTTGTTTGTCCATTTAAATAGATGTTTGCGTAACCTTTCGAAATTAACTCAATTAATAATCTTATTAAAGTCAAGAAGAATATACTAGATGCGAGTAGAAATAATCTTGATTTACATCATTTACTGATGTCATATTTAGAATCTATATGTAAAATTACATCTGGAAATGTGGTCTTGAAAAGAGTTTATCATCTTTGAAGATTTAATTTTCTTTGAAAATCTGACTTCTAGGTCGGGGAGATTCCCCATAGACTCATGTTGTAAAATCACAAAAAGTGAAATATCTTTTCTTGTGTTGGGCAGATAATATTTTCTTTTACTGGACATATTTTAATTTGTATAACTATCAGATACATAATGGTAATATGAAAAGTGAACCACTTAAACTGATGATTATTCACGTTTATGGACACTTTTTAATACCCTGCCATGTTATTTACTCCAAATTAGCCACCTGGTGGCAAAACTTGGAACTACCTTCTCGCATCTGAGTAAATGAATTCACTACAAAATAAAAAATATCATCTTATAGTCGCAACATCCTCTATATATTTTTGATTATCAGATGATGCTTACAATTTTAGTGCATAATAACAGGGAATACTTATGATATTTTAAAATTCTGATCATAATTGTCTCTCCCCTCTTCCAAAAATTGTATTAATCCATTCGTATCTCACAAAAATACATCAAAAGTCCAGCATTCTTACTTTCAATATTATACTAGTATAGCTACTAACTTTAACTTGCTTATTTCAGGACATTCTTGCTCCTCAATTGACTCAGACTCAAAGTCTAGTTTGGACAAGTCCAATCTAGATATTTCTGGTTCTCTCCAGTCTAATCCAGATCTATCTGGTTCTGACCAGTCCAAACTGGCTGATATTGATGCGTTGTTGAGTATGGAGAATATTGATTGTACACCAACTTTGGAGCATCATAACTTGGATAGCTCAGAGGGTCTGTTCAAAACTTTCACCATTGCATGAGTATATATAGAGGAGCTCTTATATCAAGTTGTGCATTCATTTTTGTGTTGAAACATCATTTACTTTGTATATAAAGAAGCATCATAGCGAGAGAACAATTTTAACATCTTCCAAATGTTTCTGGCAGTGTAGCACAGAACATCTTCTTGAAACAATGCAATGTCAAATATGATAGTAGGTTGGCATTGGGTTCTGGTAAATAATGCAGGCCCATTTTTCATCAGAGTTTAATCTTACAGAGGGGCTTATTATTTTTGGAGAATTTTTGAGGATGGGGCTTAATTTATGACTGTATTTGATGACAGGGATTTTATCCTGCTCTACTCAAGATAAAACTGGATGCACATTTAGAGTATTTTAGAAGTTTCTATATTTCAATTATCAAACACAAGTTAGACACATAGAGTTATTTAGATCTTCAAATAGCTTAGATTTGTAAAATAGTATAAACAAACTACAATTTTTTTTGTATTACCACTCTTCTTTAGAAGTGAAATTTGGCTTGTCGTAGTCCACCTCATTTTCTGAATTTTTTTTGTGAGATTTTTTATGACACCATTTTTTAATTGAATTGCCAATTTACATTCTGACGTATGTTCCGTTTTGTGTGAACTTCCAGGTTAAGGGAATAAGAATGAAGAAATGTTGTTTGAAGTAATTTTAACTGAGTTTTAATTTCTTAGTAATACTAGTAGTTTCTTACTTTATATTGGATTAAACACATTAATTTGAAATCTGTGTCAAGAATACATGAACATACAAAATGTAATTGTATCTGTGAATATCTCTGTATCATTATGTGAACAGTCAAAATGATTCCATGTTTTCAAATGGAAAATAAAGCAGAAAATTATGGGGCCAGCAATGGATAAAGTACAGGGTGTCAAAAAATGGAAGGGGGGCACAATGCCATTTGACACCCTGTAAATGGGCATGAAAAGGAGGCTTTAGTTGTTAAGGGTTGGCCAGGGTTACACAATCAGACATTTGTAACATCTAAAGGAAAATGTGTGAAACCGATATGTTGCTATTATACACCCTCATATAAATAGACTAGTGGAATTAAGAGGATCCCAATTCATGAATTATTATGTTATGCTATTTATATATGGTTAACATGATTTAGAACTAAATTCTGTAATGAATATCTTGGCTAATGTTGCCATGGAGACAAAAAAGTAAATGGTTATTTTATCTATATTTCTTGCAATGATATGTATTTTCATAAGTCTTTAGCAAGGATAAATCATTAATTGTAGAGGGACTTCACTGATATCACAATTTTTATAAATGATTAAAACATCAAGTGGAATGCCCAATTCCAAAGTGGAAATTATTAGTTGTTAAAAATGTTCATGTTTTTATCATTCAGTATGCAAGTCTAGGATCCAATATCCCACTTTAAAACTCACACCATTTGAATTTGATGGTATGTAGTTGTGTTGATCGTAAGTCTAATTGTGTGTGTCATATTTATAAATTAGATATCATGTTGATCATGTTTTAAAATGCATTAAAATGAAGGAAAAATCATTAAAATGAAGGAAATGCATTTGAATCAGAGCAACAGATTCCTACACGCCAGGACGCCAGATGCGCCTAACTTTGGCCCCGGGCGCCAAACAAATCACATTTACACGTATTCCTGGCGTACAAGAGTTCCCACTATAGTATACCTGTTATCTTATCATTTCAATCGTGAAAATTGGTGAAAAGACGAAGATTTCACGTGAATTTAATGCTGCTTTTGCTAAATCAGCTGATCAATATTTACAATTTTTCGAAAGTGTGCTTTCTCGGCATCAATTTAGTGGTAAGAATGTAATTGAGATCGTTGATAGGCCCGATTGACGCGCAAAGTATTCTGGGAACTATTCCTTATCTTGTAGTTTTAATATTTTGTCTCCTTTTTGTGTCTCGCGTTTTGATTGGTCTAATTTTCGGCAATGTGAATTATTTGACCAATCATTGTTCAGATAAGTTTTGAATTTGAATTTACCGCCGTTTTGAAGTTCATCATGAATTCTTTGACCAATCAGCTTCATTCCCTCTGACCTTTCACATGTGTGGTCACGTGACCAAAACATGGATTTGGAAAAAATATTTACTATTCTCTAGTTTTGATCGTTTTTAGCTGATCATATCTTCTTAATGAATAGAAATGTGATCAGAGCAGACCAGATTGAAGTTTTCAAGAATATCACGGTGTATAACCCAAACGCTCCTACATGCACGACGGAGCGTTTCATTACTGAAATTAAACAAAGAAACGCTCCGGAGTAGGAAAACTGTCTGGCGGGAATGATGAGCCGTCTGACAATTTCCCCAATAATGGGAATAAGAGGTATGAGTTACATATTTCGAGTATACCATTCGATGGGTGTGATATTCATGTTGTACGTGGCTGACTGTTGACGTTTGAAGCAATTAGGAAGAGCTGTACGAAGCAGTATAGTTATCAAAATTCAAAAACGTATTTGTCATTCTACCGGTCAAAACCCCTTTTGTCGATACATGTGATTAGTTGAGCCAAGATTAGAACACCAACGTATATTTTAGTCAAATCCCAATGCTTCAACGCACCATACATTATCGTAATAGTGATTTGATGACCGAAAATCCAGTCTTAAAAATGATGACATTCTCATATTCAAGAAACGCTCCGATCTGGTTAACACAGTGAATTGGAAACGCTCCGGTAGTCTAGATCAGTTAAGGAAATATATAGCTTGCCTTTCCTTTTCAGGAAGAGAAAGAAAAGATCTATTATACCCCTTGGCATCAATAGAAGAAAGATTAATTCACATATAACTTTTCGTTTTTTCTATAGTTTTATGATTTAGCACATATGTAGGCATGACATCATCTAATGTTTAGGCTTTAATCAGCTAGTTGCACGTTTAGCACTACCAGGTTCAGATGTTTCAATTTGCCTAACAAGTAC